GCAGTGGCCCCTTAACCTTCCATTGAATGCGAGCCCGCTCCATTGAGTCATGAATCTCAGCTTGCTAGCGCTTGTAACTGCCCAACGAAGTGTGTGGCTTCAGAGGCTGATCGCCAGGCTGGCAAAACGCCAAGGGCTCGCCTCTGGATCCATCCACACTCACTTTTCCCTAGCAGATACGCACGGACGGTGCCTTTTTCGTCCTTCTTCACCCTCCCTTGACGTCAGTGTCCGAGTGACTGTCCGTGACCGTCCGGGGGACGCGGCGATGCCCCGGGGCTAAGGACGCACGCGGTGAGACTGCAGCGGGAGGAGCAGGGGCCGGGCATGACCTAGCACCTGCCCGCCCCGCTGATTGGCTGAGGAGAAGGTTGTTCCCGCAGGGCTGCCGCTGATTGGCTGCGGGGGGCAGAGGCGTGGCCCGCTCCGAAGTTGAGCAAACTCCTCCTCCGTCCCAGGCCCCCCACTCGGAGTTGTTGCCTGGACACCAGAGCTCGGAGGCGGCGGCCCCGAGCTGCGGGCGCCAGGGAGCGGACGAGGTGAGACGGGGAAACTGGTGGGCCGGAGTTGGGGTGCAGCCAGCCTTGCGGGACGCACGTGGAGGGCGCGGGCTGCAGCCTGGGGTCAGCAGCCGAGAGGGGCGGCCAGCTTCCCTCCCAGGCTCAGCGCGGCTGGACGATCCTTGGGCTCGGCTGGGCTCTGGGGCGGCCGGGCCTGGGAATGCGGCGAAGCGCTCAGGGCCAGGGTCGTCGGCGCAGCTCCAGAGCTGCAGAAAAGAAATCTGGGGGCCTGGGAATCTGCATCCCTCCCCCCCTTTGCCTTGGTGGGAGTGAAGGGTTGGTGTTGAACAGTCATATATATTCTTGTCGCAGAACTGGCTTTTGCGGGGCGTGGATTCTAGTCCCTCGCGGGTTTAGATCGCCGGCCTCCGCCTAGCAAGCTGCGGTGCACAGCCGGGGGTGCGAATGCAGGACACCCCAACTCCTGGGACCTGCAGCAGGCGTCCCAGCCACAGGGAGCAGCGGTTTTTTCCCACCTACTCTCACACTTCTGACTGAAGGGGCTGAATGTCTTGGCAGCCTCCACAAAGTCCACTTTGTAAACTTTGATTTCACCGGGTTGGTGGAGCGGAAAGGGAGGAGAGGAGGGCGAGAGAAGAATGGGGGTGAACAGTTTGTTCACCTTGGCAGCCGTCATTTACCGGAATGTGTAGCCCGTGCAGCAACGACTGCAGGCGTGACCACTCACATGACCGGATGGTGGCTTTCCAATGCTTTTAAACACAAAGTAAACCTCCTGGTGACATGTGGGTAGGTCTGTGTTGTGTATTTTGTCAGTTGGTACTCTCTTCACTGCTCTTCCAGGGATGGCTGTGTAACCTGGTGACTCTTCTGGAAAGCAAGTAAAGAGGGCAAAGGTCATTGCCATTAGTAAAATATCATTGCCAGTAAGGAGTAATTTTTCTATTGTCTGCAATGCCACTTTGATGGCCGTCATTGGGGATAGCGTGATGACGACTTTGATCTGTGATTGTTATTTTTTCCTGACTAGTCATGCACGTTTGGGCTTAACTTGAGCTAAGTTAAACTTTGCAACAACCCGAGAGGCTTCCGTTGGGCACTGAGGATCAAACAGGTTACCTTACGGGCCAAGGTCTGACAGTGCGCTTGGGTCTGACGCACACAGGCCGTTTGTCTTCTCTGGGGGTCTCCGGGTCACAACGTTTTGATGCTTCCTTTCTCTGTTTAGTGTATTTTGTTAAATGTTTCACTTGGTGTTGGATATTCAGAAACCAGAACTATTTGTGTTTTAGACTGTAGACTGCTCTTACTAGGATCAAAACTCTGGACCTGACAGGGATTTTTATATTGTTATATATTATATCACATTATATATTTAGGCTGTGGTTGAGACAGAGCCTGCAGCTCCCAAGTCTGGGTCTTCCCACCATGGTAGGCGACAGTACGTGTTCATTCTTGGACTAAGAGCTTGTAGCAGAGCATAGAGCTTCTTCGAGGAAGATGGGTTGTGAGACCCCATGTTCTATTTGTTTCTCTTGTTCAAAGGTTTTCATGATTCTTTAAGTTTGCTCCTAACGTTGACTGAGAGCAGCAGCGTCTGGCCCTCCTTGTTTGTTAGAGCTGCGCTCTGCTGTGGGATGGCAGAATCCCAAATGACATTTCAACCGCTGTGCCCAACACTTTCCAATGACTATTTTTTAGGTTATTTCATAGAATCACTTAAAAAAATAGTCTGCTCCCCTCTCAAAAACACTCCTCATGGTCTGTGAGATCCTGTACCGTGAGGGCAGTGTCTGCCTAGATGAGGGTCTTTTATTGAAGACACCAAAATATGCGTTGGTTCCTGCGTGTGACTTCAGGTGCACTCAACGATCAAGGTGCGTTCATCCTAACTTACAGAACGTGCGTGGAGCACCAAGACCCATCCACATTTCCCTTTTTCTTTTCCTCCCCTATGGGTGTGTCTCTGTGCTAATTGTAAAACGCTGTCTCTTCTCCCTGGTTCTCACGTGCACATTGCAAGGTTATGTAATTGGTAAATTTAAAGAAATGGTTAAATCCTCCCCCGACCCCAGTATGGAAAGTGGTACACAGGGAAGTTTTCCTGTTGTTGTTAAGAGCGACCATCGCGGAGGGTCTTGCTGTCTCATTGCAAGAATTCATTATAATACATTTCTGTTTTTAAACAATGTTTTGACATTTGACATTCCTGGTGAGTCCTAGGTGGGTGTAATGTGTACTGAGTGCATTGGCAGAAGGAATGTTTTAAATGTCATTGTGTATTAGAAATGTTGACTTCTCTCTCCTCCTTACTCTTCCTAGCACATCCCTGTCCTTCCTTCCCCTCCTGCTTTGCTATGTCTTCCTTATGACAAGTCCCTGAGTGCATGGTGGTTGTGGGTCTAAATCAAGCTCGGGCTGAGGCAAGACATCAGATTATCTGAAGAAGTTTCCTCATCTGGGGACAAGACTGCTTCCAGAAGACACTGGCTGGTGTAGACACCTGGAATGAGTTCATGAACTACAGACCCAATTGAGAAGATAAGACCACTTCTGGATATAGTCAGAGGAATCACTGGTGTTCAAAGTATTACTCTTAGGAAGTGGTATTACTGTAAGAACACAGGTATTGATGTTTCATGGGGCACTGTAGTGTCTCCTCTGGTTCAGGGAAGATCAAGTGTCACGGGCTTATGTTAGGCTTTAACACAAATATTGGATGCAGCATCTGGCAGGCTTTCACTGAAATGTTAATCATTTATGAATATCTGGGCATTTGTACTCTGGCCCCAGCAGAATCCTGAGCGAGTCTTTAGCATTTCCTCTTGCCGCCTACAGCTCTTTCTGTTCATCTTCTTCCTGAAGCTCCCTTAGCTGGACTCCTTGGTGTAGACCCTGTCCTCTGAGCCTGTTGTGGATGTCTGTACACTTCCCTCTGTGTTTGCATGCTTATGTACTTGCATGCATAAGTTTTGGCACAACACTTCCCAGCTATGAGAGTATTGCAGAAATTTCATGCAACAGGGTATTAAGCAGTAAGGTTATTTTGGTGCCAAAGATTTTGAAATCTGTGCATTTTTTTTTCAAAATAAGTGTGTTCTACAAGTTGTTTTTGGAAGGCTCTATAGAAGTTTACTTTTCAGAAATCAGTTTGTAAAATGTGTTTCTCAGAAGTCTTGCTGTTTGCTAGCAGTCATGGACAGAAACTTTCTAGGAAGCATAAAATCTCTTTGTCCCTATATTTTGCTGCTATTCTTACATAGACAACTGAAGTTTCAGTATCGAAAATGATACTAGAGGATATATATAACGTGCCATTTTACCGAATATATATGGCCATTCGAAAAGGCATAGAATACCTTTACTTATGCTGTGTAACTTTATGTAAAAATTTTTAAAGATTTATTTTCATTGTAAAGGCAGATTTACAGAGAGAAATGAACGTAATGGCTGGAGCTGATGCTGTCTGCAGCCAGGAGCTTCTGGGTTTTTCACACGAGTGTAGGGGCCCATGGCCTTCAGTCATCCTCAGGCCATTAGCAGGGAGCTGGATGGAAAGTGGAGCAGCTGGACACAAACTGGGATCCATATGGGATCCCGGTGCTTGAAGTCAGAGAATTAGCCTGTTAAGACATGATGATGAAGACACAGCTTCAAGCTGTGACATTTTATGCAAACTGACCTCTGCATGGGTCCCACAGTGGGGCTTTTGTAAATGGCACATTTTGTAAATGTTTCTGGAAGCAGAGAGTAAGATTGTATTACTTCTAATACCTGGGATACAGTTTTGTTCAGTTTTCTAAGACATTTGCTTTTTTGAGGACCAATACATTTTTGTGAAATTTAATAATAATAAATTACTAGAAAATGAAAATGTTTTCTAAATCTTTCCTTCCTACTTCTGTTTGTGTCTCACTGAGGGCAGTAAGACAGCGGTTCACCGATGCTTACTGCAGTTACTGAGTGGCAGAGTGCATCAAGCTGCATGTGGAGGGAATGGCCAGAAGTGAAGCCGGAAGGCTGTTGACATTCTGTTGTGGAGAGTCTTCTTAGCTCCTGTAAGAAAGGCAAGCTTTGAGCCATCCAAATGGACACCAAGTGTGGAAGGCCCGTTTCCCACTGTGTTCCTGACTGTATCACTTTAGATGAACTTGTTCCAAACTTTTGTGCTGATTAAGTGTTCGATAAAACATGTTTAAAGAGGTACTTCAGCGTTGCGGTTATTGGTAGGAGTGTCATGTAAGTTGCAACATACTTACTATTTCCTTGGAATTAAGTATCTTTGTTTTTGGAAACTTGACTCTAGGTGGATAAAGGACCACCTTGAAGGTAGCTTGTCTGTCCCCTCTTCTCTACCTTCCATCTGTTGCCATCTGGGTTGGTTACATTTTACAGCAGATTTCTAAGGAGACCAGAATCGATCTGCAAACCCCCTGTCTTTTACTGTCCTGCTCTCTCACGCTGCCTTTATAGTCATCAGGTTTCAAGATGCTGCAAGGATATAAGACCCACCTGGGCAGGCTGGGGCTCAGCCTCCCCAGACATCTTCGCCATAAGGCTGTGATGGCCCTCAGGCGGGAGGATGTGAATGCCTGGGAGAGGAGAGCACCTCTCGCTCCAAAGCACATCAAAGAGATCACCAACCTGGGATACAAGGTCTTGATACAGCCTTCAAACCGGCGGGCCATTCATGATAAGGTGACTATTTCCAGTTTTTTTTTTTTAAATGGGTAGGAATAAAATGAATCTGCATATGAAAGTTAACTAGCATTTCAGTAAAACGAAAATGTCTGTATGTCTTTACTTTCTTTACTTAGATTCAATTTCTATGTTTCTTTGGTCAACCCACTTGAGAACTCTTAATATCTATTAAACTAAAGTGTTATCTAGATTCTGTTAATGTTTTAAATTTGGCTTCACTTGATGTGCTCTGGACTTATTTTTATTGTATTTTGTGGCTCCTTACAGGAAGAATCTTGACTGTATTTCTTATATGTCTTACCATCTCTTCTATAGCATACTCTCCTATGCAGATTAGAACAATAATAAATACCAACTGAGAAAAAAACATGACAAACATTGGAGATACATCTTTTAAAAATCTAATCAAGACATCAGTCTGACATTCAATGTTTCAGTGTATTATTGATGCAAAATATGCATATTAAAAGGTCTATTTATTTATTGTTTTTTTGAAAGTTAGAATTATATATAGAGAGGAACAGACAGATGAAAGAGAGAGATCTTCTACCTCTAGCCCACTCCTCCAAGGGCCACAAGGGCCAGTCTGGGCCAGGACAAAACCAGGAGCAGGAACTGCTTAGGGCCGCTCCTGTGAGTGGGAAGGGCCTAAACACGTTGACTATCCTTCACTGTTTTTCCCAGGTCATTAGCAGGGAGCTGAATCAGAACTGTAGCAGCCAGAACATGAACTGGCACCACACTGCAAGCAGTGTCTTTATCGGGTACACCACAACGCAGGCCCAAAAATATGCGTTTTATAAGAAGATTTCAATAATACGTTAGTGTTATGACCAAACTAGACATTTGTATTAGTATATGCTGAGTTTGCTAATTTTTCACCATAGAAGTCAAGTATCCAAATATTAAAAATAGTTGCTCTGCTATTTGTTTTGATCCATAGAGAACTTATCCCTTTAAAAATCATGTGTTTATTTATTATAGTTTTTGTTAGAATATGAATATGGCAAATAAGGGAATAATCTTCAAACAAAATTACATTCCCAGGAATATGTCAAAGCTGGCGGAATTCTCCAGGAGGATATTTCGGAAGCTTGCTTGATTTTGGGAGTTAAAAGACCTCCAGAGGAAAAGTTAATACCCAAGAAGACTTACGCGTTTTTCTCTCACACAATAAAAGCTCAGGAGGCCAATATGAACTTGCTGGATGAGATTCTGAAACAGGTAATCAGTGCCCAAGGTGCATGAAAAGGTAACACACGTGCCTAGCAAGTGAAGATTACCTGCAAAAAGGATGGAGAGAGGGAGAGTGAAGGCAAGACAGTGAACCAGCAATCCAGAAAGAATTTCTTTTTCCATGTAGACAAAACCTAAATGTACTTAGAATGACTGTGCAACAATGTTGTGGGGAGGCTGCAGCCAAGAGGTAACAGCTCATTCAGCAAGAGAGGCCTTGGAGGTGGTGGTAAGGGACAGGCTGGCTCCCAAGGCTCACTCTGGGGAGAGATCTATTTCCTTTGAGACAGTAGCTGTAGCTATGATGTTGGTTGTGTTGAGGGGGAAGTGAAAAAGAAAAAAATCGTGTTTTTATTTTCTCGCTGGTTACTAACAAGGGGTATTTATTTACTGGGACCGGTGTTTCATCTCTTTGAACCTACATATTTGTGATCTGGCATTTTTTTCATGACTTTGTGGTACACCTGCGGATAACTTAGGAGAGTCAGATACATTCCTTGAAGAGGAAAAAAACCTGTAAAATCCTAACTAGCCCAACTGTGTGCTTTAAACATTGAAATTCAGCTTCATGGATCTGGTTGAAAACTTGTTGTCCTTTCTCCAGGAAATCCGACTTGTTGATTACGAGAAGATGGTGGATCACAGAGGCACCCGGGTCGTGGCATTTGGACAGTGGGCAGGAGTGGCGGGTAGGTACGCCAGGGCTTTTGTGTCATGTCACTCACATTCTAAGTTGCTTGTGGGAGTGAACTGTGATATCCTTCCATTTTTGAGGTCAAGGGGTTGTGAATGTTAATTTTTATAGAAAAAATTTGCAATATGTTGAAGGGTGATAAGGATGGCTAGTTCCATGTGGAAGGTTAGATCAGTCTGGTATTGGGATGTTACAAAGTAGAAGACAGCGAAGAAGAGAAAAGGGATACAAAGTACAAGGGCAGGAATTGACAAAGGAATAGTCTAGAAAGGAAAAGAGCTGGACATTAGGAAAACACCCTACCTGACTGCTGTCTCAGATGGTATTTTGCACCATCTGTGGTTGACAAATACAGCAATGGGTTGTATCTCCTTACCTAATTTGATTGCTTGAAGTCTTATAAGGAAGGAATTTGGAATTATGTATGTGGTCTAGTTATATAAAAGTGGCAGAATTGCTGTTCTGATTACTACTTCACTAGTGTCTTAACTTGTCTATGTTTACCTCCTTGGGATTTAGCTCTTAGCAATTCTCAATGACTGTGGATAATAGTATCATACCTTTTGATTGTACAAGGCATTAAATTATTTGGAACCCTAAGATGCTTTTACAAATTACACTCTTTTATTTATCACTTGTTTAAAAAACTCTCACTCAAATATGTTGGAAAATCCTAAATATTACAAGTCTTTTGGAAATACTAATTTCAGAAAATTCATGCATTTCAGACTGTTATACTTGAATCCACCTGCTACTGGAACAGTACAGACATCTAAGTGAAATGTTGAAACTCGATAAATCCTTTTTATGTGAAGCAAATGCATTGTTTCTTACTCTAACTCCCACTTCATAACTTTCTTCATCTAGCACATAAATTAGCTATCTGATTTATGTAAAAATAAAAGAAAATTAAATTTCTTATTATAGAAGAAATAATTAAGTAGACTTCCATAATTACTCTCCCCAAGGCTTTGGAGGACTCACTCAGATGCGAGCTTTGCTTATAATGAGAGAATTAATATGTCATAAATAAGAAATGAGTTGATTCTGAAATCAGCTGGTTCAAGAGCCTGACCATTTACATTGTTTACGATGTCCGTTTCCAATACTGAAGTGCCTGGATTTGGCTTTTGGTTCTTGTGTCTGACTCAACTTACTCTTTTTTTTTTTTTAAGATTTATTTATTTTTATTACAAAGTCAGATATACAGAAAGGAGGAGAGACAGAGAGGAATATCTTCCCTCGATGATTCACTCCCCAAGTGGCTACAATGGCCGGTGCTGTGCCGATCCAAAGCCAGGAGCCAGGAACTTCCTCCAGGTCTCCCTCATGGGTGCAGGGTCCCAAGGTTTTGGGTCATTCTCGACTGCTTTCGTAGGTCACAAGCAGGGAGCTGGATGGAAACCAGGGCCGCCAGGATTACAACTGGCACCCATGTGGGATCCTGACCCGTTCAAAGCTAGGACTTTAGCTGCTAGGCCACTGCGTCGGACCCCTCAGCTTACTCTTAAAGCAGATACTGTGAGGCAGCAATGAGGGCTCAAGTGATTGAATTCCTGCCACCCACAGGAAAACCTGGATTGCACCCCAGCTTCCAGCTTCCGCCTTGACCCAGCTCTGGCTTATTGTGAGTGTCTGGGTGTGACCGGTTGGTGTGAGCTCTCCATCTGTTCCTCTTCTTTGTCTTTTTTCCTCTCAAAGAGTTAAATAAGACACAATGATGCATTCAGAAATCAGCATATTTAGAAACAGCGCCCGCCTGTGAATAAGATGGAGCTGCTGCAACAGGTGGAAAACTTGCCGTTGTCAGTGCACGTGACTGGGGTTGCTGTTCGCCATCAGCAGAGTGGAGAAAGAACATGAGTACAAGTAGTTTGTTTTTTAAGGATGTGACCTAGAATTTGAACGGATTATTTCTTCTGATGCTCACTAGTTCAAATTGAGAAATAAAACCCACAGCTGGACAATGAGGCTGTGTCTTGTAACGACCACGTACTTGATTGATGAAAATTTAACTGAATCTAGATCACTACTCTGTCATTTCACAGCTAGAAAATCAGATGAGGCATTTGAAATGATGTTTTCAGACACCGAGCAACAGATGGTATAGGATGGTGGTCCCCATCAGGTGGAAAATAAATGAGGTGGCCTATGTTCTCGCAGAAGCTCTTGGCTGGGGTAATTTCCATTTCAGGGGAAAATGGGCAAGTGACACAGTATTTGGTGGACTCATAGGGCTGGGAACATAGGGGCAGCAGTTGGGGAACCTGATAGGGCCAGAATTTTCAGGAAAGAGTATGGCATAAGGAAGAGATGGACAGGCTGATTGAAAAGAGAGAGAGAAAGAGAGAGAGAGAGAGAGAGAGAGAGAGAGAGAGAGAAGAAGCTATTGTTAATAAGGAACATAGGAAAAGATACAACACAACATTCAAATCTTTAAAAGGAAAGGGAATACATGTGACAACCTTGATGAATTAGTTAAGTCCTTGAAAGACAAGACTTACTGAAACCATTTGAAGAAGAAGGTAAAAATTTAAATATGAATGTACAAATTGAATTTACTCAAGTGTTTATTAAAAGTTGACTTCAGAAAAAAAGAAAACTTGGTAGCAGTGTGTGGGTGTGGGGAGGCCAAGGAGAGTTCTGTTTATTTTTTCTACGTAATGAAAATCTAGGTTTCTGGACTGTAATCTTTTCTTTAACAGTTTATTTTTATCTTACATACAGATTTACAGGGAGAAAAGGAAAGAGACAGACAGACAGAAAGAGAGGAGCTAGGGGAGAGAAAGAGAGATCTGCCATCTGCTGGTTTACTCCCCAGATGGTTGCAACGGCCAGAGCTGAGTGTGTCTGAAGCCGGGAGCCAGGAATTTCTTCCAGGTCTCTCACATGGATACAGTAGTCAAGGACTTGAAGCATCCTCTGTTGCTTTTCCAGGCCATGGGCAAGGAAGCTGAATTGAAAGTGGAGAAGCCAGGGTTTGAAACCAGGGCCATATGGGGTGCTGGTCCCACAGACAGAGGATTAACTTAATGATTCATGCCAGTCCTGGAGAGTTCTGGTCTTAAAAATGATAAGCGAGGAAAGGCTGGTTAGATCTGCGTTACGGGGATGCTGAAGTTTAGCTTTCTGAAAGGCATCCAGACTGAGACAGCCAGAGTGATTGTTAGATCTCTAGATCAAATACAAAAAATCGTCTTGGAGACAGACTTGGCATCATCTGTACACAGAGAGTAAGCTGTAGTTCATGATCAATGGACGTTTGGTCCTTGGACCCTCAAGGGTACCCAAATCCACAAGTGCTCAAATTCCTTAAATAGTGTAATGTTCTCACACACACACACACACACACACACACACACACACACAGTCACCTGTATTTGAAATTGTGTCTTAAATGTTTGTCACAGTGTAAATGCTGTAGAAACAGTTAAATATTCGTTCAGTACAGATGCATTTTTAAGATCCTTGGTTGGTTGAATTCCAGATGAAGAACATGACTTTATGGTGGACTTGAAATTTTGGACAGGATAAGATTACTAAAGGAACAGGGCATTTGTGGAGAAGGCTCGAGTCCAGGAAACAGGTAAAAGTTGAGAAGGATGACCTAATAGAGAAGAGCAGTGAAGGAAACGAGTCAAGGGTCTATTCCCTGAGGAGACAGGAGGGGTCTGGAGCCGGTGGGGAGAGGTTGCTCTTTGACAAGAGCTCCCTTTGCCATTTGTCAAGATGGAAAGTGGAAGGGCTATGGGAGCCACAGCTGGTTAATGCACATGATGGCCGAAAGCAGAGGGGTTAGATATGAACTGTTGAGGTCTCTTCCAAATGGGAGATCTGTGTTTCCTCAGGGAGCTGTGCAAATCGGAGAGTGGTCAGAGAGCCAGCTCTAAATCTGTCTATCTCACAGTCTTATTGTATTGGTCTGATTCTGCCATAGGGATGATCAACATTTTGCACGGACTGGGTTTAAGGCTCCTTGCTTTGGGACATCACACTCCTTTTATGGTAAGATATGTTTAATTTTGGAAAATATATGCCATATTTTATGAATAGAAAAATGTCTCAGAGGATGGGCTAACTCGAATTGTGTGTGCTTGCTTCTAGCACATTGGTATGGCTCACAACTACAGGAACAGCAGTCAGGCTGTGCAAGCTGTCCGTGATGCTGGCTATGAAATATCTCTGGGTTTGATGCCAAGGTCAATAGGCCCCCTAACGTTTGTGTTCACAGGGACTGGAAATGTGTCTAAGGTAGATCCCCAAGCTTTCTTCTCTCTATAAAGCATTCTGAAGCTCTGAAGCAAGCCTACACGATATGGGGCATTTGGTAGATATTTAAAACAGAATAAATGGGTATTCTGTTTTGGCTCCTCTCCCTTACCAATGTATGGAATGTAATAATGGTCCAAATATTTTCACCGCTTTCTGTTAACTCTGAGCTGTCACCTGCTTAGGACTCTCTCTGTGTCTCTCTCTCCTTCCTCCCTCTCTGCCACTCTTTTTCTCCCTGCTTCAATTTGAGTCATTTTGAGTCATTATTAACAGGGTAGAGGTTACCTTAGTTACCCTATTTTAACTTCTATTACTGAAATGTCCAAAAGTTTTGAAGTGACTCCAGGGTATACATTTTTAGGAATTTTCCAATGAAATACTAGGAAGATCAATTCAAGACTGAAATTAATACCTTCTTCCTCCTTGGGTAGTTTTGAAAATGCACTTGTAACCTCCTAGGTAAATGTGTAACTGCAAAATAGATCTTTCTTCCTAGGAAATTTTTACAAACAGAATATTCCTGTTAGTAGTATATTGTGTGGTGGGCATTTTATTTTTTCTTTTGAGAAACACAGTTTCCTCCTTTGAAATAATGTTTGCAATGGAATGAAAGTAAACACGATGCTTTTGTCCTCTTATTGCTAAACATTCTTCTTGTTATTTTGAGTAAATGATGTGAAAAAAGTAAAGGCCCTGTAGTACTCAGGTTTTGGTTACAATGGAAAGAAAGGTGACTTGCAAACTGTGAGCTAGAAGCTTGTGCACCTGCCTTGGCAACACAGCAGAATGGGAAGTTATACAATTGTGGGGGGAAAACAAGTAGCAGATTTGCAGGAAGTGGTGTTGCCTCTTATACTGTTGCTGTTTAGATTTTTACTGATACATTACTTATAGGGAGCCCAAGAAATTTTTAATGAACTACCCTGTGAATATGTGGAGCCCCATGAATTAAAAGAAGTTTCCCAAACTGGAGGTAAGCGGAGAGGAATACATCTCCCTTTTTCTTTAAGTGCTCATAACCATCTTGTGTTGTAGTATTTTATCATGGTACATGCTTCAAATTTGTCGCCGATGATACCTGTCTCTTTCTTCTCTGCAAGACCTCAGAAAAGTGTATGGGACAGTGTTGAGTCGTCATCACCATCTTGTCAGGAAGACAGATGGCGTGTACGATCCCGTGGAGTACGACAAGCATCCCGAGCGGTACATAAGTCGCTTTAACACTGATGTGAGTACCACATCCAGCTGGGGAGTTGGCTGCTTTGAGACATTATAGTAAGTCTATGTAGGGAGAGGAATTACGCATGCATTGGTGTTCAGCTCCTCAGATTGCTTTGTGAGTGCTTTGGGTCTCCTAAGCTGTGCCTGGGAGCTTGACATAGTCGTGCAGGGGTTCTAGTGGTTTTTGCAGGGTTCTGCTTCCTCATCTCTCTTCACCTCAGTTCTGCATGCATGCAACAGGTCTAAACCTTATCCTGTGAATTAGTGTTTTCTGTATTATCCTCATCTAATTAGCATTCTTTGCAAAACCACCACCACCACAACAAATCCATGAAGTTTGATCTTAGCGTAGGTGGGAAGAAATGGCCGTCCTGACTTCAGGCAGCCATTTTGAAGTGCACCTGCTTGATTACTCAGGTCGTCAGTAGTGAAATAGTGCAGCAGTATAGACACAGACCCGTCTTCACTGCACAAAGCGATTATTTGCAAGTCAAATCACTCTGTGGATCACACTGCCCTTATCTAAAGAAGAAGGAGTGATTTGCATATTTTTAAACTGTGTTTGAACAGTATAGCCTGTTTAAGTTCTGGCCTGAAGTTTAGCTATTTAAGTATGCATAGCATGTTGCAAGAAGGATTCTTTCCTTGAGCTTGAGAATGCTTGAGCTGCTTGAGGAACAAGATCTAGGAAACGAAAACATTTTGGTTCCAGGAAATGTCCTTCCTTTACCCCGCACCCCCAGCACAGTGTTGGTGATTGAATGCTTCTTAAAATTTGTAATCCATAGTTTATATATCCATATATAGACATATCTGTGAATACACATGCATGTCTATGGCACATTTCTCTGTGGAGCTTACAGTTGCCCTCTGACTTGATCTTCACAGCAGTCCTTGGAGGGTGTGTGTATCATGTATGTATGTGTGTGTTCCTTGGAGGGTATGTATTATCCCCACCTGGCAGGTAAGGAAAATAGAGTCCAGAGAAGTCAAGTCAGCGTGATTTCAACCACACATAGAACTCTAGATCACTGGACTGTTCTTTTTTCCCTCTTTTCTATCCAGTTCATTATAAAATAAAGATGTTAAAAGCGTATTTATTACATTTCTACATGTATCTCTCATGTGGTAATTTCACACTAAAATATGAGTGGGCCTCTGTCGGCTTCCTTCGAAAGATGACCACTGACCTGGAAAATGAGACCTTCAGTTCTTTCTCACGACTTTCTGAATAGCTCTCCTTCAGCATGCTGTATTGGAAGAGTAGCCTATTTTCTATCTTATTGAACTTGCAACTTGCTTTACAGATCGCACCTTATACAACTTGTTTAATTAATGGGATCTACTGGGAACAAAACACCCCTCGCCTACTAACCCGCCAAGATGCTCAGAATCTCCTAGCCTCAGGCAAGTTCTCAGTGGCTGGAGTTGAAGGCTGCCCCTCATTACCACACAAGTAAGGACTTTAATTCCGTGACAATGACAGCTTTTACCAGCAGCACCTGTTATTAAGAGATCAGAGAATATATTATACTCACATATCACAGGGTTTGCGGTTTTAGATTTTGTTATTTTTACTTATTTGAAAGACAGAGACACAGGGATCTTCCATTTGCTGGTTTACTTCCCAATTGTCTGCAGCAGCTGAAGTTCAAACAGTTAAATGAGGAGCCTGGACCTTAATCAGGGTTTCCTACACTGGGGGCAGGGACTCTTCACCTGGTACCTCCTCAGGTGTGCAGCATTACCAAGCTGGGATTTGGGGCGGAACTAGGACATGGGGTGTAGGTATCCCAGGTCACAGCCTAACTGCTGCACCAAATGCCTGCCCCAGATGTGGTTGTCAATGACCAGCTGTCTGCTTTACTTTACTCAGCTTCCCGGGAGGCAGCACTGACACATGCGTCTTCTCTCCTTGAAGCTCTCTGCTTCTGCCCTCTGCGACTCCACATGCAGCAACGAGACAATGGCCTCTGACAGTATCTTCTCTGCACCACCATTCCCATCTCTCTTTAGTCTGTTCCTCCGTTCTTTTCTAAGTTCATGATGATTTACTTTCTTGCCTCTATGATTATGATCTGCCTCCCTTCGGAAGAACTCAGGCTCCTTTAGGATAGCACCTCTGGTTACATTGACTACAAGCACCAGGACTGGTTTCATCTACAATGGGCATTCAGATACGTACTGAGTTAGTACTTGCGTGGCATCTAGTGTCCCTGGAATTCTGCTAATTCCAGGAGGATGAAAGGTGTTTGCTGTCCTCAGGCATTCAGTTGGCATCACATAAATGCCAACAGCAACAGCATCACAGGAGTTTCACAGGAAGCACTGGGCTCCATGGAGTCTGAAAGTGGAGGAGTGGGGAGAAGGAACATTTCAGGTGACAGAATGGATTCTTAATAAGTATCTGCCAGAAAAGTGTGCGGCCTGGGAGTGACAGTCTGCCTGTAGATTCATGCGGGCTTGTGGCAATTAGAAATTAGGGGAATTGTGGTTTAACTGGTAAGGCTTTTAAATATTAGTTCAAGATTTTGATCATAATCCTGGAGAACTATGTATATTGCCAAAAATTATAAAGGACTTAGCCCAATAAGATAGTGTAACTGAACCTTCCTAAATTTAGAGATAGCTGGCTAGGTCAACCTTATTTTGTTAATGATTTTTATAGGGAAGGGATTTTTCATTTTTTTTTCTTCCCTCTGCCTCCCTCCGTTAATTTTTTTATCTTCACTTTATTCTTTCATTTTCCTTGCTGATGACTAAAACTCAGCTTGGGAAGATTCTCCGTAGCCCAGAACAGGCTGGCAGTGCTCAGAAGAATTAGCTGCAGAAAAGGAGGCCACGGACTCGCGAGATTTTTGGCATTCACATTAAAAACTGTTCCAAGCACCTTTCGCCTTTGTTCATTTTTAGTCTTGCTACAAGCGTCCAGCTTCCTACCTCTTATCTAAGCACCGCTGTTGTTTTCAGACTCGTGGCAATATGCGACATTTCAGCAGACACAGGAGGGTCGATCGAGTTTATGACCGAGTGTACTACCATAGAGCACCCCTTCTGCATGTACGACGCTGACCAGCACATTATCCACGACAGGTGAGCTTGCTAAAACTGTCAGGTGATGAAGCATGCAACGTCTGTTTTGAAATACTAGTCTGAAATACCCAGTATGTAAATCTTGATCAACATCCGAGGATTTTGAGAAACATTTAAAAAATCACATGCAAACACTTTATGTTTAAATTGGAGGTGAGTTGTCAAAAGCCATGTTTGAAAATCACGCATCTTTTTATGTTCTTTTGCACAAAATTACAAGTGATAGTGTATCTGGGAAAGTCGGTGCTTGAAAATCACATTTTGTACTTTTGAATGAAGCATATTGCTTTTCCTAGTGTTGAAGGTTCTGGAATTCTGATGTGTTCCATTGACAATCTGCCGGCACAACTTCCCATCGAAGCTACGGAATACTTTGGAGATATGCTTTATCCTTATGTTGAAGAAATGGTAAGTACACTGCGACCAGCGGCAGTAGCTTTGTGGCTGTAAACACCGCTGTGATGCATCCTGTGAGTGTTCTGGTCTTCATCCACGGAATCTGCTGTAAAATGAAATGCCAGCCCTTCCTCGAAGCATTTCCTGATATCATGCTTGTTTGTAATATCTGTCTCTTGTTTTATACAGAATACTCACTGACATGTGAGATAAGTCTTGTATTATTTTTTAATTCTATCTCAATTCAAAGCAATAACAGTTCTAAATATTTATTAAATAGAAATCATCCAGGCGCTGCTTCATTCCCCAGGTGGCTGTAATGCCAGGGTTGAGCCAGGTCAGAGGCAGGACCTAGGAGTGCCCGCTGAGTCTCCCGGGTGGGCAGGGACCCGTGCACCTAGGCTATGCTCTGCCGCCTTCTCAGGATATTAGCAGGGTGCTGGAGCAGAAGGGGAGGTGCTGGGACACGAAGTGCTCTTATGGAATGCTGGCTTTTTTAAAAAAAGATTGATTTGTTCTTTTTTATTGGAGAGGCAGAGGAGATATAGAGACAAAGATCTGTCTGCTGGTTAATTCCCCAAGTGGCTGCAATGGCCAGAGCTGGGCCAATCCGAAGCCAGAAGCCAGGAGCTTCTTTAGGTCTCCTACTCAGGTGCAGGGTCCTGAGGCTTTGGGCCATCCTTTAATGTTTTCCCAGGACACAAGCAAGGAGCTGAATGGAAGCAGAGCAGCCGGGACATGAACCGGCGCCCATATGGTATCCCAGCAAATGCAATGCAATGACTTAGCCACTGGGCTACCGCTCCGGGACCAGAATGTTCATGTTTCAAGTGGTGCTTTTAAGTGTTGTACCACAACACTGCCCCTGACTAGGTCAGTTCATACTGGAACTTCTTACTGTGTTGTCATGAATAGATCTGAAAAATCAAAAGTAGAAAAAACATTATTGGATTTTAGTCACTAAGACTTAAGTGTCAGCTTGTGTCAAGATGGTGTGTTCTTTTGTGGTCAGTGGCTGATTATTGCAACGCTGTGTTGTCTACATTCTGGTTTGTCAGGAGCACATAGGAAATCTTTGTTAGATCAGGGTTGATTCTAAATGTTCTTACCTATGCTTCCTTGTTTCTGTCGCTAATGGTTGTTTCTGATTCCAAGAGTATGCAGAGTGGCTGTTTCCTTTTCATGATCACACCGGACACACTCTCTCACTTCAGTGGGGCAAAAATTCTGTTCTTGGGTCTGGCATGTTGGCTTAGTAGCTAAAGCCTCACCTTGCAAATGCTGCGATCCCATATAGGCACCAGTTCCTGTCCTGGCTGCTCCTCTTCCCATGAGCTCCCTGTTTGTGGCCTGGGACAGCAGTAGAGGATGGCCCTGTGTGGGAGACCTGGAGGAAGCTCTTGGTTCTTGACTTCAGATTGGCTCAGCTCCAGCCATTGTAGTCATTTGTGGAGTGAACCAGCAGGTGGAAGATTTTTCTCTCTGTAAATCTACTTTTCACATAAAAATAAATCATAGAAAAAAAAGAGTTCCGCTCTTATCTGTACCTAGGTCACATGGTAAAATCCTGTACAAGTTACTTTGTCAACACTATTAATGAGACTATTTTGAGATTGTTATTTGTGGTTCTTAGTAATAATCCCAGTATGAATTTTTGAAACATATTAGGTACATATCCATATATATCTGTATTTGTAGAATTTATGGATCACAGATATTTTCACTTGCGTTGGATACTTGAGTCAGTTCCACCAGTGTGCTTCACATACGTAACAATATTTTGTATTATTTTACTTGTAATTTGGTTATTGCTGCATGCCAGTGAAACTTACATGGGGCTGTGGAATTAAAGATGCTCAACAGACAGACTGTGAAATATGCTGGAGAGCAATGTTTAACCTTCCCCTGAGTTGAATCAAAAACTCATCTTATTATCTACTAATATCTGGCCTGTGGGCAAGCTGGGAAGTGGAGGAGTGTTCTTGAGAAGGGAATTCGGCAGAGGTGGCTGAGAGAGGGAACACATGACGGGCCCTATGTGGGTTGATTTCATGAGGCTCCCAACATCCCCCAATAGGCTCACAGATCCCCATCTCTTTGATTTTAATGCGCAGATGCCAGAAATAGATGGTCCCCATTTTTCATTTCATGCTAGTGATTTGTATTTGTTTAAACACAGTAACCAAGTTCTCTGCTGCTGGCATCTACCAAAGGCATTATTCTCTTTCTTAGTCTGGAGAGTGCTGTAGACCCCACATAGGAGTAGAGAAGACGGAGGGGCTCATGGCCTTCCTTCTGCCCATCAGAGGCAACGCTGTCTTGATAAGCCCTTCCTTGGAAGTGTTCTTACATTCAAGATTTGGGTTCCTTGAAAGAAAAGAGGACTAGAAGAATGTTTTATGTGAATAAAAAAGATGACTTTTGTTGCTGTGTGTTTAACTCAACCTTGCGAGATCAGGGAAGATAATGTGGATGACTCAAAACGCACTCGATCAAGTCACTTTCTCTGTTATGTTTGGAATGCCGATGTGCCTTGCATAGAACTATTGTGGATCTGGGAGAGATCCCCCTCCTGCAGGATAGAAGGCCTTGTGTGAAGTGGAAGACCCTGTTTGCTACTGCTAATAGAACCACATCAACCTTGGAATTGGGGTGAATTCTCTCAGATGGAGAATTCGGGATACAAAGTTCGACAATACACTCAATACGTCACAGCTAACTGGCTGGGAAGGATAAGCTGTTTTTAGTGTGTTCCCTACAAAGAAAGATGATCATAATGAATGTTTAGTTTTAAAATTGGAACTTACACTGGAGTAATGTGCTCTTGGAGATAGAATCTATTGCTTGTAGGAGATTTCTATAACCATTTTAACAGAAAAATGTTTCCTGAATTCTCTTTTTCCCTGCTTAGGCTAGTATTTTAATGTGGATACAAATATCAAGAAGGCTTCTTTGCAGTGCCATTTATGTCTTACCCCGCTCATTTTTCTTTCAGTTATTGTCAGATGCAACACAGCCTCTTGAAAGCCAGAATTTTTCTCCTGTGGTGCGAGATGTAAGTTGCGACGATTTCTTTCCACAGCTGTAGTTTTACTGTTGTCCTCCTGGCTCTTCTCTTGTCCTCACCTGCTACCTCTCTGTGTCTCTCCACTCTCACACTTTCTTTGTATCAGTCATAAGAGTAAAATATGTATTCTAAAAAAAATGTCTTGTGTCATATACATTTAGGCAGTGATTACATCCAATGGTACATTGACTGATAAATATAAATATATCCAGAAACTCCGAGAGGGCAAGTAAGTATTGTTCAAACCTTCTTGTTTTACACATTTATTCTTAGAGTCTTTTAAAATTCTTTAATAGAATCCTTACCATTATGCTTGTACAATATGTAAATTTTAATACCTCTAAGTGTAGGGAATCTAAAAGTGAGTGGCTGAAGCTAACAGGAGTTGTTTTCTCCTGAAGAGTAATACAGAATCTTTTTGCTCTGTAATAGCCTACTTGAGGGCACTCCCAGGGTCCGGTGAATCATGAAACTGAAAGGATCATTTTTATGCAAAAATCTTTTGAAGTCCATTAATGGATTCTTTACAACATGCGTGTTTATGCAAACTTTTTGAAGATCCCACATATAGATTTCTGTGTACTTTTTCAAGCAAAAGTCCAGTAGGGTTTTCTTTTGAGGAACTTCTTGTCCTTTCTGTAGTGTTTTGATCACTGTTATGTCGATTATTTTCTTAAAGGAAACATGCATAACAACACTTTCTTGTGCTGCTCTAAGTTTGTAGTTTGCTTAGGATTTGAGCTCTTTTTTTTTTTTGTTTAGTAGAAGGTTTAGAAAAGTGAACTCTTGTATACAATTTAAGAAAAGTAGTGAAAAAGCAATAGTGACAGGTGTATTTCTCCAGGAATTGTTATGAAGATGTCAAAAAAAATATAATGTGGCATTTTGAACCAAAGAAATAGTTCTCTTAGAGAGATACTGAAGTTTGAAAAAAAAAATTGAATGTTTCTTCTCCAGTTGAATGCAGCTGGCTTCTGTTTATGTCTATCTGTTGCACTGGTATATCCATGCTAAAGAGAATAACCCATGCCCCGAATTCTCTGGGGGAAACTAGAGTGGGAAAACCATAAACAACAAAGCAAAGCACTGTCCTATTTTCTTTTCCAGTGGTTCAAGTAAAGAGGTATGCTCCGATCAAGTATACTACAGTTATGAGTTTTCTGTGTGTGTTGTCTGCTTACAGCTACTTTTTAACGTGTCAGTAAAACATAATGGCTTAAGAGACAGGAAGAATATATATATATATATTTAGAAGAAACTGTGCAACTCCATTGAAAAGTTGTCAGCAGGGGAAATGTCGTGCATGTCTGTTTTTTGTAGCTCTCTCGGCCTTTTGATTTTTCATCATCTGATGGTGTTTTGCATTACTCATGTTAATGGTATGCCCAACGTGACCATTCATGATAATGCTTCATTATTTCATGCCCTATTTTGTACAATAGTAAGACTACTTGGTTTATATTGCTTGGATTTCCTACCTTCCTTTTCTGATATACTCGTAAGCCAAAAGATAAATAATCAAGATTGCACTTTGAAACAAAAATCAGTTTATTTTGAGCCCTGTCTTTTTTTTTTTAAAAGATTTATTTATTTTTATTGGAAAGGCAGATTTACAGAGGGTAAGAGAGACAAACATCTTAAATCTCTGGTTCATTCCCCAAGTGGCCACAACAGCCAGAGCTGAGCTGATCCTAAGCCAGGAACTAGCAGCTTATTCCTGGTTTCCCAGGTGGTTTCAGGGTCCCAAAGCTTTGGGCCATCCTCTGCTGCTTTCCCAGGCCATAAGCAAGTGGCTGGATTGGAAGTAGAGCTGCTGGGACATGAACCAGCACCCATCTGGGATGCCAGTGTCACAGGTGGACGCCCAGCCTAGTATGTCACAGCACTGCCCGCCCAAGTGTATCTTCACCTCTGCACCAAATGTTTACTCCATATCAGGACATTGGTTCTAAAGCCTTGAAAGAGTATATTCATATTCAAAACACTATGTACTAAATATTAATGGATTTATAGAGATGGATAAGAGTTACAGCTGTTGAAGACATAGCTTTTAGGTGAGAGCATTTTTTTATCCAGAAGCTATAAGTGACTAACAGAATAAAATGAGAATGAGCATTATGTCTTGTACTAGCCTTAGGTGTCTGCACTTAACACACAGCGTTTGGGATTTCAGAGTGTGATTTCAAGGATTCTAAATATATGTGAGGAAGAGCAGTAGTCTCCTCACAATGTTGTCTATTCGGACTGCTGTCAGGAGTAACTTAGACTGCCAGTGTAGAGCACATGTTGGGATTGTTTTAAATCCTGTCCCATGGAAAAATGAAATGCAAGACTATTTTATTCAGTTGTGAATAAGTCAAGAAAGCATCTTGCACCTGCTCTAGAAATATTTGAAATTGTGTTCTGCAGACAGAGGAGATATCAGAGATGTCAGACCCTGTTGCTCTTCCTTGCACAGCATCTAAACTAAGTAATGAAACTATTCATAGCAGGAACTTCTTGTTGAAGTTCTTATGGTACGTAGAGAAGTAGAGGAAGGCATTATTGTTCCACAGTCCGTATTTTAGTTTGGTTTGAGGAAAGCAAGATTGGAGAAGGCAAGATTCTGCTTTTTAAGAAAAAATAAATTTTAATTACCTCCTCCCTCTTTTATTTTGGTTCACAGAGAACGTGTTCAGTCACTTGCAATGGGCTCCAAGAAAAAGGTCTTGATTCTTGGATCTGGCTATGTATCTGAGCCTGTTTTAGAATACCTGTCAAGGGATGACAACATAGAAATCACAGTGGGTAAGTAAGTTTTAACCTTTGAGGAACAAAAGCTATTTGTTTTTAAATCACCTTGAACCTGTAAATTTCAGATGACTATTTTCTTTCTTAAATAGAAAAAATAAATTTTAAAAATATGCGAAATGTATGTTATGATCTGGTAGCTGGTAGAAATCTTAAAGTTGTTTCTTCAATTCTTGAAATAGGCTCTGACATGAAGAATCAAATTGAACAATTGGGCAAGAAATATAAGATTAATCCAGTTAGCATGAACATTGGTAAACAAGAAGAGAAGTTGGTTTCCTTAGTGGCGGCACAGGACCTTGTCATCAGGTACATGTCAGGAGTGACTTCTATGCATTGTCTTGTTTTGATTTCCTTTTTAAATTTTCTCTTTTTCATCTCAATTCTTCTGCCTTGTCTCCTCTCCCCTTCCTCCTCTCCCTTTCCTTCCTTTCCTTAACTTCCCGTACCCTTCCCTTCCTTACTTTTCTCTTCCTCCTCTCCTCTCTTTCCTTCCCGTCCACTCTCCGTTCTCATCCCTTTAAAAGCTAGACATATTAATGGTCATATGCACCCAAAAAGTGCACAAAGAATGTGTCACAATGTATTTTTACAAACAATCCCTCTGTCACAACCATCCACATTCCACAATAGACAGATGACAACATCGGCTGAAACATTCTCTGCGTTGTCTAACCCCATCTTTACAGGTAAACAGTATTGTTGCTTCTAACATATAGAATAATTGTTGCCTGCTTGAGGACTTTAAGTAATTGGAATATTTCAGTGCATCATCATTTGTGGTTGCCCTTTATCATTCAGCATTGACCATGAAAGTTACTTGTTTCATTGGCTGTGATTATAGGTTGCTGATTTTCATTGCCATGTAGTATTCCACTGTGCGAACCTACCATTATTATTCATTTGAAGGTGGCTATTTAGCTGTTTTTAGATTTTTGGCTAATATGAGGTACTCTGCTATATACGTTTTAGCATTTATTTCTTGGTAACCATATGCACACATTTCTGATTTGTTTATAGCTAGAAGTAGAACAGTTGTCTTATATTGTATTTCTGGATTATGGAATATTTATGTCTCAAAAATTTTAGTGTTTATTGCTTGTACTTATGCAGTTTAAGTGAAATTAGTATATTCTCTAGATTCAGTAGCACTCTAAGTCTTATTACAGGAAGAGATCTTGAATTAGAGTGCTTTCTACTGCCTAATAAAAATGAAGACCTCACTTGTAGACACAGAGCAACAAGAGGTTTTGAAATGTCAGCGTGATGGGAAGAGTCGTATTCTCTTAGGATGTAGTGTTCATAAGATAAGAGGGACAAGTTTACCTGTTCTTCCAAATGACTGCCAAGAAGTGCCAACAAGTGCTCAGATCAGATTTAACTTTGTGTCTTTGGAGGGGATTCTGTAAAACCTCACATAAGAAAACAAAGGGTTGAGAAAACTAACCCTATGAAAGCTGATTTTAATCACATGTAGCAGCTTTTATATTGCCTCTTGATATTTTTAAATATGACACCGCTGGGTCACTTGAAATGTTGCCCAATTTATACAAATTTCATGTGCATTAATTCTTATTCAACAAAAATTGATGTGACTTGTAAACATTGAAAAAATCCTGATTCAAGTAGAATCAATTCTAACATTCTATCTGAATAAAGAAAAAAAATTCTTTTTTTGCCACACATAGGAACCTAAATATCTCATTGTGGCTTTTTTGTCATTGTTTTTTTTTTCTTAGGCATAAATAACTAAACATAAAACAGATTTGGCTTGAAATTTGTAGAAAAAATGAGAGAACAATGCACAATACAGTCAACTACTAATATGTATAAATTTTAGAGTTGATCTCTAGTAACACCAAACCATAGTAAAAATGCACTGTTTATTTACATTTTTCCCATTTGGTAATTTTTCTCTATTAGGTAATGTCACTAACCATTGTTTTCCTATACAAATAATGTTTTGGAGAAAAGAAACAACATGTTTCAATGTTAATTTTATAATGGGTATTGCAAAAACAAAATGAGTCAAGTGAATGTTTCAAAATGACATGTCAAATTGTCATGGTCTGATTTTTATACTTTTGATTTTAATGATTTAACTGTAAAATAGTATTAATATTGATAATTTTCTGAAAGTTAGATTGGTATTTTGTGTCTGTTTTTTACAATTGACATTTCTAGTCCTTTAGATCAAGTTGAGTCAATTAAGATAACTACAAAGTCATATTCCCAGTTCAAGCTGAGTTTTATGAACAGCTTCATCTTTCTGCTCATTATGTGGAATTTTAGCATTTTTCTAGCTTTCACAAGAATCAGTATCATTAAAATTGATCTCTTCCCCAGTCCTTTGGCTGAATCTCTTCTGTTGAATGTAACACACCAGCTACCTTGATTTACTTTGGGACATTGGGAGGTAAAAAAGATTAGCATGTCTGTTTTCATAGGGGACCCAATGCAGAAATCCAGACAAATACACGGACAAATAAGAGTAAATTCCATGAAGTGTTATGAAGATACATGTAAGGGAAGGAGGTCTCACTTTAGGAGGATCTTGGAAAGATATTTTGGAGGAAAATAACTTTTTGGACCTATGTTAAAGTTAGATATGACTTAGATGGGAATTGAAGGGTGTTTCGGGCTTCCCAAGAGGAAGACACAGCCAGAGCCAAGATGCAGAACTGAAAACAGTAAAGATTTTGAGTGAATTACAACAGCTCCTTTGGTGTCCTAAGTGGTTTATGAAAGAAATTGAGAGAGGAAAGTGGAAAGGCTAGGCGAGGGGCTTTAGGAAGGCTTTAGGTACGACATCAGGGTGAATTCATTCTGCAGTCCCCAGGGAGCCACTGGTCACTTCTGATAGAATGAATCAGAACAGGACCTGGGAATGGAGCGTTAGTACAGTGTAAGGTATATTAGAAAATGTGGTTGGAGAGGAAAGTTTCTGATTAGCTTCTGCTTCTGTCTTTAAGCTTGTTACCTTACGTGCTGCATCCTCTTGTGGCCAAGGCGTGCATCACAACCAAAGTGAACATGGTCACCGCCAGCTATATCACACCAGAAATGAAAGAATTGGAAAAAAGGTCAGTTTCCATCCATTTCAATAAGGGAGATGGCTAGGTGATGTTGCTTTTGATTTACATCCAGTGTTTGCTTTTTGGATCTCTTGGCAGAGTGCAAGATGCTGGAATCACAGTCATCGGTGAGTTAGGTCTGGATCCTGGCCTTGATCATATGCTGGCAATGGAAACGATAGACAAAGCCAAGGAAATGGGAGCCACGGTGAGCCTATTTATACCCAAAGGTCTATTCATGGACGTATCAAAAAGGGCCAACTTCTTATGTATACAAGTAATCTTTCTGTGACTGTGAGAAGAGATGCCTCTGAGTGATAGCTTACAAATTCTGAAGAGATTCCAAATGCAATTCTCTAACTGTGGGAATAGCCAGTCATGAAACAATGTCCCAGGCTTAGGCAGCAACCACTTTTCAGAGAAACAGAAGTTACCATAACATTTTAGCTTAATAAATATTTCATATTGCCTTGGAGTTTCTGTATTCAGGTTTGACTTTTAAAAGTAGAGAAAAAACCCTTTAAAATACCATGAATCTGTTGATGTTTGATTATATTTTCCATATGATTACTGTTTGATATATAAACATGATGATTCAGATTAGATGTTTGAGCTTTTAATATATGCCATCAAATATCTACATTGAATATAAAAGTCTGTAGACTAAGCTGAATGGAACTAACATTGCCTTGAGAAGTAAGTTTATTTTTCTTCCAGCAGTTATAAAATATAATTGTGATTTTATTGAATGGTGCTTGACTCTAAAGATGCGTTTTTAAAAGCTACAGGCAAGAAAAAATTCTAGCAAACTCATCTCCTGTCATTGTCCTCAATTCAGTTTTTAGATGAATTATTCTTAACTTGTTGATTCATTTATTTGCAGATTGAATCTTATGTTTCTTACTGTGGTGGGCTTCCAGCCCCTGAATATTCAGATAACCCTTTGAGGTATAAATTCAGCTGGAACCCGACAGGAGTTTTGATGAATGTAATGCAGCCTGCCACCTACCTGCTCAATGGAAAGGTGAGGAGTTACTATTAAAGCCGTTGTGATTCCAGCTGCTTTAGAAAGTCTGCTTTCTCCTGCCCTGAAAGCCCTGTGGCATTGGCTGTGCTGCAGGTCCTCACACTGTCTCTTTTTCAGTAAGTTTTCTGTGTATATTTTCTGTTACTTTGCATGCCATCTCCCCAAGAGTCCAGCAAATTCTGATTATGTGCTCACCCTTCCTTCATTGCCTTCATGCAAAGCGTTTCTGCTGTTTGGCAGTTCATTTGTCCACTTCTTACACATGTAGATACTGGTCATCTGCTGACTTATTTCAGCATGATAAACAGTTCATGAAAGTCTGTGTTGGACTTCAGGTAAGACATCAAGGGCTTCCACACTTTCTGATGTCGGAGAACTCAAGCCTACATGAGGGTCGACCCTTAAAAGGAAAGGTTTTGTGGGTCAGGAAAGGGATGTGTGGGTTCGTTCCCCACTGCTGGACAACAGTGCATAAGGACTGTCTTGAGCTTTGTATTATTCTTATCTTTTTCCCAAAAAGAAATCTATGGCTTAGAAAGAATTGTCCAAATGTCCAAATTCAGGGCCAACTAACTCTTAACACGTAATTTAATGTCAGAAAATTAGACACTGAAATAGGCAACTAAAATCCATTGGGAGAAATTTAATAGTATGCTTATTGCCAGAGAAATAATGACTGAAGGCAGTTGCTTTGGCTTCTGGAAGAAGTGAAGGAATGGGGAAGAAGGAAAATAGGATTTTGGAAAAGAGGATATGCTTTGCGAAAGGGTGAAAGAGACCAGGCAAGCAACCATTCACAACTCAGCAGGTTTATAAGGAAGGAAACTGGTATAGGAGGCTCAGATAGCTCAGTAATGGTTAAATTGATCACAATAGGCAAATCCTGTATCCACACCACAGCTGTTTGACTTCATCCCTGGGGGAAACATGTGACAAGACTGAGCTGCCTCTTGGAATTGTGTGTTCCATGCATCACATTTGTTTTATTTAGTCCTGGCGCTACAAGGACTGATGGGTGACCTGATAAAAAATGTGGTATCACAAGTCTGATGTCCGTTTTGTAAATTCTTAGTGTATCTGTCATCTTTAAAACATTTTTCTTTTTTTAAAAAAGATTTATTTATTTTTATTGGAAATTCAGATATACAGAGAAAAGGAGAGACAGAGAGGAAGATCTTCCATCTGTTGATTCACTCCCCAAGCAGCTGCAACAGCTGAAGTTGAGCCAATCCAAAGCCAGGAGCCAGGAACCTCTTCTGGGTCTCCCAAGTGGCTGCAGGGACCCAAGGCTTTGGCTGGCTTTGACTGCTTTTCCAGGCCAAAAGCAGCAAGGTGGATGGGAAGCAGGGCTGCCGGGATTAGAACTGTTGCCTATATTGGATCTGGGTGCATGCATGGCAAGGACTTCAGCCACTAGGCTACCAGGTGGACCCCTGTATCTGTCATTCCAATGTATTGCAGGAGTCAAATGAAAGAATTTCTTTCAAAGCAAGATTCTCAGCCATCATCTTGTGTGCCAATGATATGGAGCAGGGCTAATAGAGTTTGAGATCACCAAGATTGCTTTGAAAGTATAGATGCCTGGATCCTATCCTCAAAGACTCACATCCACCAGGGTTTAGAAATTTCTAAAGTGTCCCTGAGTAATTCTACTATATAGCTCAATGTGCCAGCAACTGAGATAGCGAGGACCTCAGCTGCACTTAAAAGCACTACTAAATGTGTTCTACCTAATGCCGAAAAGATGGATTTCACACTTCAGGGCAAGGACAGGACTGGCATTCTGCACGGTGCTTCCAAAGGCCAGGAAACTGATAGGGTCAGGACAACAGGCTTTTCTTTGAGCCATAAATGCTGGCCATTCTGCCCAGCTCCCCAGTTCTCTAACTCTCGGAGCTTTGAACCTGCATCTCAGTTTGCTATTCTGCCAGGCACACATGCTTTTCTGTGCCGCGGCCTGTCGTTTGTTGAGATGCCGTCTAACTGTTCCCTTTACCTTCTGCTGTCAGGGAAAAGAGGCTGGCCTGGGGCTGGTGTCAAGCAACACTGAAAGGCAGGATGATTTCATGGTTGAGTTGGGCAAAATGCCTATCTTCCCTAGGTTGTTGGATGAGATGGTTATAGAGAGGGGATCAGAGCAATGCAGCCAATAGAACAGAAAGAGGTGAGGCTTGGATGCCAGCAGGCCTGGCTTAGTGCCCTCGCTCTGCCATTATTTGTGGATAAACTTTGAGCTGAAGGGAAGGACACTACCAGTCTTTAGGATTCTTGTGATGTGAATTGCTGAGGTCGCATCGCCTCCTCTCCATCTAATAAGCAGTGGGTTGTCAGGCCTCCTGCAGGTCTCTAGCTGAAAGAAGCAGTTGTGAGAGCCCAGGAAAAGCCCAAGCTTATTTTCAGGTAGCAGGAGTAATTTTGTTGTTGTTGTTAAAGTCTTTTTGCTTCCGTCCTGAACTCCTTTTGTGTAAAGGAGTGCTTTGTGCATCTCTTTGCCACTGTGGAGGAGTCAAAGAGAAAACACGATGCTTTCTTTTTCTTTGCTGAAATACTTTTCTGTGCTAAAATGACACTTTTTCCAAGGTCTTGTTTAAGTTTCCTCTTGTGGATAGAGTTTTTCCCGACCACTCCACTCCCTGTTCACTGTTCTTTCGTCTGGACCCAATTGAAATGTCAGACACTTGAATGGTCTGTGTCTGAAAATTGTCTGGGTCTTGTATTATTCACGCAGCAGTTCAAGTATATCCATTTATTTCCCAAGCCAGACTGTTAAACTTCCATTGTCCCTCCACCCACTCTACCACCATCACTGTTGGCCGTGAAGCACCCCTTGAATAATTCACAGAATCCGAATGGGGCAGCTTTAAACTTTGCCGACAACTGGACCATCGTCTGTCAGTTGGGGTCTGTTTTATGCAACATCTTTGCCCTGTTTCCTACCAGTAGCACTCTTGCTAACTTCTTCTCAGAGCCAGGATGCTTCACTAACTCTTGGTCTTTGTAAACCAGTCACCAAAACTCACTTTACATTTCTTAGCTGTCTTGACGAGACTGCATGATCAGTGTATGAACCAGCTGACGTATTTTTGTTAGACAAAGTGCTAGAATGTTGTTTCTATTTTAAAATTTCCCCCACCCCCAACCTTCAAATAAGGCAAGAAAATTCTAAAATTGCCCTAGCTCAAGGAAATGATATGGGTGTGGAGCCTTTAAGTATAAATCAACCAGTTTTATTTAAATCGCATTTAGAAATGAGGTTTACAATCCTATCAGATTTAGATCCTGTTGGATTAGAGTTAGAAATCAAAGCTTAGAACACTGACAGAGGAATTCTGTGCCCAAGAAATTGGAGCAAGATGGTCTGTCTGGACATGTGCTTGTGTGCTTTGCAGCCCAGAATGACTTCAGGAAAATAAACCAAAAGCATACCTCCTGTTCTTCCGGTTCACACTCTGGAATTCTAAGTGACATGTGGAACCCTGCAGCCTGATCCCAGTCAGGGGAAGTCTCTTGAGTTCCTTATCTCACCCTGGAGGCAGTGTCACTTTTTCCTTCTAGGCTAGAGTCTCTGCTGAGAAACCGTGCAGACCCCATCTGCAGTTCAGCTGTAGGGATTGCTGTGTTCCATGCCTTCTTCCAGCCAGCTCCCCTGGATCCACCCACAGGCCCGTGGCAGCTCCCTGCTGCTCTGCTGTTCTGTGCAGCCTTAAAGACAGGAAGGGCAGTGGTTTCCAAAGCTGCAGTCAGGACAACTCCAATTCTACCCATAGTCTCAGTCTGAGCTTTCAACTCTGTCATACTGCTTTCTTTTACTTAAGAACAACAATAAAAATCAAAGTTAGAGAAAGTTTAGTCCTTTCATTAAAATGGACAAAAATAAAAGCCCACATCAAAAAAAGCTTTTTGGGAGTCAGTAGTCTCATTTCTCTCCAACCACACAATCAGGGGAGCACTCACTTGAGCTTCACTGGATGACCACCACCTTGCCTTGAGGAGGGAGAGCTGCCTTCGCTGCCCTGTCCACAGGTACCCCCGAATCTTTGCTCCCAACACATGCCAGGGTTTGCTAATCCAGACTGTGAGCTCATTAACCTTGTCCTAGCATAGCTCCTGGAACTTGATAGAAGTTCAGAAAATATTTGTTTCTCTAATAAGGTAGTGAATTTAGGACAGGAATTATGTATGATTAATCACTCTGCTTTTATTCTCTTTGTGATTTGTGTGACTCCTGACACATACATAACAGGCATTTAACGCATGTTCACAATGTGAAGGAAATGCACAAGTTCAGAAGGCATAGGATAAAGAAAAGTGAGATTAGTTACATTAGTTTATCATAGAAATCTTTTAAATGAATCTCCGTTGTATATATATTTGGTTTTTTATTTCAAAACTACAAACTCTGTTGGGACATAGTTCACTGCCATTTTACCCATCGGTAAGAAAATTTAAAAGATATGTTAGGAGAAACTAAATGCACTTGGTCAGGTTTGAAAGCTTGGGAGAATAATTACCATTATTCTTGTGAATGACCATAGTGATAATTGTATGAGTATGGGTGATGGTGGCTTCATTAAAAAAAAATCCAACTGTAATAATCACATCAGTGCCTTTTCAATGTCCCTCAGGTTATGAACGTAGCTGGGGGAGTGTCCTTTCTTGATGCAGTTACTACCATGGATTACTTCCCAGGATTAAACTTAGAAGGCTACCCTAATAGAGACAGCACAAAATACATGGACATTTACGGCATTGCATCTGCCCACACTGTGTTGCGAGGGACACTGAGATACAAGGTAAGCATCTACACTTTCTCTTTTTCAGTTTTTAAGACCATTATGTATTTTAGCAGCAGGGAAAGACTGAGAGGGAAAGGAGAGGAGGAGCAGGAGAAAGAGAGCAAACTCCCATGTGCTGGTGCAGTCCCAAGTGCTCAGGCACCCCAGTGTGGGGTGCAGGGAGTCCCAACTTCCATTCTAACCCTCGGGCCGAACATCTCCTGATATTGGCTGTGATGTAAATGGTGCACAACCTTCATTTTCTGTAGTAATCAAAATAATTAAGATGCTATACTAAATTGCAGCCTTTTTTCTCCAGGAGTCTCATGATTGTTTTAAGAGGCTGTAACCAAATGGACAAAACAGAAACTTGTGGCTGATGAGGCGACAGGGCAGGCTGAGGTCTGACTTTAGGCTCAGTGACACTTAAGGGTGGGATGGGAGGGAAACAACAAACATCTCTTTTCCTCTCGATGGCTCCTCTCAGAGTTGACAGCAGTCTCAAGTCCCACATATCAATATATCCCCGGCTTGGTGCAGTCAAATCCAGCGAGAAGTAAATGCTACGTCTTTCTAGCAGCTGAAAATATAATTTTGGTTTGCTAGCTAGTACAGGTCCATGAAGTTTGTGAGATGAGAAGTACCGGTTGGCCACAGCTGAACATGAAGTCAGCATGCCTGGGGATGGGCTCAGAGGGGCTCCCAGAAAGCAGAGATGAAGGATGTATAACCACAAAGCAGCACATTCTAGGAGCACAAACACCTTCCTAGAGGCCGTTACCTTTGCCTGGAACCTCTTCCTTTAGACAGCTGCACTGTTCTTGGTCTCCTTCAGTCCTTGCTCTTTGTGACTCCTCTCATACCATGCGAGTTAAACATGACCAGTCCCTTGCCAAGGATGCATTTCATTGTTCTTCCCTATGTGAAGTAAGTGTTAGCATCCGGTAGACGTTTCAGGTCTGAAGGGGACTAGCTGGAAAAATAAGGTGGGAGTGGATATTACCTCTGCAGTGCTCGCATGAGACCACTGGCCTTTGGATTGCCTCGTTTCTTTTCCTGTCTAGTTCAGATTTAAGGTTTAGAATATGAAGTTATGGCAAGCATGTAGAAAATAAAATGGTTACTATAGTGATGCAAAGAAACACAATCATCTTCTCATTTTTTAAAAAAATATTTGTTTATGGGGCTGGTGCAATGGCTCAATTGGCTAATCCTCCGGTAATCCTCCACCTGCAGTGCTGGTTTCTTCATATTGGGGCACCAGTTCTAGTCCCAGCTGCTCCCCTTTTGATCCAGCTTTCTGCTTATGGCCTGGGAAAGCAGTAGAGGCTGCCCAAAGTCCTTGGGACCCTGCACCCACATAGAAGACCCAGAGGACACTCCTGGCTCCTGGCTCCTGGCTTTGGACCAGCTTAACTGACTGTAGTGGCCGCTTGGGGAGTGAGCCAACGATGAAAAATTATCTCTGTCTTCCCTTCTCTCTGTAAATCTGCCTTTTCGATAAAAATAAGTAAATAAACCTTAAAATCTTAAAAAAGATAAAGATATATATTGGCGTGGAACAGTTTTGGCATATGCTGCAGTTTTGTCGCTTAATGGATACATAAAAGAAACTTATATCTAGTGACCCCTACAAAACCCCATTTCTGAGATTAAAATAGCTAAGAAGTCAATATTTTAGATGCTGGGTGAAGAAATTCTCAGCACTTATCCAAACCTGAAAGTCAGCGTGGCTGTCCCTTCCTATTTCTCCTCTGTGAATTTGACTCACATTGAGGCTGCACAAATGTTGAATCCTTTCGTTAGCAACCTTTGAACAGTTAAAACATTAGCAACTTTTGAAAGGTTAAAACAGCATCACCTCGCAGAATTGTGGAAACTGTAGGACCACTTGTTTCACATAGTGAAATCTGTTAAGACCACAGGAACTAAAACTTTCTATAACTGTTGTTTCCCAAAGCTGTTTTCCGTACTCTGTCTCCCCCCACCCCCTTTGCATAGTAACTGTAGCAGCCACAAAGTCCCTTATTTTAGTCCTCACATTTCCCTCTCCAATTCGCACAAAAGAGAACAAATCCTCATGGTTATCCTTTACTTCATCTGCCAGTGAAATTCCATTTATTTAGCCATTTGTTATCTGTTTTCCTTCAGTAGTCTGAAATGTGGGAATGTTGGAAAATGGGGTGAGGGAATAAGTTTGAAGGGTAAGCACACACAAATTAAAACACACACACACACACACACACACACACACACACACACACACACACACACACACTTTCTTCGCTTTTTGTACAGGCAGCCCAGCAGCTAAAGAGATAATTGTAAGTTGTATTAATTTCCCTAATAGAGATGTGACAAGATTCTGTGGGTACACAGAGAACAGGGGACTCTGGAGGCATACTGAGCTGGTTCATAAGGGAGCAGCAAATATCACATAGGTGAGGGAGGGGGCCAACATACTCCATGCGCAGGAGTACTGTGTAAGGGGTCCTGGCCCTCGGGCAAGCACAGCACACTTAGGGAATTATGCCAAATGGAGATGATGATGGCAGAGAGAGGTTAAAGAAGCAGACTGGTGGATCTTTTGAACCACACCATGGACCTTAGACCTACGCTACGTGTGGAGAACAGATGAGGAAATTGTAGCAGTGTGCTAACACGATCACTTTGGCACTTTAGAAAAGTCTTTGAATCATACTTCTTCTCCAGCCCCTCTATGTGTCTTAGGGTGGTGGCTTTTAATAAACAGAATGGGGTTATTTGCTTTTGAGGATGTATCCTCAGCAGGTGACAGCCTATCACACTTGTGGAAATTTGCTCATTATACTGTCAGAAAATACAAAAACAGAAGAATCAAGTTTTACAAAGTCTCACATTATCCAACAACATTGTCATGATGTGATTGGGGAAGTTGTGTCTATATCAGCAATTCAACAACTATTTTTTGCTTGTTTCCTAAAGTAGTGGTGAAGATAGTTCCTTCTTTAAAAAAAAAGTCTAAGATTTTTGTTTTTCTTTGAAGATGAAGTTTTCTGGCACTACTTTAAATTCTTTCAGGGGTATTCCAAGGTCCTGAATGGATTTGTGAAATTGGGTCTTATAAACAGAGAAGCTTATCCTGCCCTTCAACGTGAGGCCGGTCCTCTCTCCTGGGTGAGTGACTGTGGGACTAAATGCTGTCCGGTGTTCTTCTAAAAGTGTGAACTCTGCTTTGAACCACCGTAAAAGCCAGTCCATTAGCGTATGTGCAAGAAGACAAGCCCAAGCCTCAGCACGCTCTGTGCGTTCATCGTTACAGCAGGATGGAAAGGACCTGGGGGAGAACAAACTAGATCTGTTTGCCGAGTTCCGAGAGGAGGTGCGCTGGCTGTCTGCACTGAACTCTGTGATCTGCCGGTTGTCCGAATGGTGACCCGGGACATACACTTGGGGCTAGAGGATGTGATGATCCAGGAGAGATGTGGGAGCCTCAGATCCCAGGGATTCTCTCACCTGCACACTCAGAAGCATGAGCAGTTTGAACTTCAAGAACTGATGTTTATCCCCATAAACTGTTATACCCAAATCTTAGGGTGTCAAGGTTGGAAGGTACTATGGAAACTTGAGTAGCGTTTTTGCTAATTGTCAAGATTTGACTCATTACCAGCTTGTTCATTCAACTTAAACAAACATACTCATATTCCAGTAAAAATCCCCAAAATGTAGCACAAAGAGAAAAAGGTCAGTGCCACTAATCCTAATCCTATTAAATCCTCAAAAGAAACTGGGATTCTTGCCAGCTGGTTTCTGTGTGTGTGTGTGTATTTAATATGCACTTGTGAATCATTCAGGCTCATTTGTTATAAATGCACTTGTGGAATGAAGTGAAACAAATGTCTGTCGATGCAACTAAATTGGGAAGATTGGTGTGGCATTTTTAGGGGTGCCCCAGCATCTTGAGGATGATAGCCTACAACATGGTTGACAAACTTCTTTTGTAAAAGACCAGTTTGCAAATATTTGTAAAATATTGTAGGCTTTATGTGCTGTGCTGTCTGTTGCAATCAGTTAGAAAAAAATCATAAATAAGAGAGCACATAAATAAGTGAGCATGACACGTTTCAATTAAGAAAAACAACCACCACCAGATCATCAGCTGATTTGGATGTCCCTTGTTTTGTTGGCTTCTGATCCCGAGGTTAGTTTTCCTTTGTGATCCCAGAAAAAGTCTTGTTTAGAAATTAGAAAAAAGCAATGGTCACTGTTGAAAAGTTCTTCCTTTGAAATTTGATTGCCCGTAAGGTCTTTCTCATCTCTTGAACCTATAAAAGAACTCCAGTTGCTACTGGCAACCACAGCAGCAAACCCCTTCCATGTTAACCTGCCCCAAATTAACTGCTGGAGAGTGGGTGAAAAAAACTGAAGGCAAAGATCCACAAGGGAGGAAACGCGTTGGTAAATGCTGGGACAGGATCTGTTCGGCACCGGTGCGATGTTATGGCTGGCTTTTGTGTTCAAACCTCAGTCTGGAACATTACGCATCTACTGAAATGCAGGTGCACATTATGCTGTAGTTTTGTATTACCAGTTATTTCTAATTAAAAAAATTTAGGTGCATTTGAGCTTCAATGTCTTAATGCAGTAGTTTATAAATGTATTCATTTCTTGTTTTATTAGGAACTTAGAGATTTTTCTTTTTTTTTTTTCCCTCTGTTCAGAAAGAACTCCTCTGTGATCTAGTGGACATTTCACCCTCCTCTAAGTACGATGAACTAAAAGCAGCTGTCCTTAAGAAATTAGGAGGGGACAGTACGCAAATGGAGGCAGCTGAACGGTAGGCTCCTGCCACTCAACTTGGAATAGAATATTATTGGCTGTATGGTCATTTGTGCTTTCCAGAAATGAAAGGTCATAATCTATCCAAACATTTTGCATTTATCTTCGATCATTTTGCTTTTCCAAGGTTCATCTGTCATGGAAAGATTTCTAAGTAACATATTCATTTGGGGCCAAAAAGTACACAAAAACTGGAACTCAATGCAATCATAATTAAGGGACACTTGGTGGTTTGCAACTCTTTCCTATGCAATTCCCAACAACTGTGGTTTTTGTTTGTGTTTTGCTTTAATGTAGGACACATTTTCAATGTTCTTCCAATTACTTCAATGCTTTCCTTTATGTAACTGCTAGTTGACATACTTCATGTGGGTGAGCTAACATGTAAATTCATCTAATGTAATGCTTGGGAATGAGAACTTATATTTCATTCTCTCCACGGCACTATAAGGAGCCATTCTTGGGGGAATCTGGACAGGATCTGAAGGTAGAAAAATTAGTATTGTCATCTGACAATTAAGATAGTCATAGCCTAGAGTATTAACTTGTGATTCTGTTCTTTGAAGAAAAAAAAACTAAGGTTCTCTTTTCTGCTCCTCCAAACGAGAGCATGCACAGGACTTGAACTAATGCAGCCATCTGTTGCACTTTTCAGGTTGGGCTTGCTCGGGGATGAACAAGTCCCTCGTGCGGAGTCCATTGTGGATGCGCTGTCCAAGCATTTGGCAACGAAACTCTCCTTTGGTGAGCTCTGGGGTATTAACGAACCTCGAAGTTAGCGTTGATACTGGCAGAGCGTTATACTGGCATCTAGCATTAGGGATGTGGAGGTATAATGTTAGGTAAAAGGACACTGAGCCTGTTTTTCCAGAGGGAAGAATGTAAGAATGAATTTGGGATTTACCTTTCATTTTTAATGCATTGGGGAAATACTGAAGAAGTGTTTTTGGAAGCAAACTGTGGTCTCTACAGCAGTCGGCCAGTGTCTGTGGCCAGGCTGACTTGAACAACGGACTGCGATCAACATTCTAATTTCCTTGAGGTTTTCATTTGTGTTTTTTTTTTTTTTTAACTAAAAAGCAGTGCAGATGGTCATTCAGTGGCTGAGTACAATCAGAAAGGGACTTGTCAAAGAAGATGAAATTTAGTATTTGAGTTGTAATCATAATCAACATTTTAACATTTCTTAATTTATTTTCAGGCCCTGAAGAAAAAGATATGATTGTGGTGAGAAACACATTTGGAATAAGACATCCTTCTGGACATTTAGAAAATAAGACTATTGATCTTGTGGCTTATGGAGACATCAATGGCTTTTCGGCCATGGCTAAAACTGTGGGGTTACCCACTGCCATTGCAGCTAAAATGTTGCTTACTGGTAAGTTTGATTTACCTGAGGACTGCGTCTGTTTCTACATCATCTTCAAGCCATCCAGTCCCTGGATATTTAGTAATTACCCTCACGCACAGCACTTACTGGCATTCAGTGGAATGTAGTTATTTCAGAACGTTCTAGCACTGGCTTAATGTGGTGAAGAAAGGAGTGTGAGCTTTGGAGTTGGACCTGATTTGCACCCCAGCTCAGTCCCAAGGTGACTGAATGCTGCAGGCTGTGTGTTACTCAAGCCCCTTCAAGCCATTTGAACATATGTACTTGTTTTAGTCAGCTTTTCATTTATATGACAAAAAAAAAAAATCTGAGATAGGCTAAGTATGAAGCCAAGAGGCTCATTTCACTCACAGTTCTGGAGGTTGTGTGGCTCCGTGTGTTCGGCTTTTGCGAGGGCAGCAGAGGACAATGCCAGAACGTGCAAATATGTGGAGGAATGATTGCACAGTAAGCCAGGAAGTGGAGGAGAGCAGCTGAGTCCAGTGCAGGCTTTCATAAGTGATGCTCTCTCAAACATTTCCACTTAGGGCACATCCTGAGGACCTAAAGCCATTGCATGAGACCACTTCCTACACAGTGAAAGGATGAAGTTTTATTGTATTAGCATCATCAATTGGTGGCTTTGGGGTTCTAGGTTCTGTATGATTTAAAGGAAAAGAAAATATTCAGTCCATAGTGGTACTGCCATCCCTAATTCATTTTTTTTGGCGGGGAGGGGAGCAGGTGACCGGAGGTGAAACAAGTAAAATAGTGGGTAAAGTTCTTACCCCTTTGAACTGTCCCCCAGGAATTGCTAACTCTCTTCTTTCCTTGGCTTTTACTTATTTGTCAATGATATCTCTGAGATAGCAGAGGGTATTCACTTCTTCATCCTTAAGAGTACAGACAGTATTTTCTTTATTTTCCTATCTCAGTGTTGAATACATTTTTTGAGCTACCTACAAACTTTCTATGGGGCTACACCTGAGTCAACCCATTGTAAGTTGAGAATTTGTTAGCTAGAAGTCACATTTTCATAAACCTGACCTATAGCTCCATCCAGTTTAGCAACATAATGTCTTGGCTGTTCACCCCTGTGATCACAGAGCAGGCTGGTCGTCTTGGCTGCTACTGCTGCCCCACATCGTAACAGGGTACTGTGCCATGCAGTTAGCCAAGCAACAGATCAAGCTTGAAAAATGTGAGGCATAATGTCTTTTGAATGCATGTTGTTTTTGTAGCATTTGAAAGCCTAAAAAAAACATAAGTTGAACCATGTAATCAGGAAAGTTTACACTTTGAGTTTCCACTCTTAAGCTTCAAAAAATGTCACCTCTGAACATTTGGCCTTCTTGGAAAAACCGAGGGGGTGTTAAAAAAATCCTGAACGCAGATAACTATGAAGTCATGGAAAAATGCGCAGCATCATGCTGGCTAATGACAAATTAAACTGTGCTTAGCGTAGAAGGGACAGAAGAGGGTTTCCGTGGCCTGGCAGGAAAGTGCGGCCTCACCGCTTCAGTCTTCTTACAGGTGCTCACGCTCACGTGATCAGGTTGGCTTTTGGCAAAAATGACATCAGCCAGATGACAGATCTCTGGGATTTACCTTCTTCCATTTTTCTCTGGTTACTTTAGCTGTAACAAATGTAGCTAGGTGTAAACATTTTGAGACAATTTCTCAACCCAGCTGTGTTTTCAATCTAAAAGACATTTGCTATCCTTACAGAGTGTTAATCAAATAATACTTTAGTATGGGAGATATAAGAAACTACCTTAAAAAAAAAAAAACACTTGCTCAGGCCTCCATCAGTCCACTGACTGTGAAGTGATTCCATCCATGGGTGGCTCTTGCTGGGGAAAGGGAGCTTTGGAATCACCTTTGAAACGATAACCACACATTTTTGTTCCTCCAGGTGAAATTGAAGCCAAAGGCCTGATAGGACCCTTTTCAAAAGAGATCTACGGACCAGTACTGGAGCGCATCAGAGCAGAGGGCATTATGTATACTGCACAGAGCAAAATCAATCCATGATTGGGAATTATGTTTTCTTTTTTTATTGATTTTCTCAGCAACATAGCTCTAAACAATTGTGTGACAAAATTGCCTTTATATAATGTGCTACTTTATAAGGTATAAAGCACAATGTATTTTGACAAAGTTAATATAATTGTCTTTTTTAAACATGAAGCGTTATTTTAATATGAAAATGTTTAAAACAGGAGGTGCCAATAATTACTGAAAACTTAAATAATTCCACTATATATTTTTCATACAAAAGTAGTAATGACCATGCTATTTGTCAATTCGTTGTACCACTTTTTCTTACAAGCAAATATTTTCTAAGGTCCGAGGTGCAGTTAGAAGAACGTCCTCAAGTAGCCGTACTTTGATATTCCTCAAGTTGATGCTTTTGGAAACCTTTAGATTACCTATCGGCAAAGCATTGCAAAGGGAATATTTGGCACCTGTTTAGTAGTGATGTTTTATTCTGTAAATATTGTTCCTTATAGTTTTCTCTTGATTGTTTTGAGTGGGGACTGGAAATCATCATATATGTATACATAGATCCTACCCATACAATCACCTCATAAGGCAAAGAAAAGCTACTTAACAGTAGGAAACACTCCTTTGTGTTAGGGGGTCTGAGCAAAGCAAAAGCAGAAAGGAACGTTTTCACCCTATACAAGGCGTCTGCGGAAAACCCACAGGTGGAGTCCTACTAAACAAGGTAAGGCTGAGCGACGTCCCCTAAGATCAGTAACACTGACTGCCCCTGCTTCTCTATCCAGCTTATGCAGAGGGGCCGAGCCAGGGATCTAGGGCACAGTTAGGAATTAAACTCTACCATAGTTGGTAGGCTGTTGTGGAAATACATAGAGAATCTGTAGATAGACTCTTAAAAACTAACAAGTGAGTTCGGCAAATTTTCAGTGCATATTACTGTGTAGAAACGGATTATCTTTTCATACAGTATCAATAAATGAACAGTGAATAAAGAATAAACCATGAGATTACCAAGGAATGTAAAAGGGGTAGAATTGAGAATCCAGAGATAATCAGTTGATTTTCCAAAAAGCACTAAAATAATTCAGCGGTCGGGGGTGGGAGCCTGGGGTGGGATGGCAGAAATAATTTTTTTTTAATTAAATGGTACTTGCAAATTTGACAATGTACTTGTGAAATAATAAAGTAAAATTCTTACCTCGTATAAGATATATAGTTTAACTCAAAATAAGCTTGTGCCCTAAATGTAAGAGCTAAAACTGTAAAAATAGAAGACAACAGAAATACAAGTCCTATCTAGTCTAGTTAAAATAGACAAAAAGCTATTGCAATTTAACAATGAAAATAAAATCACCTCATTTTAAAAATAGACAAAGAATGTGCATTGACCATCTTCCAAAGAAAATACCTAGAAGCCAGATAAGCCCATGCCAACTTTTCAGTTTTATTCATTGTCAGGGATACGCAAATCAAATAGATGAGATACTACATCATGCCCAATAGAATGACCCTAATGAAAAAGATGATAAATGCCTATATAACAGTGAAGGTGAGGAGAAAGTGGATCCTTCACGCCGTACGAGTGGATACATTAGGGAAAAACCCGAAAGCATTTACAGACACAGAACCTTGTACAAAAATGTTCCTGGCAGTAATCATAACACCTAGAAACACAGACAGCCCCAATGGTCATCAGCTAAAAAGGGATATGTAAAATGTATAGCCATGTAATGGCGTAGTCACCAGCCATAGAAAACAAATGGTGAATGGCTATGGTCCACACGTGGAAGCATGTTGTATGATTTCATTGACGTGAACTGTCCGGAACAAAGTCTATTTGCAGAAAATGGAGATTCATGATTGCTAAGGACTGGGAAACTGGGAGGAAAGTGGAATGACTGCTAATGAGTGTGGGGTTTCTTTTTTGGTTTATGAAGACACTGGAAAATTGATTGTGATAATGGTGGTGACAGTGTGTGTATACTCAAAGCCACTGAACTGTATACTGTATGCGAATTTTATGCTACATGAATTGCATCTTGAGTTGTTGTAAAATGCAATTATAACTTGCTCCTTGAAGAAATAACACTTTGCATTTGAGATATAAATGAAGTATTTGTTTTGCCTTCATGCATTGTGGTCATAATTGGCATTGAGAGTAAATCTGCCTTTGAAATAAACAGGTGTTAAGCTTGTTGTTTATTACCATTGCAAAAAAATCTCCAGTGCTATTTGAAATGGATCAAAATTGATGAAGAGCTGATCCCACGTATTGTACGTGGTGTATGTATATCAGTAATACACTAATAAATACATTTTGTTATGGAATGATTTCAACCACAACAGTGAATTCAGTTCAACCCATCAGGAAACACTTTGTGCCAATGACCCAACCCACTGTCTGGAACAGAGTACACTGATTGGGGACTGGTAATGCAGCACCTTGAATGGAATTGGGGCACTGCCAATATAATTGACTTGTTTGAGTTTTAGGATACTGTATGATAAAAGTAATGGAAGAGCTGATCAATATTGGTAGTGGTTATAGAAAAAGAACTGCTAGTGGGCTTGAAGAAAGCTGTGTGTCTAACCAAACACTCCCTTAGCTTTCAGAATCAGATTTACCTGTAGAAACCCCAGTATTAAAGGCGGTGTCAGTAGGGTATGGGAAGGGTCACATGTGTTGTAGTTACAGGTGTTGGGCTCTGTAAAGGGGCAGCATTTTTTTTTTAATTGTAAGATTTGTTTTACTTGAAATTCAGAGCTATAGATAGCAGAGAGATTCCACCTGCTGGATCACCACCCCCCTCCCAAAGAGTTGCAATGGCCAGAGCCAGGCTGCTGTGAAGCACGGAGCCAGAGGCTTGCTCTGGATCTTCATGTGGGTATAGGGATGCAAGGCCTTGACCCACCTTCCCCTGCTCTTCTAGGCTATCAGCAGGGAGCTGAAGCGGAACAGTCAGCACTTGAACTGGAGCCTATACAGGATGCTGGTGCCACAGGCAGAAGATTACTGTGCTATGCCACTGCACTGAACCTGGTAGTTTTTTTTTTTTTTCTAAAAGTACTAGACAACAAACATTTTAGGTTGTTCAGAGCATATACATCATAAATGCTCATTTCCACATTTGTAGTATAGAATTACATATATATAAAATTATATGGATGCAGGGTCCCAAGGCCATGACCCATTCTCTGTTGCTTTCCAAGGCCACAAGCAGGAGCTGGATCGGAAGTGGAGCAGCAGGGACACAAACCAGTGCCCACATGGGATCCCAGCACTTGAAAGGGGAGTACTACCCAGTTGAGCCATTGAGCCATGCCAGTCAGTCACACATGTTGTGCAGTAACTTCTTTTTGCCAATTTTGTTTTCATTTCAATGCTAATTCTTAATTTTCATTAGCTAACAAGAAAAATAAAAAGTGTGAATAATCATATGTGGTTATATCTAGAAGTTGCGTTTTGTTGGTATGGCAGAGTAGGTTTCTAGTGTTCTTTGGTCTTAGGTGGATTGGTAATGTGTACATAACGAATACATTGATGCATAGCAATTTCATAAACCCTGGAAGTCCCACTCTAAGCCTGAGAGTCCTAGGAAGTTGTATTGATATTTCTCCCATCTTTCTTTGATTGAAGATGACTCTGGGGTGTTGTCTGGCACAGCTCACAAGGCACTTGGCTCTGATTATTTGAGTTCATTTTCTCTGAGCCTGATTGACAGTGAAGCTGGCACAAGGTAAAACAACCCCTCACAGAAACTTGCTAACCCAAGTACAGAAAATCTGTGCTTGCTTCACAAACTGGCGATAAAAGATGATTTGTTCTCATCTCCTTCAGAAGAATACTTCAAAGGAAGTAGAGATGAGAGTTGGTAAAGAGAAGAAACCAGAATTGGTCTATAAAGCACAGAGGAAAACGGGAAGGCGAATGGCACAACTGCAACACACAAAGGCTCACATTCTTTTATTTTTTTTTGAAGATTTACTTATTTTTATTGGAAAGACAGATATACAGAGAGAAGGAGATACAGAGACAAAGATGTTTCATCCCCTGGTTCATTCCCCATGCGGCGGCAACAGCTGGAGCTAAGCTGATCTGAAGCGAGGAGCTTCCTCTGGGTCTCTTATGTGGGTGCAGGGTGCCATCCTTGATTGCTCTCCCCACCCACCAGCTGGATGGGAAATGGAGCAGCCAGGACATGAACTGGTGCCCATATGGGACACTGGCACATGCAAGGCGAGGACTTTAGCCACTGGGCAACCCCTCACATTCTTAAAACCATTCTGGCAATCTTACTAAACTATATTTGGCACAGTGGCACAGTTTTACGTTCTGGACCATCCTCCTGCCATTTCCCCCCATATTATCACAGAAGTTCATCTTCCTCCTATTTAAGTGTTTCATAGCACTGTAGGTAGAGGCAAAGTGAAACATTTAGTATCATATTGCCAAAGTAATTTGTTTCATTGTGAGCTCCTTTTATTTGGGAAAGGAGACATGTACTGCAATGTATCTTAACTTACCAGTTTCTTTCCTTCCACTTTGAAGCCTTGTGTCTTTGTTGGTTGCGTTTGTTATTTGTAGGTAGCAAATAATGGGACTTATTTTTTAATCCATTTTCCAATTTGTATCTTTTTATTGAAGAGTTTAGGCCATTTGTGTTCAGGGTTATTGTTGATAGGTAATGACTTATTCCTGCCATTTTTCCATATATGATCTCATTGTTTGCTTTGGGTTTCCTTTCCGTCTTCACTAAGAGTTTTTCTTTTCCAAAGATCACTGAGTAGTAGACGCCAAGACTTATGTCCAAGTGACTTATCCATTGAATTTCATGTATATAGGTATTTACTTGAGTTTTATTTATTTATTTATTTAGCACATCTTGTAGGACAGGTCTGGTGGTAGTAAACTCAGAGTTTGTTGCTGTTGTTCTAGCAATGTTTTATATCTCCACTTCAAAAGCGTATCTTTGTTGAATGCCATATTGTTGGTTGGTATTTTTTTTTCCTTGTTAGTAACAGAAACTCTGTCTATAAAGTTTCTGCTGAGTTCTCTGTGGCCAGGAGAATCGTCTCTCTCTTCTGTGCTATTTATTTATTTTTCTTTGTGTAGCTTTGAGATTCCTCTCTTTATCTTGAACCTTAACGGGCTTGATTATAACATATTTTGGAATAGAATTCAATAATTTTATCTAATTGGTGACCTCTGACCTCCCTGTATCTGAACAGTTCTACCTTTCTCTAGGTTTTGGATGTTCTGTTATTCTCTCTTTCAATATTCTTTTTACTCTTTGGCTTTCTCAAGTCTCTCTTGAACCCCAATAACTAGGACATTTGCACTTTTAATGCTGTCTCTCTGAAATCCTTTTTTCAACACTTCAGCACTTGAGCTTACTATTTCATTTTCTCATTTGATGTATTCTGCTATTAAATCCTTAAATTGTGTAATTTCTTTTATTGTGTTTTTCAACTCAAGGATGTCTATTTGACTTTTAAAAGAATACTTGCCATTTGTTAAGCTTCTCTGTTAAAATTTCTTGGTATTTCCCTAAATATCACCATCTTCCCTTTTACATTCTGCCTCTTAGACCTCCTATGTTTCAGATGCTGCCTGTTCGGTTTCTGACACTTTATTTTATCCGCTAGATGAAGTCAATGTTTCCTTGAAATTTCTTGACACTTATTAATGTACAAATTATTGCAAAAATAACAATTAGATCTTCTCCCCAGCGTTTGTCATCTGTCTTCATTTGTACCTGCTTTCTAGAAATTCCAGTCTGTTTTTCTCTGGGTCTGTGCAAACTTCTGCTATTTCAGCACTTGATAACATTTTACATTGAAGCCTGCTCCTGCTATTAGTATGTTGTCACTCTTAGCACCATTGACTTTTTCCTGTTCCAAGTTCATTCCAAATCCACAGTTGGTATGCTGCTCAGCATGACCTGTTAGACGCTCCACCTGTGAGTACTGTCCTGGGAGCAAAGGACTTTGGACTTTATCTGGTACTGGATGTCACTGGGATGTCACTAGCATTAAGCTCTAAGGCAAAAGTTTAGTGGTCAGTTTTCTGTCCTACCCCCACTTGCTTAGCTCTCCACTGGATATTGAAAGCTAGTGATGGCAATTGTTTGGTCACTTAGCTAGAAATAATCCAAATGCTTGGTCTGCACTTACTGGCCTGAAAGTCAGGGTTGTGGGTCCCATGCCACTGATTTTGCAGTGCCAATCCTACTACTGCTTTTATTCTCTATCCTTCTGTCAGAGGTGAGGCACGGCACTGCACTGCTTGAATATTTAGATCCATTGACCCCTATGTGCCAGTGAATCAGACTTAAGGCAACACAACTAAACAGAAGTGATAACAGGTGCTTGAGGAATGTAGTGAATGGCATGTCCAAATTACAGAGGGGAGGATTCAAGGCCAGCAGATTTGGAAAGTTTCCCTGAAGTTAATGCCTCCTGTGGCCAACTTAGTATACAATCATGACTAATTAGAAGTTCTTGATATTTAAATCACGAGAAATTTCAGTTGCAAATCCTCAATTTTATTACTCTCATTTACAGACCTTGTTTTTCTTTTAAACTTCTTTACTTCAAAATAAAAAAGTTTAGTGTCTAAAATTTAATGCCAAATATGTCTAGATACTTAAAACTGATGTAATGTGTTTCATTTACATGCCACTACTCTAGCATATCAATATCATACTAATGAGGAAGAGACCTCTGGCTTACCAGAATATTTGGTATCTAGCAAATGAATGAATGATAATCAATCAACCTTTATAGAGATAAAACACATCCTGTAGTTTGGCAAACACCTTCCCTATTAAATTTAATTGAAACAGTGCATAGCATTCCTAGTGTACTATTTGTAAACACAATCCAGGATCACATTTTAAAATTTATATGCTTACCTATAAATGTTATTTTTTATTTTATAAATTGGAGAAATAGCCTAAATCATTTCTGCTAACAAATTGAAAGTTTCAGCTAAAATATATGAAAATTAAATATAATTTTTATTGTGTAATTTGAGCAGAAGTGTGTGCAATTAAATGCTTACAATAATTTTTTGAAATAAGATTTTGGTGCTTCTTCAAAAATGTTTGTTTATTTACTTATTTGAAAGGCAGAGTTACAGAGTGGCAGAGTCAGAGATGGAGAGAGAAAGATCTTCCATCTGCTTGTTTACTCTTCAAATGCCTGAAACAGATGAGGAATGGCTAGGCTGGAGCCAGGAGACAAGAACTCCATCTGGGTGTCTCAGGTGTGTGACAGGGATCCTGGTCTTGAGCTGTCATTGGCTGCACCCAGGTTAAGCGCAGCAGCAGACTGGGCCTGCAGCTGAGCAACACTCTACCCAAACACTCCAGGATGGGATGCAGGCATCCCAGCCAGTGGTTTAATCACCATGGCCTGCCCCTGCAGCTATTTTATGTTGACATCATGAAAAAGCTCAGGAAACATCATATTAGAATGGTTGTGGATTTTAAAGGTCATCTGAGTGTGTCTAAATAGATTTCTAATGCTCACAATTAATTTGCTTTGAAAGATTGCAAAACTACTCTGATTTTAGAGAAGCAAAAGAAATGGGAAAATGATGATTAATGGAATATTATGATTACTTATTTTTCTTCTACTTCAAAAGTGGAGTATAAGAAAGAGAAAGATGGAGACCTCTCTAAACATGCAGCAGGTGGGTCTAATATTTGTATTGATGCCATGTAATATAAAAGGGAGTGGCTTAAAAACAACAAAAAAATACATTTCTTCCAGTTCTTGAAGCTGAGAAATCCAAGATCAAGTTGATATGTGGTAAAGGTATCCCTTCTAGCAGAGAGTGACTTCTCAGTATGACCTCACTGTATGAGAGGGATCTCTCTCAGGCCTCTTGTACAAAGGCACAGGTGCCTTCACTAGAGCCCTGTCTCTGACCTACTCACCAACTGTCCTACTGCCTGAGAGTTTTGTACCTGTTCCAACATAGGAATTCTGGTGGAAACAAACTATCCAATCATAACATTTCTCCTAAGCCAAAACAAATTAGTTTCCTTTAAATTACTTAATAGCACGTAGCATTGTGTATGTCAACACACGCTCTTGTGTTGTCCTCAAAAAATGTAAAATTCTGTGACAAACCAATGTATGTCAATGCAGATTGGGAACTACAGGCCTACTTCTCTCGTTATATCCCCTTGGGCTTGCTTTGTTTTCATCATCCCAATGCGACCTTCAAGCACAATTATCTGCTACATGTGCCTCCACACAATATTCCTTTAAAAAAACACACAAATCGATGGCAATATTTATATTTATTCAATTCCTTGGATAAAAATCATTTAAAGAATGTTTGGTAAGGTGTTATTCTCATAAAAACATCACAAAACATATGTAATTCTATTTGTCACGAAAGTTAGAATTACATGCTGAAATGGAGTTAATCAAGTCACATAACATAACACAGTTTGAAAAGACCTGTTGAGTGACCTACATTGTTAAAGTAATAGTTACACAGAACTAGGAAACTAACTCAGTAGTAAAATATAAGAATCTACAATTATAAATATAAATTTGGTCCATGGAGACATTAGTGCAGTATTTACAGTAAGTATCAGATGATTTCTGCTTTAGGTGAATACTGCAGTTGTCAAGTGTTGAATATCACAGGGAACAGAATGCTTATTTACAGTGTACTATATTAAAAGTTATATTTCTAGCAAATCTGATGAGTGCTACAATTACAGCTAAAAAGTTGACACTAAAAACACATTTTTTTTTGTAGTTGGGAATTTCTAATATCTATAAATTGAAATTTCTGTTAAAATCAATATGGAAAAAATACCATAATTGCAGTCTTAGAAATACTGTAAAATTCAATCACTTTAGTTCAGACATAATAAGTGAATTACAAGAAGTCTTTCAAAAAGGCACACATTGTTAATGATGTAAATTTGGCAGATTTCTATGTCACGAAAGTTACTGTCAGGTGATGAGATGTAAACAGATAACACAGCTGGATTGAGTTTCCTGTCTGATTGTGGAAAGGGGGAAGCATTTCTCAGATGTAGGATCCTCTCTTCCTCTTCTGGATTACACTAAAGACTCCAAGCTCTCAGCTATGTTGCCATCGGGCAGTGCTGTGCCATTGCTGTCCAAAGAGGTGGAGGGGTTCTCTTCCTGCCTTGTGCTCACCAGGCTGAGGACCACTTTATAGAGAAACTGATACTGCTCCTACAGAACAGAGGATTGGAGGTTACAAACAGCCAGCTCAATGAAAACACGCATCCATTTCATTAAGCAACATTTTTAGATACACTTTGTCAGCGTCCTTGGAAGAGTACTTGTTAAGGGCCTTATATTTTCAACAGTGGAAGTGAATATACATTAACAACTCTGTTTTAATTCTAACATTGGTTCAGTTAGCACACATCTGTTAACTTGGAAAACAGGTCAATATTCATTTGCAGTGCCAACTGCTCCGTCCTTTTTCACTGGCTTCTTAGCCTGAGAAGGTGATGTGATTAGGTTTATTAACTTGTGACTGAACTCTGTGGTAACTGTAAACAACTCAACAGTAGGTCCTTCCTCTAGTTATGAAATCTGCTGATTCTTTTGGTTCATTGAAAGGTCTCGGACATGAGCACACTGTCAGCTCAAGAACCCAGGCAGAATGCAGGTGTTCTTGCAAGATCTGCTGTTGACCATGTGTCCACATTCTGTGAACCTGACTAATCCTATGCCCTGCTTGAAATGTGCTCTACTTGACCTCAGGGTGGAGACATCAAGATGCAAGCACTTTTCCTTTTATAGATGTCAGGCAGAGAATCCACGTCAGTGACTGCTGTCAGGGCAGAAAACATTAGGATGACAGGTGAATCAGCACATCACTTAATACATTCTCAAAACTTGGGACTGGGGAAAGCAAACTTAGTGCAACTCAAGTGGTCCAGAGGAAATATTTAGTAGAAGCTCATCTAAGTAGCATCACCTGGCACTGACGTATCCTAAAGCTTTAAGGATTCTTTACAAGGATCTTATATACAAACATATCAAGAAGCTGTGGGTGAGCCCACGACTTCTACATCTGCCCAAGTTCCTCACTTCCCTATCGCCTGTCAGCCTGTTTCTACAATGCAAACTTCCTAATTATTTTCCATGTTAATTATTTTCCAAGTAGTGTCTCTCCAGATATGATATGCACGTTCCTTGATTGTACATGCCTTTCTTTATAAAAGCACTTCGGAACCAGCTCTCTGTTCACTTCAGAAGCTACTTGGTTCAAGGTCTGTCTTCTGACTATTGTGTGAGGTTATCAAGACCTGAGCCTCAGAAGGTAACTATTTATTCTGCTACAGAAGTCAATTTGTTAGAGGTTCTAAGAAGAATATTTTCCAGAATTAAAATAAGTCTCATATGTTAATTTTAATACTTTTTCTATCAGTCCCTGGATGATGGGGTTTAAATGCTTATTGTTTGTTGTTTGAATTTCATGGATTAAGCATTCTTTTTCAGTTCAGCTTGAAAATTGCATGGTAATGTATCAGTTAATGTGATCTTTCTGGACGTATGGAAAGATGTCTGTAGCTGTTTTCAAAGAGTACTCCAACAATGAAAAGCTTGACTCACTGATTTTCTACTTACAACGTCGGCAAAGACTCCTGGCCTCATCAAATTGATCATCTTGGCCACCTGGTAAACATCCACGGAACTCTCTTTTTCTAGTTGATGCATGAGTGTTGTCAGGGCACAGAAAGTTCCTGCTGTCACACCTCCATGCCTTGCAGCAAGACAAAAGGACAAAAGATTCCATTTAGATGGATCGAACACTAGCATGAAATTTATAGAGCTCACGCTCTTCACAACATTGCAGGCAAATTGCAGAAAATTTGAATGAATTACTTCTTTACTTTTGTGTGTACAGAACCATGGTTTAACTTTAAACATTACCGAGTGTTTGCAATATTGATGAGATACTTTTTGGAAATTGAATATTTTATTGCACATTTGCTTTTATATTATGGCAAAAGCTAGCAATAAACAATATGATTTCATTGAGATCATAATTAGTCATGTAAATATGTGTAATATGTATATCATATGTAATTGTATATAACATATAATTCCAACATACACAATTTAAATTTTTTCATAGAACTCTGGAAAGAACTATTGGATAAAGATTCTAATTTCTGACAACTAGACACATGAAAAGTTCTGTCCCAGGAAGTGAAGGTGTAAATAATATCTCGCTGGTTAGTATCTGTAAAAATTCCAATGCTCAAACCAGCTCATGATGCAAAATATTCTTGAAATAAAATAAAAAAGCAGATTCTTGCTATCATACATGCATTTCCTGTGTTCAACTGGAGCTTTAAATAAAGTGGGAAAAGACAATTTCTTTATTAAGTTTGTTGATAAGCAAATAATTAACCTTGGCTGAGTCACACAGTTGGCTGGCGGCATTAACTTGGCCTGAGGACAATGGAAATAAAAATATACATACAGAGAATGCTCAGGTGTGAACAAACGTTAACATGTGGAACTTACTCATCGTGAACAATCATGGGTCCATCCCTGTTGGCAGCTTCTTCTTTGATAATGCTTATAAGTTCAAATGTTTTACTGATTGGACTATCTGGATTTGGCCATTTGGGACACTGAAAATGCCTCACTTCAAGTACATAATCATCCTATAAGTAGAAAAAAAACCCCAAACTTTTAAAAGTAATATTGGTCAGTGACTGTTTATCACAAGTGGAATAATTAGGGAAAAGTAGTTAATGATAGCAGGTGCAGCCATCCTTAACGACGAGGGAAGCTACACTTACAATACCACATTCACCACGCATACGGGTATGCTACTAGGACAAAAAAAACCTGATTTCTTCTCTAGTCCTAAACACAAGCCTTTTTTAAATGGGTGAATTATACCAGTGCTAGCAAACCACAAGAGTGTGTTCCCAAGACCTGTGGCTATACTACTAAATGTCAGATTGTGCAAGTCAATGTTTGATACTAAAATCTGTTTCGAAGACAGCACTGATCTCAAACCCTGGCTACATTTGGCTATACTAAGGGAAGAATGAGGCTGTAGATGCTCTGGGGAAAATGCTGGCAAGGTGGGTGAGGAGCCAGGTTCAGGCCCAGTTACACTCCCATCTGATTCTTGTTTATATGATAAATCAGATCACACAACTTGAGTAAACCTCTAAAACCTTCGAGCTCCACTTTTCCTGGAATGTACTCAGTGAAATACTGAATTTAAAAATAAGTTTCGAGAGAGAACCTATGGACAGTGGTTAAGGTTTTGCCCAGATGGCCAAATTTCGTATTGGCATACCTGAGTTCAAGACTAGACCCTGCATTTGATTCTAGGTTCCTGTTAACATGTACCCTGAAGTCAGTAGTGATGCCTCAACTACTTGGGTCTTTGTCATCCACGTCCAGTTCCCAGCTTTTGCTTGGCATAGCACCAGCTACTGTGGGCACTGCATCTGAGTATACAGTATTTTTCCCTACTTTAATTTACAACAATGCAAGATGGACCTGGCATTGTGGTGCAGCAGGTAAAGCTGACCCCGATGACACTGGCATCCCCTATGGGATCATGCCTGCTGCACTTTTTATTATGTTCCCTTCTGGTTGCTTGGGAAAGTACTGGAAGATGGCCCAAATGTTTGGAGCCCTGCCACCTACGTGGAAGATCCAGAAAAAGCTCTTGACGCCTGGCTGGCTTGAGCCTGCCTCAGCCCCAGCTGTTACAGCCATCTGGGAGTGAACCAAGAGATCTCTCCTGGACTCTTTCTGTGAGTCTGATTCTCAAATACATAACTCCTCCTTCTCCTTCTACTTTCTTTCCTTCCTCCTTCTCCTCCTTCTTTGTAATGAAAATATAAAGTAGTGTTTTGCCCTGAAGTTGTCATGCAAGATCACCAACATGGTTTGGGGGTATTTAAAATGTAGCAGAGAGGTCACTGTTACATGAGTTTCCAGGTAAGACTAAAATCAAACTTTTGAAATGAGGCACATCCACAGTTGATCTGCAGAGCTGATCTGAGTTGTCTATACATCCACCTAAGTACCTGTTGATTTTTGAATCAGGCTGAACTGGAACTTCTGGAACAAAACTAGTCTTTGTAATAGTTTGTGAAATCCTCCTCCTGATTTCCTGAGATTTTGTCCAATTCTTTTTCAAATTCTTGTTCCCTCAGTCATAACTCTTAACTCAAACAGGAGATGAATCAACAATCCAGTCACAGTTTAGGCTATGAATCAGCCATCACCTCACAAGACATCAGAGCAAGGGATTCAAAGTTGTTTGAATTTTGTTTCTTAGGGTTGTGGCCCTACTAAGCCCCTAGATAAACCTAAATCTTCTTATTAAAAAAAAATTTATCAGATAAAAAAATAAGAATCAGAATGAGTAATTTTTTTAAAAAACATTCTATTATATTTACTTTCAACCCCAGATCTGCCATTAACTGATAGAGTAAAAGATCAACCAGGAAAAAGAAAAGATTAAAAAGAAGAAATTTTTGCTTTTCTATGTGTGTAGATATCAAGAAGAATAGTACTGTACAGCGGTGATGAATTGCTTAATGACTGAATATGATTTTGAAAACAAAGGAGACAAGTAAGGTAATGTTGATTATCTAAGATCTTGCAATCTGCTAAAAGCCAGAATCCTTTTTATTTTGTGAAAGAAACTTAACTCACTGGTTTTTCATCCCATATAAAGGACACAATACTGACTTAAGTAGAGCAACGAACAGAGCATGCATGGTAACTCTGCCATAAATACCATGTTGGAATTGGAAGCTTGAAACTTCATGGGTTGCAGCATCATGCTAAACATATACTTAAAATGAAAATTTTGTCATTTGACACTTGCCCATACCTGTGTAGCTTCTAAGATGAAGTCTTGAATGATGAGTTTTTCCTCATTAGACAGGCATTTGTGTTCTTCAGCCATTAGAGAGACTTTAAAGCTCTCACAATTTATAGGTTCATCTTTATTTGGCCAATAAACAAATTCATCTTCTGCCTGCAGGTTTAAAATCCGAGTTAAAAAATAATTAATGAAGCAGATTGTGCAATAAAGTTCATTGATTGGTAAAGAAGCTTCAACTCAAAATTTTCTTTGTCTCAAATTTTTCTCTTTAAAATATCCTGGGTATCTTAAGCCAGACTTATGCATAAAATACAATAATATATGTAAGAACTCAAATTGTTGCTTCAGACTCCTGTATTCTTGGCTTATCACTAGCAAAGGAAAGCTTGTTGTTTCCGGAACTGACAGCACAGAAGCATAAATGCAAATAATTCTAAAAGCTCAGGATTTTCTGGCTAATGATCAATGTAAATTTATAGATAATAATTGAATATAACATTAAGTATATGTGGAAGCACAAATGAAGAAGTAACAGAAAAGTGTTTTCAGAATCTTCAAATACATGTCAAATGGAAAATAAAGTTATTCCTGATATTTTGATTCACAAAAATCCTTATTAGTCCAGGAAATTACTTTATTTCAATTAGGTTATTTTAAAAAAATTTCCAGGGGCTCCTTATTCAAAGGATGTCTCTATCCCAACACATTTTACTTACAGAATGGTGAATGGAAGTGAACAGACTCACTTTATCTGTGGATTCTGTTTTCTTAAGTAGTCCTATGAAATCCATAAATTTAACTTATTTTCAATCTATCATTAAAGAAGTTGTCTTTGTCACTACCATATCTGAGAAGTTGTGTAGCGAAATCAAGTCTAATAGTTTAAAAAGGGGCTATTTCATTGACATTAGTTTACTAATGGGAAGTAAAATGTCTTTGCTTTTTTCTTTTGTTTGTTTGTTTGGTTTGGTTTTTTCTTTGTTGTTGAACTTTTGGCTCTTTTGACCTTTTATTTCCCCTGTAAGGGTAGTACTAAAAATGGCTAATGGAACTTACCATATTTTGACCATCAGGAATCATGACCACCAGCTGGGCATTATGGTCCCATATCATTCTCCAGAAATCCTTGATAGTGTGGAGGAGGGGATGTTGAGTGATGATGAATTCATTGCTCTGATAATAACCCTGCAAAGCCAGAAGATGTGGAAAGAGCTCTGGCACACGGCCTTTACCACATTAATGGACCCTAAGCCAAAATACTTTTATAAACTGTGGATTGTGTGCACAAATAACATTGTGGTTACAGAAGTATATAATGTGATTATAGCCAATGTTTGCAAGACATTTCCTATATGTAAAATCCAGCATTAAATATTTTTCTTACTCTTAATGAACTCACAGTAGTACTGTGAAATCATAACTGTGAACTACATTTTTGCAGATGATTAAAGTGAGGTTTAGCAAGTTAAAAAGCTGTCTTCAATTTGACCTATAGAAGCAGACTTACTAAAATGGTATGTGGAAAGCTTCCGTATACTGTATACAGTGGAAACTTACAGGAGAGCTTGTTTTTACTCACTTTACACATGTCTCAATGGTAAAATGGCAAGTTCCACACCTACTCATAACAGGACCTTCAGACTCCAAACATCTTGGTTATCTCTACAAGAAAGGAACGAGGGACGTCCCTTGTAGATTTTGATACAGAAATGTGGAAGCTGATGCCGGTGGAAAACCACGATGCCCGTGCTTTTGCTTACTAAAACTACGGCTCTTATGTGCTCCTGCTCTGCATCCTACAGATATCCAGCCCTATTCCATTCACTTGAGGTCTCAACCAAAACACACATCCCTATTTCCTATGAGGATATTTCTTCATATTTTCTTCCCTGCGTAGATAGGACAGAAATTTTGGAGTGGGAATAAACACACTTATCTGAAGTCAAGCTGCTGAAATGTCAAGGAAGGTCACACAGTCTCTCCTAATAAGCATTCATCCTTGATGTAAAAGATACAAGTCAGGGAGCAAATGCCGTATCTTCAGAAACCGAGGTCTCCGACTGAGGCCAGTCTTCAGGGGAGAAGCATCCTGGGAACCTCGACTGGTAATACCAGTGAGCTGCACTCCACAGAAGTGTGCTCTTGAGCTGCTCAAGGACTCAGTGCAAGTTCCCTGTCTACCCATTAGCCCAAAAGGATGAGTTTGGGTTCCTGTATCTATAGCACAAAAGCAAACTCCGAGTAAAGTTACTTTTCCAGGTGTTACTAAACAGTGGGTCAGTAATGACCATGTGTGACTCATGTGTGCAGGGTGCTGCCCAAGTGGTCACGGTGGCAGGCAGTTCACTCTGATTTTGATTTTGGTAACACGGCTTCCAGGAAGTCTCCCTGGAGAAATGTCTTGCTTACCATGACGTAAGAGGCGTTGATGTAATCTGTGCCCTCTCCACTCAGGGAGGAAATGCCAACCCTTGATCTTTCCACTGGAAGACAAAATATTCATTGTAAATGTCCTTTACGCATGATGCCACCTGATCTCCACTTCAGTGCAAAATACAGCTCCATTTCTAAAAATAAATCTGTGGTCCTTAAAGTAATTAAAAAAATATAGAAGACCCTGACAGCATGTATATTGGGCATAATTAAATAAATATGACTATATTTGTTTTATACTATATATAGGGTATACTGATTTTGCCAAATTGCCTACAAATATTTTATTGGAAAAGAGTTATTATTTGTTTTTTTAAGATTGAATGTAGTTTACCAGGGATGATGGAAGAAGTTCTGTTCTTTTCTCGGTTGCACTGCTTTAGGGCTGTAGAATAATCACTCTGCTGTATATTCGATTGACTCAGGAGCTGAGCAATAAGATTAAAAACACAGGCATTTCGTTTAAATTACTACACACACTCCAAGCAAGCTCATATATACACATACATATATCTGACTTCTTTGCCAAGCATTCCTAATCTACACCTTATTTTAGTGAACTTTGGATCAACTACATATGAGAAAGAATACGTGATATTTTTCTTTGTGTGTCCAACTCCACTTAACATAATGTTCTATTGTAGCAAATACAGCATATCATTCTTTTTATTCCTTATATTATTCCACTGTGTGTGTTTGTGTATTTTTGTATATTTTCTTTATCAATTCATCCAAGGACGGCATCCATGGTGACTGCACGTTCAAAGAAATGCCTTTAGTCCTGCGCTTATTGTACCTGGAGGTTTGTTGCTGGCTACTTGCAACTGAATAATAATAATGTTGATTTTCATATTTGTAAAAACCTCGTAAGAGATAGCATTTTTCACTTTTATTTCAATGTTCTATGTAGACAATATTAACCAAAAATTCTTTCCTACCTTTCTACATTTATTTCTTAAAGATTTTTTATTTCTTTATTTGAAACACAGAATTTACACACAGAGCCAGAGACACACACAGAAATCCAGGCTCTCTGGTTCACTCTCAAAAATGGCTGCAACAGTGGGGGGCACAAAGGCAAAGCATCCAGCTCTCCCTGGTGGACAGCACCCAAGCGCTTGGGCCACCCACCTCCATACGGGATGCTGGTGTTACAGATGGTGGCTTTTGCTGTTATGCCACAACACTGAATTTTGTTGACTAATTCTGTATGTAATCAAATAATATTGGAAATGTCAAATCATCACCTACTCTTTACATCACTTTACACCAATTGATCAGGATATTAAGTAGGCATGATTTAAAATGTTGATATCTGAAGTGGGATTTTATTAATATTGGGTCTGCAAAAATCTCCTATTTTTTTTAACTAATTTCATACCAAAGTTATACTCTCCAAACAAAATGGATTAATTTCCCCCTTGGGTTTTTTAACCCTAAGAGCTTGAATTTTCTTTCAAAACAGTCTGGTAAAAATTAGAGGGGTCATGGTTGTGTTGCAGTGGGTACGGTTGTTACCTTAACTATATGCATCCCATAGGAGTGACACTTTAAGTCCTGGCTGCTCCACTTTTTAAAAAAATATTTCTTTATTCTTATTATAAAGTCAGATATACAGAGAGGAGGAGAGACAGACAGGAAGATCTTCCATCCACTGATTCACTCCTCAAGTGATCGCAACGGCTGGAGATTAGCCGATTTGAAACCAGGAGCCATGAGCTTCTTTCCAGGTCTCCCACGTGGGTGCAGGAACCCAAGATTTTGGGTCGTCCTCGACTGCTTTCCCAGGCTGCAAGCATAGAGCTGGATGGGAAGTGGGGCTGCCAGGATTAGAACTGTGGCCTGTATCGGATCCTGGTACATGCAAGGTGAGGACTTTGGCTATAGCGCCGGGTCCCTGGCTGCTCCATTTTTGGGCCAGCTCATTGCTAATGCTTGTAGGAAGGCAGGGGAAGATGGTCCAAGTGCTTGAGTTCCAGCCCTGCTTTTTAACCCATCTTCCTAGTGATGTACATTCTAGGAGGTAGCAGATGCTTGTCTCTGCCACCAATGTAAGAGACTGGGACTGAGTTCACAGCGACTGGTTTGGGCAGTCGTCGCTGCTATGGTAGGCACTTGGGTAATGAGCCAGTAGATGAGACAGTCTTTTCACTATTTCTCTCTCTCCATGAAAATGAGAATAATTAAATTTACATTGAGAAGTAAAATTATAATTGCTCTGTTCCTGCATGAATCCTGAGAATGAACAGGATAGGAATAATGAGAAGGGAAGTAAGATAGCCCTCCTGCTTGTGCAGAATCTCAGCTCTGCATATCACCTGATTCCCACCTGGCATCTCTGGTAATACCTTCCTTCCTAAGTCTTTGCTAATTTCTGAAAATCAGAGAGCGAATCTTGTAGGAGGTGCACCATCAAACCAAATATGCCCTCCTGCTTCGTTTGCTGTCTTTCAACAGGGTGAGCGGGAGAATCCCGGGTTGAAGAAGCTATTGTTCTGGGTGGCCTATTCTAGTCCATGGGTCTCAAGAGCCACAGGAAGAGCCTGAGCCACGGCACTTGTGTTTAAGTAGTCTGCTTTTTTCAAAGTAATAAAGTAAAAAGAATGCTTACATAGTTTTGTATAATAAGTTCTGTCTTCAGTCTGTTATGCACAGTGCCCTCCTTCCCTGAATAAAGTTTGCATCTGTGAAAGTGAATCTAGGGTTTCTGAGAACTTCTCCCCCTACTATTCAGAATTCGGCTTCTCTCTGACTTCTACCGTGTGGCATTGTAATAGGTTGTGAACAGGGGGGTTAAAGCATAAAGCTACTATACAATCCTCTCCCATGGCCTGTGGACTCCAAGACGAGACGCAGGGATGTTGAACTCCGTGGTGACATCTAGGTGGCTACATGAGAACTCACCTGGAATTGTTTCTCTAGTTTTGTTCTGCCTGTGGGTCCTGGAATGAGGAGTGCGTTCACATAGGCGTGAATGTGGCTGTCGGGGACCTCCGTTTCTTTACTCAGGATGGCCTCCACCAGCGTATCGTGAATGAAGACATACTGTTCCTGGGAAAAGAGAGCAACAGGAGCACTCCTTCCATACTTCTTCACGGAAAGTGAATTATGAAAAAAAATACATAGATTTCTTTTTAAATCAGAATTATCATGAGTTGTCTTGAATTCCATTCTCCCTGGAGCTGTTCGTAGTACTTTTATAATTATCCAGAGATGAAAGCAGTGGCTTTCCACTGACAGAGTTTTAAAACATGGTGCTGGGAGCGAAAGGACTGGTTTACAGACTTGGAAGGAAGTCAGAAAGAGGAAAGGAATGAGCCAGTGAAAAATAACCTTTCCTCTCTCCACTGACTGAGCCTTGAAGATTGGGAAGAGGGACCAGGAACTAAGAAGCATCTCCACTACCTAGCCTTCAAACTTCACACTTTCTCTGGGGACTTTCCTGACTTCCACACTTCCCACGAGACTCCCTTTTTGGTGTGTTTAATTCTCCCATAGAACTCTTCCTTGGTTGTATTTGATGAGAACAGTATGTCCTTCCTGGACATAGTCTAGTCTCAAGGGAATGAACTTCTGCTATTTCAACACACTCAGTTAGTAGCACTTTATTGTGTAAGTGCTAGGAGTATGGTCACGTGTGCTCTTTAAGGACACTGCCATTTTTTAGATGAACAAAGTGATCTTTTAAAAACACATACCTCTGTTTGCACCAAATAATTTCTCTGTGATCGAATATGTTTTAAGAAGCCAAATATGTTGACAGTTCCTTCATGTTGAATCTGTTGCAACATACTGTCTAGCACAATATAGGTGCCTGTTCTTCCAACTCCAGCACTGAAAGTTTATACAGAAAAAAAAAATAGTATTTCAGTGTGAAGCAGAAAACAAACTTGAAAAGGAGTTAGTAATGGCTGTCATGTTGCTTAAAACAGTGTCCTCCAACTCAGCAAATGGGCCACGCAATAATGTAGCAGTCCAACAGTAAAGAGTTTACTATTATAAGGAATACTTTAAGCAAAACAGCTTTTCTTCCCCCTATGAGTCAAACTGCAAAACAACTTATTTCTGTGAAAGTTCTTTAATTTTCAGCAATTATATGCGTTATTCATTATGAGATCTTATAAATAGACAATCTCAAAAAAAAAAAAAATGAAAGCATCAGATTCACCAAGTTGTGAAAAGAAAAGGTCCTTGGCTCCCTGTATTGCCAGGTTGACAGGTTTCTACATTAATAGAAAGAATTTGATAAAGCTTTCGACTGAAAATATCATCTTGGGGAGACTGTAAGGAATAACGCCTAACTTGAGTAATTTCTAAAGGGCCATTATCTAACAGCTTCTTCAGAGCCTCTAACAGCGGGACCCAAGTCAGAGACAGCGACGCTTTTCAAATGTTCCGACAAGGAGGAAGTGTTGGGGTAGAAAATTAGCACCTGCTCTGTACAATAGCCCGGTCCTTCTCCAGTTGCTGAGAAACAATTCCTGACCTTCAGAGCTGCTTTTCTTGCATTTTCCTGCTTTCCTCTTCTTATTGTCAGGTTAACAGATAAAAAAGAAAAAAGAGAAAAACCTCAAGGTAGATCTCTCAAATTTTGTCTGGAGAGAGCTCCTGAGGTAGGTAATTAAAATGTGTCAGATAAGCTGAGTATCCAAGGAGAAAACACTTGTTTCTATTAAAACACAAACAGTGCTTTGACAAAAGTATAGCCCAAGAAATGAATTTTATATTTTTAGTCATAAGACTTAGTGCATAATTGGCTTTCAGTAGGTATTAGCCACCATTATTACTTTAATTTAAAAAATTTAGATGAGAATATCATGTATTTTTCTCTTTGTGATCTAATTTTTATGTGCAATTTGTTTTCTATGGATTGAATTGATAATACATTGACTCTGATAGATAATCTCAGGAGAAAAAGACAGATTTTTGATTACAAAATGTTTAAAAAGTTGTTTTGCTAAATTACTCACAATTTATGGATTTTGGTTTCTCTAAAGTAATACTGGCATAGCAACTGGACCACAGGTTAATTTCTAAGAACAGGGACTTTTGTCTCAATTGTTTTCATGCCTCAGTGTTAAACAGTATAATAATTATTTGTTTATGGGCAAAAATGTTGCTTCAATTGCTTCACATAGTAAGTAAGTTGAAACCCAACAGAATAACAAATGTTATAAGAATATCTGATGCTTTGAGATACTCAGCAATCAAAGTGTGCATCTGGCATACTTCTTAGTGGATGGACCTTGAGCAGCTTTCACTTGACATTCTTGGGATCAAACTTAGCAATGGATTTGGGATTTTTTAAAGTTTGGAACTTGTGCACATACACAGTAAGACATCCGAGAGATAGGGCCCAAATCTAAACACAGAGTTCATTTATGTTCCATATGCACCTAAATGCAGAGTCTCATGGCAATTTTATTTAATATTCAAAATACACATGAAGCAAGCATGAAGCAAAGCTTTCAATCATATGAAATTTTCCAACCTGGCATCATGCTGATGATCAGGCAGATTTGGATCCTGGAACATTGTAGATTTTGGATTTTTGCTTACTTCACAAAATCACTACCATTTTGGCTAAAACTACTCCATTGATTTCCTTTTCAAGGACATAAGCAGTCGCTGGGGTTGAGAGCACATCTCCGGGACTCACCTGCAATGGACAACAACAGGCCCCACTGCATGGCGCTTGGCATGAGCTGCTTTTCTCACAAAGGTCAGCACAGGCAGTGAGTACTCTGGTACCCCCATGTCAGGCCACTGAGTGTAGTGATATTGTGTGACCACACGCCCACTGGGTCTTCCTTTCTGGGAGCCCTGGAAGAGTCAAGACAGCTAATAGCAGTAACACGCATGCTTATGTGTCCATATACTGCAAGAGTTTAGATCAGTCCTTATAATAATCAATCAGTGTTGAAGTTTCATTGGATAATCTTGAACTACATGCATACACTAATGGTCAAAGCTTTTAAAAATTTTTTGCATTCCCTTATTTCAAACTCTACTCATTTAGCTAGGCATCACACGGGCATCACACTCACTTCAGTCTGGCCCAAGTTCAAAACCTGCTGTTAGAGACTTGGAAGAAACTTTTGGGAACGAAATTATAGCCAGGATCAGAACTTGCAATACACTCAGTTATACATATTTTACCCTGGCTTAGTTATATCAACCAGAAAAAGAACAAAATGTATCATCCAGTGATGATACGCTTACTGTATAATTTAGATTGTTTTCTATTTAATAAATAAAATTACATATAGATACATATATTTGTGATGAACAATGTGGTGTTTTGAAATGTGTATGCATTGCACAGAAATCAAATTAAGCTATCTCATATACATATTACCATAAAATCTTATTTAATTGTAAAAATTCCAAAGCTACTCAGCAGTTTTAAAGCCCACAATAGTTTGTTATTAACTATCGATTGCTTTATTATACAATCGTTTCTTGATGTATTGGAAAATGATCCTCCTCTGATGTAATGGAAATTTTTAATTGGTTGGCCAGCATCATCCCAATTTCCATTCCCTGGTAACCGTCATTCTATATTCTAATTCTATGAAATAGGCTTTCTTTGATTTCACATAAAAGTTTTATTTGCCTTATTTTACCTAAAACAACATCCTCCATGTTTATACAGTATATCAGAAAGGACAAGTTGAAGTGTATCTGATTATACGTAGATATCACATTCCATTTATCAACATCTGATGGAATATTCCCATAATTTGTTGATTTACCTTTTTAATCTTTGTGTTCCTTAGGGTAAAATTCCTCACAGTGTAATAGGCAAGCACTTGAACACTCTTCTGATTGACTAGAAAGTTCCCATATTCTTCACTACCATCAGTAGGCCAGTATTGGTCACACTTCCTCTGTAAATGAAAAAGCAAAAAAAATATTTTTTTCCGTATTCAAATGTGCCATGTCAAAGTCTTCTTTAAAAGTAGTAATATTTGAGGATTATAAGAACAGATTTCCTTTTTCTTTTAATTATTTCCATTGCTTTTTGAGTGTCTGTGAAAAAGCTATAGAGGAGGCCAGGATAGAATCAAGGAACTGGAAAGGACTCCAGCTGATTTATTCCCAATTTCCCTCTTTCATATGTATTAAGTTAGTGCAAAACCAGGATTGGAATTCAGTACTCCTATATTAAAATATTTCTTTTTTATTCTATGATGCTTTTTACAGAATCCTATGTAGTTTTTCTTCAAGTAAGAAGAATGTATTGAAAAAGCAGCTAATTGGAGTCAAAGATTTCTTAAATTTCTAACGCTAACGGCTTCCCTTTGATAACAGATTTCCTACCAGGGAGTCCTGTTGCACTATTACAACTTGCTGTCTTGCAATGCTGATTCTGTCAAAGCTCATTTTCAGCAGCTCTAGTCACCCCTTCCAGGGATCACATGACAAATATCTCTCCTGTAATAAATCCACACACCCTTCCCTTCTCCACGAGGTTGGTTATCATGACGATCACTTCCACGTTGTGTTCCCATATCATTCTCCAGAAATCTTCAGCCGTGGACTTCAGCGGGCCTTGGGCAGCGATGTAGGCTTTTGGTCTATTGTAACCCTGAAGAAACAAATGACAATTTTTTTTCCCCTAAATTATTTACATGCTGCTTTAAATTACATAGTATATAAGCACCTTTTTCTTACAAACAAAGCGATTATAAAAACCTTCAAAGCTGGAGAAATTTGATAGTACTAGCAAGGGTCGTGCTTGTTCACTAATTACGATATTTTTGTAAAAATATGTAGCAAGAATTCTCTTTGAGAATTTCAATGTGAAGGAATTTTGTTTATTCCAAGTGCATTTAATCCAAGTCTATTTTTATTACTTCAAATACACTCCTTCATCATCCTACCTTGAACTGTATGAAACTCAGTTAAGAAAATTCTGGAGATATTCTCTTTACTAATACTTGGCAACGTCGGGCAGTGTTAATCAGTAATAGTAATCCTAGCTTCATCTTCTGAGCATCCATTGCCGAGTAATGACCTTTATAAACATTAACCATAAACTGTCATCATTTTGGCTTAAAGATGAGGAAACTGAAGCTCTGGGAGTTAGGGTTAGGGTTAGAGATTAAATGGCTTTTCAAGACCCCATGATTAGTGAGTGGTAGAGGTGGGAATAAAAACCAACTCAAACTCCAGAGATCATGTTTATCCAACACACATCACACTGCCTTCTCTGGAAGCATGAAGGGGTGGCCTGTTACACACTTCTGAGGATGCATGGTCCCACACAGAGCCAACCTTTACGCAACTAAACTTGAAGGTCAGTGTTAGGAAATAACCAAGTTTTGTTGACAGTCACAGCGAGGAGCCCCTTAAGTTAGTCACTGATCTACTATCTCTGATAAACTTGAACAAGTTTCTTAAAGTTGGGTCTGTAAGGAGTATTCCAAAGTACAAAAGCTGGTAGCTGGCTTAATGATCATGTCTTTGCCTTTTAGTCAAGTTTATCATCTGAGTATTTCAGTCAGGATTCATTAAGCATCTTTGATATACTCAACATTGTGTGAAGAGGAGCTCTGAGAAACGTTAAATAAACACGGTTGGTTCTCCTTATAATCTAGGAGTCGTCAGTCTGTGTGTGTACAAACTGTACCTCACACACTCTGAGCGCGCATTCTCCCCTCATCCAGGAGATAATCCAAGAATCGCAGCTGGTGTGTCCTACAATCTCAAATCTTTCCATCACAGGATCTCCTGGAAATTCCTTTCTACTTTATTAACTGTTGGGTTTCACATATTAAGGACCAGTTTGTACATGACATCATGCTATAGCAAATTCAGAGTGTAACAGAATTTCTAGAACATTTTCACTTAAAACATGCTTACATCAACATAATTGGCATTGATGTAATCAGTCAGTTTGCCATCTTTTTCAGCAAGTTGTGCAAGCTTAACCCTGCTATGATCATCTGCAATAAAAAAGAATACATTTCACTGTACTGCAGACTACTTTTCAGAAGAAAGTTCATTGATATACATCAGACTTTATTTCACACACAGTTAAAACCGGCACAAAAAACGATTGTTTTAACAGGTTTTTGGAGACAGAGATGATGATGATGAAGTTAGCAAAGATAAAGAGAACAAGGGACTCTGCCATCAAGAACATCTCTAAAGTGGTATGTGTGAGAACATATACACAGAACGTTTGGTGAAGGTGTTAAAAAAGTGGTGCCAAGTGCCAAAGGATTGGGGGGCTGCAACAACAGTAATTTTTCATACAGGTTGACATGTGAGGGTGGCATTTTAGATAAGCTTTTAAACTGGGAATGGGGGCTGTGAACAGTGAAGAGTCACCGGCAGAGCAGTGAGGGTGCTTTAGAAGCCCAGTGAACATCACAAGTAGTCTCTGAACTAGAGGCTGATCGAGGAAGGAGAAGCAGAGAAAGTAAGGATCCTTGAGCAGCTGGCATTGAGCTAAGCTGTTGGCTACAATGCTGTTATCTCAAATGTGTGCTGCTGCAAGTTCTGGCTACTGCACTTGCAATTCAGCTCCCTGCTCACACACTGGGGGGAAGGCAAAAGCAGATAGCCCAAGTTCTGGGATTTTTGCATCCAGTGGAGAGATCTAGGCTCCTGGCTTTTGCTTGGCCTAACTTTGTTAATTGCAGCCATTTGGAAAGAGACCTAGCAGAAGGAAGATCTCTTTCTATCTTTATAACTCTCCCGTTTACATAAATAAATCTTTTTAAAAGGAAGCTTCTGAAAACTTAGAACAAGCAGGACTTGCTGCATATGAAAGCACAACAATTTTCCCAGCACAGAGGTGGAGGAACTTGCACTGTCATTTACAAGAGAATTAAACCATGATAGCAGATACCTGGTAAACCTACAGTATTCACGACATGATGAAGGAAGGAGTCTGGGATGAAGTTCAGAAATCAGTTTGAAGGAGATACATAATGCAAAAATGATGTGTTACTAGAAGGAAACTTGGTTGCTTTGCAGGGCAGACTATTCTTTCAAGGACGGAGAAGTAAATACAGAGCAAATTGGGACACGTTAGATTCTCCGTCAGCTTCTGAATCCTTCTGTGGACACTGACACAGACAATGGATGTAAAAATGCATCCACCGCACCGGAAAGATGCGTCTAGATGCCACGCTGTCATGTCTTCGCATTTCAATGTTAACATTTTTAGAATTTCTGGGTTGTTTTCTTCATCTATAAAAGAAGGCTCTTATTACTTCATCTGCCACGTTATTTCAGGAATCCAATGAGATAGTGTTCTTACGGTACCAGGCACATAGAAGAAGTTGAAAATATACTCTTCGCTGTTGCCTTCTGAATTACTGCATGGCTAGTTTCTATTTCTTTTTATATGAGAGGCACCTGAACTGTATGTGTTGCCAACACAGCGTCAGCAACGCTCACAAGTGAAAAACGAACATTGCCATAAACTCTGTGGAAAAGATGGCAGTAGCTATGCTATGAGAATGTGATTCTTAACAGGAGAGCTCAGCTTCACCATTAGAATGGAGTCAAGATCAAAACAATCTGAAGGCAGTGACTATTGCATGGATGAAGACAGAAAGATGGAGAAGTTATTTTTGGAGTTGGAGGGAACATGAAGATGGAATTGAAGAGATATGGGAAAATACACAGGAGAATAAGGAGGAATAGATGTCCATAAAAACTGCTATAAGAAAAAGGGAAAAAAAAGAGACTAAATTCATAAGAAAAAAACCCAGTGAGATCCTACCAATGGGAAATAAGAACCCATATTATTGCCCACTGAGGAGAAAAGGGAGAGAGAACAGGTAAGAAAACAAAAAGAAAAAAAAAAGGAAATATGAAGAAGGAACACAAATCATCACTTGTAAAACAACAGGAAAAACACCAAAAAAATGAAACGAGCAAAGGTCTTAAGAGAGTCTCATTTGGTTAGAAGAACTACAAAAAAGTAGATACGTTGTAAGTGAAACAGGACCAACGAATAGACAGAAACAACACACACGGAGGGCGTGCATAGTCCCAGGAATGCAAAGGAAAGACGAGAGCTCGGTTTGTTTAAAGGGAACAGGTGTCACGAGTGGGAGAACAGTGTGAGCTGGAGTGCTTTATCTCCAGGTGCGTTTTGCAAGTCTTAATCTGAAACAGTCCTAAGGAAGTCTGCTCTCAGATGACTTCAGCACACTGTTCCAGGACACAGCAGTGGCAATGATGCTCACGTCAGAATGGAGAGAACAGTTGAACTTACAGGCAACAATGTTGACGTAGCGGTTCTTGTGCTTGTTGTCTGGGTGGTTGGAGCTGTCTGCTGTGATACCTAAGTCAGCAGTACAGCTCTGCACTTCCTGTAAGAAATTCCATGTGTGCCATTTTAATATTTAACATGCTTGCAAGCACAATGTCTTAAAATATAACAAGGAAAACAAAACAAAGTAATCTATCCAAAACAACATTTTTTTTTTACATGTTAAAACTACTTCTTGGCTATAAGAAAATGCAGTGAAATAATGCCTTACCTGGTAAAACTCTTTCAGTGTCTAATGAGGGAATGAATGCCAAAAAAGTAAAGAAATCAAATTCCACAGCACACGACAAATGAGAAAGAAAAGTGTTCATATTAGGTTTACAATGGACAACTATGATCATGCAATAAATACATTCATCAAATACTAACAAAACAGAATGTTTCAAACAGTTGCATGCAAATCAAAATGTCTACCAATTTGGAACCTTAAAATTATGTAAAAGGAAAAATAACACTCTTAAAAAGGAGACAGTGATACAACAACAGGATGAATTTTCAAAAAGCGATGAGAAAGGCCACATTATCCATGACTCATTTTGTCATAATAGGTGGATTTTGAAATATTCAAACTGTTCACCCATTACAGCACTATTTGAAACTCTAAATTAGTAAAATTTAGAAATATTTTTAGTTAATTTAAAGCATACATAGCTTCGTATTAGGTGGTTTATAGCAAATTTAAGGCTGTCAAAAATTGCAAATCTCTTTAGCTTTTAAAATCATAATACTATAGCAATTTGAAACAAAATTTAACTAACTTGTATGTAATTTATTAGTATCTTCTTTTGGTTTAAACTGTAATTTTTGTTAAAGATGATTTCTGCCAGTGTTCTTTTAAAATGCTTCTCAGACCTTATTTCTACATGTATTAGTTTATAACATAATTACTGTGTTAGGATAATATGACATAATTCTAACTTCTGAGAAAGTACGGATCCCCAAAGTGACCGCGATGCATCAGTGAATGGCCCGTCCTCCCTCCAAAGAAAGGCCTCTTTTGTAGAAAGTCGTTCTGAGCAATTAAAAACAATTAATAAGGAATCACTTAAAGGGTGTAGCATTATCAGTTACAAAGCTAATAATTAAGTGAATGAGAAGATTCCCGCAATCAGACTGTGAGTTAAAAGCAACAGAATAAAATTTCTGAGCAAAAATATGAGATCATTTTTATTAATTCAATTATTATACACTGATGAATAATATTAAAATGATCTTATAATGTACACACCATAAGTATGCCCTTGCTATCACCAACTGTGACTATAAATGATCTGTTTTCACTTATTTTTTTTCAACATTTGGAAGGTTAGATCCGTTTTTTATTTAGTTTCCCTGTTGTGGTCAGTTTGGCTTGACATTATCCTGACAGTTTTTCTCTGCCGGTGTGGCATGACCTCTACGATAAGAATAAAACTTGATGTGTTAAATATGTAATTCCTCATAATATTTCACTCTTTCTGATGTTGCTGTACATTGCTTACATAGTCCATGTTGCTGTGATTTAGATTTATTAAGAGGATTAAATGAATTGGCTTCTAATTATTTTAAATTTAAGCTAAACCTATTACAGTTCAGTTGTATTTCTTTCACTTTCTTACAGCTTTTTAACTCTGTTATTTCCTTGCCCTAATATGTCTTAATTGGGGTGATCTGTGCGAAGCAGATGCCGGCTGTGATGAGAGAGTGGATCCTGGGGTCTGGCTCAGAACTCATGCTAAGGAGGTCTATAGGATGCTTGGGGCTAAAGGGATGCTGGGACCCAGTAGGGGCTCCCTATTACTGCGTGGCCAGAGAGGAAGCCAAAGATTGCCTGATGGCAAAAGCAACAGAGGGGCTGGTTTTGAAAACGGTTTTTAAAATTGTAGACCTGGTCTGAATGCAGCTTTACAATGTACCAACTGTTAACAAACTCCCATGGAGTCGGATTTCACCAATTACAGGAGTAAAAATAGTAACATAAATAGCTCCAAGTTTTGACTGAAGCTTTAACGCGGAAACATTTAATCTGATGACATAACAGACGCTGTTCATTAATGAAAGTTTGTTGTTGTTGTTGTTAATTATTAACTCTGGGTATGTGATTTTCTATTTTGAAAAATCTGGTAAACTGCTAACTCAGTGGGCCCTGACACATTTGAAGAAAAATGTTCATCCTCTATTGTCTAAAAGCATTTAAAAGAACAATACTGGAAATGTTTTCACTGTATTAGCAGTTCAAAGGCTTTAAAAACATGCTTTCTTGAGAAGATGTGATTGGTTTTAGCTTGTATCATAAAGTTAAGTAATTTTCATTCCCATTTACATTGGTATACTATTTAAGAAATAATTCTATGCACTTTGGCTGAAAACCATGAAATTTAGCAGTTCGGGGAAAAATTTATGCAATTTAGAGAATTAAAAATTGTTGTTACTAATTCAGATTTTTACAAACAGGATATCAGAATTCCGCAACTTATAGGGAAGAATTAATCATGTTTTAAAATTTTTCTATGAGCACAACTTAATTTTTAAAATGGAAACCAATTTAATAAATTGAGTGACAGCTACAGCAAACTGTCTTGTAAGTAGGAAAGCAATATTTTCAGCAGAAGCAAAAATTGTTTCAACCTGCCTCTTTAGGTCAATACACAATCTATGGGTGAATCTTAAATTATTACTTTCTATTTTATGTAAAATAGATATATCAAAATTGTACCTCAAATTCTTCAGTAAACCCATTACTTGCACGCAAGTCTGCAACATGTTTTGGGAAGTGCTTAATTGGAATTGCTCCAACATCATCTAAATAAGATAAAAACAACCTGTGTTAGGAAATATGACTCACTAGAAACAGATATGCCAGGACCTAAAATCTCACTGTTTCTTTTAATCCCATCCAAATCTTAGAATTTCATGTTAAGCAACAATCATCAATTTTCTGTAAGCAAACCATAATCACCACATGCATTTTAGAAATTAATTGTGATCACAAGTTTCTTTTCCATCTACACTGTAATGGGAACATAACTTATTTCAATGTTAGTTTATAATTATTCTACAAAAGCATCTGTATTTATCAAGCAGACTGTGTTCCTGCATGTACCACATTCTTGAATATGGGCTTTGTATGGATACATGCAAAACCAGTGCAACTATATTGTCATTAAAGAAATAAGTGGCTGTAATCTCATAGCCAGAACCCTAGGGTTATGTGAGTATCTTCTTGAGTTTCAGCATGGGCTATGCACAATACGCAACGCACTTTCAGTTTTGTAAAATTGTCCAGGTTAATGTCTTAGACTTGATTTTATTCCATGTTTATACTTGAAAGCCTCTTGTTCTCTCTATAAATAATAGAATCAATTTTATGTGGAATATTCATTGAATATAATGACAAAAATTATCGAGACTTTTAATCTGTAAAATTTAAAGAATTCTAATATGAAAATATGCTATGTAAACAAACTCATTGGATCTGTTAATTAATTGTGAAAGGGCCAAATTATTTTAACTGATTTTTTTCTTTTCCTGGAAAGACTTTCTTAAACTAAGCATGTTGTAGTTCACAGTATGCAATTTCACAAGTGATTTCTCTGACAAGGAAACATCAAACACATTTTGCTAGAAACAGTTCTTTTCCTCAACAGATGTTCAATAGGTAGGCCATCTAATACATTTAAGCTTCAGTTACCACGAATTTGTTGATTAAAAAAAAAAAGACTCCATCTGTTCTGTTAGATGAGTGGACTTGAATACTAAACTTGAATTAGTCAAGCTCAAGGTGCACTAGGAGAAGGTGTAATTCCACCTTCACACCCACAGAAGAGTCTTGCCTGGAAGTAGCCCTTATAATTAGATAAGAAAACAGAAATAATTTATCCACCTAAATCATTAGTTCTGATAAATGGCTTTCAAACCCAAGGAAATCTTGCCCATCAATCTTCTTTCATAAGTGGAATATCACTTAACATTGTTTCTAACTTTTTTGTTTATTCCAGAGATGGTGAATGCGCTTCCATCTGCAGCTGCATTCTCCACAAGCCTACAGTGTTCCTGGGCCAGGAGCCAGGAGCCAGGAGCCTGGAGCAAGGAGCCAGGAGCCAGGAGCCTGGAGCCAGGAGCCAGGAGCCAGGAGCCAGGAGCCTGGAGCCTGGAGCCAGGAGCCAGGAGCCAGGAGCCAGGAACCAGGAGCCTGGAGCCTGGTCCACGCAGGTGCAGTGATGTTGGTTACCTGAGCCATCAATTGCTTTCTAGAGTCTGTATTAGCCACAAAATGGATCAGGAGCCAGTGTGAGGTCTTGAAATCAGGCACTCCAATGCGATACACAGATGCTCTAATTGGCATCTTAACTGCTTGTCCAAACACATGCCCCATTTTCCTGTTTTATTAGTCCTGAGATTCCCGGGAAGAGCATGGAGAACTTGAGCCCTTAGCGATGCCACACACAGTATCAGACAATCTAGAAAGCGGCTTCTATGAAATGACTAGAGTCGAATTCCTGTCTCTGAATTCTGCTTAACAATGTCAGTGTCCACATCTCATCCTCCTGTACTTCTACAGCTCACACATTTCTAGACAACTTTTTATTCTGAGATTTTAGTCAGTAAATAGCTGCAATTTTAACTTCTAGTGGGAACTCTGAAATGAGTATTTTAATAAAAATTATAATTTGAATATTGATATTCAGGCAAGTTCTGATAAAAGTAGTTAATGTTCTCTTAAATATATAACTGCTTAACATCTTGAGACAAAGTATTTCAGACAACCATAAACTATTTGTGTTCATTTTTTGCCACTATGACCACTGCTGTTTTCTTATTTTTTTCTGTGAAGGTTTCTCAAGAAACCTTTTCTCACATAATCTCAAATGATCAGAAATGAGCTAGACTTTATTTTTATTGCTTTCTCAAATGCATCTTTTACACTGACTTAGTATGATTTCCATTACTTAGGTTTCCACTAAAGAACTGAAAAAGAGTCAAAGCATTGTTCTTAAGCAATGTTTTATTGCAATAAGAGTTAGTATCATCAACATATATCAGCCAAAAAGTTACAAATTTGCCATTTCATCTCTGCGACTGGATCATGTTAAATGAAAAATAGAATATGACCCCAAGTGCTTGATACACGATATACTAGTTTGGGTAGCACGAAAATTAGTCTGCATAGCAGCCATTAGTAGACTATCCAAATGAACCCAAAACTTCTAGCCTTGTGCTTTTCATTCATTATTTACCAGCTACTCTTACTTGCATTTTACACTGTTACCTGAAATTGGGAAGATAGGTGTTGGAGGTGTAGATATTACTCGAGGAGATGCACTATCCTCTAAATAAAAGTGTGCAGTTTGGAAGCATTTCCTGCAAATAAAAGAGAGCAATTTATATTATGAGCTGCCATGGACAACAAGACCATCTCTGAGCTGCTTGAAAATTATGGTGGAAATATCCAGAATTAAAATATAAATGGATAAAAAATAAATAATAAGTGAATATACACCCAGAAGATCATTAGTTTCAAATCTATATTAACAAAATATAAGACATAAAGAGCTTTATAGCCTCCAAATTTAATCTCAGTTTTACTTCCACGAGAGGCTGAACAACAAACAGATATCAGATATGCTAGAAGCAGGAATTGTTTTCAGTTGCAGCTAGTACCAAATGACATTTCACTGAGGAAGGAACTCTTCTGGCTACATTGTTGCTATACACCAAGTGTGGAAAGGAAGGAATGCCTGAAGCTGTTGTCACTCAACGTTAACCATAACTTTCTGACTGGATTCAGCTACCAGTAAATGGCATGTAGAAACAAGATTTGCCATGGGTAATGTTTTGATGAGAAAAAGAAGCAGCTTTCTACTACAAAGTAATATAGTAGCTACAGAACTCCAGCTAGGAAATAATGAGCGTGGCACCCAAATCAGGGGTGATTTTCTTTCCAGCACACATAAATATTGCTGCCAGGCTTTTAAGAATGACCACGGGTATATTTGGAATCAAGGGTAACTGACCTACAGTGTCACCTGAATCTGTTTTCAATCAAATGACAAGAGTAACAGCTTGCAAGAGCATACCACAAACTCCTGATGACAGCAAAAAATCAAGTGCTGCTGTACAGTAACTCAACCCATCTTTAATTTAAAATTTTAGATAGTTAAAAATGCTAAATGTTGATTCTTAAAGTTGTGACTCTTAAAAAAGCTTCAAGAATTCTTTCTCTTTTTGTTAAAAATAGTGTTTGTTTTAAAAATATCTTCCCTGTTGAAGAAGTAATATTGCATTTTAGAAACTCATGATTTATTTTATGTAAATTGTACCTTAAAACATCTGGAAAATGATTTCAGGGCGTATTATTCAATGTGTGACAGGATTCAGTACCTATGGTCCATCTGTTCTGTAGAAGCAGTGAAAGTCTTCACATTTACGTGCTAACTGTTGATAACTATCTCTCCTGCTAATTATCACTCAGGCGTGATGAGAAATGTGATGACTGTATTAAACCTGTAGACATAGGTCCTATCAATCAATGGTAATCTGATTATTTAATTTACACCTTTTCCCACAGTACTCAGAGTTAAAAGCTAGAAGTGTGTAATTATTTCATCTCTTGGGGTCTTCGTACAAGTCTCAAACAGTACTAGTTCTGCTCTGTTCACTCACAGGGCCCTAAAGAACATCAGACAGCACTCTTACAAATGTACTAGGAAATCCACCAGAACGGGAGCCAAGGTGGGCGAGTGACAGGCCCAACACCATGCAGCAAACACCAGCAACAACATGAAACTGTGAGAGCGACCTAGGCTTAATCCCTTGTAATTCATCTTTTTGCTAAAGTATGCTTCAACTCAAAGTTTATACAGTTATAATAGGACACTGTGAGTTAGGGAAATTAAAAAGAGAAGATCTACTAGACCACTTTAGGATGGTTTTCTTTCTAAGTTAGGTTATGAGAAGATTTAGACATTTTCTTGTAAGAATGTTGCAGTTTGAGCTCTTAAACTCAAGACATGGTCCCTTCTGAGTTCACTTGTACATATGGTGTGACAAGGACTAAGTTGAATTTCTGTCTGTGTATGGATGTCCAATATCACTAGCACCGTTTGTTGAAGGGACTTCTTTGGCCACTAGAAGGTATTGGGATCTGTATCTAAAACCTGTTGACTATAAATTTACTATTTATGGGCTCTCAACTTTATTCCTTTGGTCTATGAGGGTACTTCACAAATTTTGTGGAAAAAGTAATTGAAAGACAAATTCATCTTGATGCATTTTTTTTAAATTCACACATTGTGTTTCATAATATGTATTTACATGGGGATTTTGTAGACACCTTACTTAAATGCATGAATTTTGAAATTATTTGTATCCAAGTGAAATGCCTTTTGATTCCAGTTTTCATGGTATTTTTGATAATTCTTGAATGTGTCTATAACATAATAGCAGCGGGCTCTCTTTATTACTGCAGCTTTGAAATACGTTTGGAAATCGTGAAGCATGAATCTTTCCACTTTGCAAAAACATGTGGAAGAAAATGTGGAAGCTAGTTCTTATTGTTTTGAGTTTGATGAAGGATTCTTTTATACGATATGAAAATCATAAACAACAGGTGAAAAAATGGGTGCATTGGACTTCATCAAAAGTGAAAACTTTGATGGTATCAAGTATTATCAAAAAAGAGAAGAAACAAAACACAGAATAGGACACATAATTATAGATTATATGTCTGGGAAGGGAATTATGTCTAGAATTATAAAAAAACTAACGGTAATAAAAAGAAAAGTAATCCAATTAATTTTTTTTAAATTGGCAGCAAAGAATTTAAATACACATTTTTCTAAAGAAGACATGCAAGTGCCTGACAAGTACATGAAAGTAAACACCACTAGTAATTAGAGAATACTAAAATGAGTTTAAAAACTGGTGAATTATATTCTTTAAACAGATGAAGTTTATGATGTAACCATTTATGTCAAAAATTACTCTCAATAAAATAAGCTACTGTTAAGACAGTTTGGGGGACATCATTAGATTTTACGGTATTCCATAAGCTGCAGGCTCAACATAGCTCTAAAATGTTTCCAGACTGGTTCCTGAAAGTATCTCACAAACACAGAGACACTAAAATCCGAATAGTTCACACAAACCTGAAAATGGCATAAGCAGGGTTACCTTGTCATGAAGCAGGCAGTAGTGCTAATGTATATTACGGTCTAGAAAGTTACATCTCACAGTGAGTTAACTTCAAATGGATGTGAGTAGGGCCAATATGTAACAATTTTGAACGGGTTTTTATAATGACAAGGTTTTAATAAATATTAGATTGTTTATAAAAACATATGTAAAATAACAATGTTCTCATATATCTAAACCACTGTGCTTTTTTATATTTTATAACGTAACTGGTAATTTTTATCACCTCCTAACTTCATGGGTTGACTCATTACTGAAAGAAAACATAATCATTTCATATTTTAATTTTCTACGAAATATCAAATAATATTGCATGTGCTGTTGATTTTCTAATAGAAGAAGTCTGCCACGAAAAGGAAGTTGGCCAATCAAAGCCCACCTGCACGCGCCGCTGTGCTCCAGGCCGCCTCCCTCGGACACATTCAGCTCTCAGTCAGCCCTGTCCTTTTCTGTCTCTACCCTTGAGTCCTAAGCAGCTGGAGCTCAGCATCTTATTTTATGCTTTCCTGCCCCTCTGGCTAATAAGAATTGGAATTCTCTAACCCTTCTTAGCATTAGATTTCAGTTGCTATAATAGATGATAATGCAAAATTTTATAAGTTTTCTTGAGAAATGTTTCTTCCTAAGGAAAAATACTAACGATTGGAAGCCCTTATTTCTTGAAAAGTCTTGGCTTTCATTCATTTTTTTAATACATGTTTTGTTCCAAACAATACTTCACACAGTGCAATACATATAAGAACAAAAATAATAAATGTGGTTAACAAAGTAAGACTATGTAGATGATTCCGAAGGTGGTGATATGAACCTGCGAAGTGATGATACTAAACACGAGGAATTAGTTATAGTTCTAAAAATTATCTTTAAAAAAAAGTACTATGCTTTCTTCCTCATATCATCCTCACTTCCTTGTATTTTAACAGACACACTAACTTTACTGCATCCCCATTAAATTTAATGACTTGCTGCATGTTTGGCTTGTTAGATGACGAAAAGTTTATGATTGGTGCAATCTTCTTGCTTTTGAAATATTTTAATGAGTTATGGGTGAGAGTGAAGCTGTACTTTATCTTCAAAGTAAATTGCAAATTTTAGAATCTCACACAATTTAATGTAGCAATTAGCTTTATTCCCTAATTATGTAATACATAATGTAATCGACTGGTTTACAATTTTTGGTGTGGCTTTTAAAAAAATCAGTATGCAAGATTGATAAAGCATTTTAAATAACTCTCTTCTAAAAAAGCAATGTTTTCTAAGATATCAAAAAATGTTTTCCTAAATATAACGTTTGCAATCTTCACAGTTGGTGAAAACCTCAGATTTCTGGCAAAAGCTATGAAAATGATTGAATATTTATTAGATTAATATGGGAGAGTAGCTGGCAAAATACTGCATTAAATATTAACAAAAATCAAAGTTCCTTCATTTTATCTTTAATTGTTTCAGTATGAAGATATTCAACCCTTTTATTATTATACCTTGGATACATAAGTTTATTTTTACATAGTTCCTTGAATTATCTTAATGGCAGTTCTCAAGAAAACAAAATTTGAATAAAGTTTCTGGGTCTTTTGGCTTACATTTGGGCAAAATCTGAGCTTTATGAATTCTCTTTTCCAAAGCAAACACTCCACTTACCTCCAGTAGATGAGAATACCCACAAGAGCCACTAGACAGAGAAAGGTCAGGGCTGACACGACCACAAGGGGCAGGACCGCCTTCTTCTCAGGATCCAGCCCTTCAGCTAGACCAATGCGAGACTCATGGCTACTATTACTGGCCTCTGTAGTCGGAGAAAATGGAGAGAATCGATGTTTAACTGAAGGAAAAGCCACAACGTGTTTCAACTGATTCTCTGCAACCCCCATTGCTGTTACTTACCTTTAAAATTTCCATTCTACGATGCAAAAAATGTGATTATAAGTCAACTTAAGCAATACCAAGTTTAAAAAGTAAGCAAGGACTGAAGGACCACAATACCCCAACAGAGATCAGCACTCAGTTTAAGGTGCTGTTCCAGGGTGCATAACATTGCCTTGAAAAGCTTGAGAAAAGGGAAATGGAAATATTAAAATAAGAAATCTGTCAATGTCAAAAGAAAATGACCAGGAAGAACAATGCTACTTACTGAATCATTGTTGATTTTCCAAAATTAACTTTAATGGAATTGTTAAACCATGCAATTAGGTATATAACTATGAACAATTAATTTTATTAAAAAATCTTATAACCCTTATTACATTTGCATAACACTTTAATTCAGCAAAGCATTTTAATGGTAATTGTAGGTTAATTTTAAATGTTATTTTGAGTTCCTTTCTTCTCCACTGTTTTGATCAAGAACAAAACTCCAATATCATGTGAACTGAAGGCACACGTGCATCTTAGCTATTCTTTTCATATATTCAAGGGTAAATAATGAAAAGGTCCAAATTCAGTCACTGATTTAATTGTGAAATGTATCAAATGACCATTTTGTAATCGTGCATTTTTATACCAGCCTTGTGAAAATGACCGTCACTGGAGATATTCTAAGTTGTTAAGAAGCTGAGTTTCAATCTTAGCAATCAGTAATCATCCTTTCCCTCCACTTGTCAATGCTTCAGTGGAAAGAAAGGTGATTATAAGTATTGTCTGTTTCTAAGACAATGTGCTAGCATTGTTACCAGAGAACGCATTTTTATCAACCTGTGGGAGATCTGAAAGTACTATAGTTAAGTTCTTCTTCCAAGTCTACAGGATTGCTACTCACTCGTCATGTCTGACACATTTGTATCGTGTCTTAATGTGAGTCATATGGAACAGAGGAAATCACTTGAGATGGTGTACAAAACTCCAGATGATTATACATAGTGAAATAAGTCAGTCCCCAAAGGCAAATGGTAGAGATTTTTCTTGATTTGTGGTAACTAACATATAAAGAACAAAAAATGGACATTTGAGATTTGATTACTTTTTTAGCCCTGTGTATACTCTCAAGAAACAATGGCTTATCTACTTACTAGTTGCTGAATTCTGTAGTTAGTGGACAAATAAGCTTGTGATTAGAAAAGAAACTTGACATATGCAATAGGGTGGGGAGGACATTATGCCCTTAAAACTGCATATGTGAAATGCATGAAATTAATTCCATTTATATAGATACAGAGTAAAAAAAAAGCCCTTAAGAATAAGAAAGTTGAGATATTATGTGTGCATGTATAGCAAATTAGAATACTGTAGAGAGCTTAAGATTTAAAATGAAGCTTTATATTTAAATGGCAAGAATGGGCCAAGAATTTAAATCACTCTATCACAGGACTGAAATGTAACACAGGAATGAAAATGGCATCCACATTTCCCCAAATATTTTTCTCATAACAATATCTGAATTTTCCAGTTAAAAAAATGGAATACAAAAGGGTGACTAGAAATCATACGACTTAAAAAAAAAAGCGTTGTAAACCAACTGACATTTGAGCTGTATGTGGTTAACATTCTTGTGAGAAAAGTTCAAATGTCAACTTACTAGGTCGCGGTATACTCCAACAATAATTTAAAATGTGAAGTAGATCAAACTATGCAGAAATTAACTTTATGTAACTGCACAGATCTTTATAGACTACAAATGTAGCAAACCTGTATATTGGAGTGTGTGTGTATATATGTACACATATATGTAGTATCTTTTATTAACATGTATGTGCAAGCAAATGTATGAGCTAGACCTGATTACATATTGTAATGCACGTGTGAGATATGTACATATAAAATGTTATAGAAATATGTCCTATATATGTATATAAATGTGCCGAATAAAAACATGCACACTTACATAATCTTGCATGTGGATTTACAATTTCTCTGGAAAATCTAATCTTTAGCTGAAGAACCAGAATGACAATTCTAAGATAATCCTGTATTATAAAATCCAGGAATTGTTAGCAAGAGGAAACGATACATGACGAGCAATCAGGTGGTTACTTTCTATAGTGTAAAGAGGAACAACTGATAGTACTGATTTAATTTAGTTGAGTCTGAAATACCTGTTTTGCTATTGGATCTGCAATGTATTGAGTTGCCTAAATGATAACGCACCTATATGCAACCAAGACTAATGCTTTAGAACATCCCTTGAGGACAAAGCAGCATAATTTAGTATTGCAACTTGAACATTATGTATTTTGCTATACTGAATTGTGAAAGTGTAATCTTTAGGAGACTGACACCAAATGAACGTGCTACCAGAGTCACTTCCATGTTAGTTCTTTGCATTGCCTGGATCAGGTACTAGTACTTTTGGGCATCAGTTTCGTCATTTATAAATTGAAGACGCTGATATTCTCCATGTCTATGCTTTTCAAAGACCACATTCCAGGAGAGCGTGATAAATGTAAAAGTTTCAGAGAGAATCTGTAATAATTAGATAGAGGGACATATTCAATTTACTGAAAAGAAAAACTCCGTGGAAGCAGTTTTACTTGATGATGTTAGGGTTTATACGTATCTTGCTTCTTTAGTGCAGGAATGTCGCTGTAATAATTAGGTAACTCTAATTAGTGCTTTGCAGAGAACCTGCCAAGTTTCAGTCACTAATTCTTGATTTAACCTTTGCTGCAGATAGAGCCTTTTTATATAGAATCACGTGGCAAGACTACTTTTCTGTTAATTCCTAGAACGACAGAAAAATATATTTCTGATATTTCCTTAAAAATAAATCCAACCAATCTATAATTGAGGCTAGGTAACAACTCATATTTATCGCAACACTAATGATTATAATGACCTGCAATTTCATTATGTATTCTCAACTATCAGAGCTTAAGTGCTTAAACTGAAATGCAAAGTTAAATAGTTATCAAGTCAGATATAGAAAAGAAGCTTTTCTACCAAAATGTACAAACTTTTAATTGCTACTTCACTGAAGGAAAATATACAACTAATTCAAGAGGTCAAAATAACAAAGAGGAAAAATATAGTGAGTTTGCTGTCTGTCTTCAATTATGAATACTTTTATGTAATATGCTTATTTTTCACTGTTAAGATTTAAATATTTTCATTTTACCTTAACATTTCTTAAAATTTAATAAAAGCAAACTATAAAATTTATCTAGTATTTTACATTTCTAAACCAACTGAGCTCTCCTTTCCTCCCTAAAGGGACTGAGAGCAACATCTGTATTATACATTATGTAAGTAATCCGCTCTAGGAAACATCTGGCCAACAAACTAATTTACATAAAACACAGTCACAAATGAAATACATTTCCACAGAAAATGATTTTGTGTTTTGCATCTTGTAATAGAACACCTGACCTACGAAACATATTAATACTATCTGCTTAGAAAATTGTATTATGGCAAGAACAAAGTAAATTTTGTTGGTTCACACTGCCCTCTCGAGGCAATATAGAGGTAATGAAGCAGAAAAACCTAAAGTGTTTTCTTCTCTAAACCTTAGCATTGCCTCTCAAATATAACAACCACAACAGACACAAAGCAAAGCAAAACAAACAACAACAACAACAAAACGATCCTTTTGGCCCCCAAGATAAGAGAGGAAGTTTGAATTTTCCAATTTTTTTCCTTGGGGTACACCAGAGATATTTACATCATATGACTAACAGATTGCATGATTCATTTAATAATTCGAGTGAATTCGTTTACAATGCATTTTAGAAGACAACTATGGAAACTGGAATCGTCTGCAAATAGCACACCTCAATCTTACTTAATAAGCAGTACAGTGAAAATGTAGGTCACAGAGTTATTTCTGCATGTAGCAGTCATCCTGTAAAAACGGGAACTTTGACAATAAATAACTTTTTAAATCTATGTTGGACAGAATTAGAGACTAAAAACATCTTGAACATTCATTCAAAATAATGTAACCATACTTTAAATGTTGTGACTGGAGTTGTTAAGTGTTTTGATTTGAAAAAAAAAAAAACCACAAAACAACACACACACACACACTCACACACAATGAGCCCTTTAATCAAATTTCACTCTTTCCATGATTTTTCTGTTTTGCTTACAGGGCAAGGAAAGCACCGAACCTCAGTCTATCCTTTTGAACTGTAACTAACCTGCCTCTGAAATGTTGAACACCTCTGAGTGCCTGCTAGTAACAGATGGTGCTGAGGGCTGTGGAGATTCCAGAGCTAGTTCTGAGTCACCTGCTTCCGGGACCCCATCCGTTTCTTTTTCATTAGCATCTGGAAAACTGAAATCTGTGGAAGTCTCATTATCACTAAAACTATCTGAGGCCCCTTGCCCTGATCCACTCTCTTCATCACTTGACACAACTGCCCATGTTTTAGATCCTGGAGTCAGAGGAAGCAGGGTTCTACCAGTCTGAGCGTGTGAGTCGTGTTTCCCACTGTGCTTTCCAGGCAGCACATCTGTGGATAGTGATTTAACAGGCCTTCTGTCCATAGCAGTTTGACTGTCTGTGGCTCCCCCCATGACTTTATTTTCTTTTTCAGAAGTTGGAGGTTGCAAGTATGATTGTTGGTTATTCTGGTCCAAAGGGCTGTTCTCCTGGGCATCTGATTCATTCATGACCTTTTCCTGCGATTCTCTATAGGTTGAACATGACATACACTTATTTATGGAGAAGCCATCAATATCTTTGTCATCATATTCATCATCGTCACCATACTCGTCATCAATGTCACCACCCTCATCTCCACCCACCAAATCAACAACAGCTCTAGCAGTGGCAGTCTGCCCTACAGTTGCTTTAGAAGGAAACAGCCACTCAGTTGCACCTACAGAACCTTCTTGACTGCGAGAAACAGCTGTAGTGGAAACATGCCCATTTCCTAAGGGAAGAGAATGATCATTAGATACAAGTGAGCTAGAAGCCATTGTTGGAAGACTAACAGACACCCTGTCAGTAACTGAGCTTGTGGTGGAGATGAAAGCTTCTTCAGGATACACCAATTTAGTTGTGAGTGTATTTGGAGGCTCATCCATTGGTAAAACAGTAGCAGCAAATGTAAGGCTTCCCTCTGGGGGAAAGGCCTGGTTACTCTCCAAATTGGTAGTTTGCAACAACTCGTACTTGCTGTATAAAGAGGATATTATTTGTTGGGAACTTTCACTTGTAAGTAAAACTGGCTGAGAGAATTTCTCATTTGCATAAGAAACAGTTAAGCCTTGAAGTGAAGCAGAGTACATATGAGATGTAGGTGACAAATCAAAAACTGGTACAGAGGTGGAGTGTAACATGCTTTCACTTGAAGCAGAATCTGATGCCATGGGGTGTAACACTGTAGAACCAATTTTATCAACCTCGGGGAATTCAACCCGTATTGGTTCACTGGACACAGTTGGAGGGGCGATTTTAAGTATGGTGTCAACAGCAGAAGCCTGAAAGGAAGGTTGCAGCAATACTTCAGGATTAAAAGAAGCTGAGGTCTCATAAACTAGAAACTGAGTTGAAGGAGGTAACACGTCTCTAGAGGCAGGGTCAGAGGAGGCTGGCTCTGATTTTGCACTAAGCACAAGTCTAAGTGAAGTGTCATCAACTTCTGGAGATACAGCAAGTGTAGATTGAACTTGAATAATCTCCTGCTCTAAAGCTTTAGTGGTGGTATAAGCATGGGACCCTGGCAGCATGCCTTCTGTGCTAGACGTGAAAATAGAGATTTCTGGCACAGCTGTCTTTTTAGAATGGTAAATCATGTCACTGAAAGAAGAATCCTGCAGTTCAGTCTCATTTCCATATATTATTTCACTTTTAGAAAGAGGCTTATTGTCATCACCCACCAAAGATGTTGAATATGTAAATTCAGCTAGAGAAACAGGTGAAGAAATATTAAGGGCTGTGAGCCCATCTGTGTCAGGTAAAGGAGATTCGCTATCAGAGAAGGTTCCAGACCACTCCCCGTCACCAGATAGGGCATGAGTAGGCTGCAGTATTGATGCAGTCGGGGTGATTGAAGATTTAGGTATTGACAGACGGCTAGGGCTGCTCGACAAAAAACCCTGATCAGATACATCAAAAGGACCATGCACGGGAATTGCAGAACTGTGCGACCCACTGAAGTGTTGGGAAACCTCGTGATGAGAGAAAGCAGAAGGTTCATGCATCATGATATCGCTGCTGGACGGTTCAGCTTGAGAAAACACGCGCGTTTTATAAGGCACCCCAGATTCACTACCCGATTCCAAGGTCTCCGAAGCAGCGTGAGCAGTGGTCTGATGTGACCCCACATCAGAGTACTGAGCAAGGCTGGGCTCTAACAGCAAATCACCCACAGCCAGCGGCAGAGAAGCATGCAAAGGCACCTGATCACTGGCAGCAGCTGAAGGAACTTGCGGAAGGGTTTGAGAAACTGTATGCAAATGGCGGAACCGTTCGCTACTGAAGGAAGCAGAGGAAAATGGAAGCAAAGGTGCACCGTCATAGGAAGACAGGATGGGTTCAAATGACACATCGACACTGGGAAATACGGGTGTAGCATGCAAGGCCGAATCACTACTTGAAGCAGCAGGGGTAGTATTGAGGATCTGATTGTCAAGCAACAAAGGGGTGGCTAGAGGAAAGACTTCACTACTGTAGGAAGGTTGAAGAGGTGTCTCACCATTGGATACTGGTTCAGTTGTCTGCGAGTGTACCACATGCACAGTGGGGACTGAATCGTGTTGTTCAGAGGATGGAGTAAAAGCATGAGGTGTGGTCTCTGTTGCAAAGTAGGCAAAAGTAGAATAAGCTGGCATTTCCACATCTGTGACTGAGGGACCCCGAGGTGCTACTGGTCCCAGAGAAAAGGGCTCTGTTGCCGTCTCAGGTTCATCGATGTGTATCGCAGTGTAATTATTCTGGGGAAAATGTTCTCTACCGGATCCAATATCGGGCTGCGTGGCCACATCTGTTGAGCTGGGAAGCCACTCATTTCCATCAACAGAGAGATCTTTCAATGACTCTTCTGAGCCTGATGAAACTGAATCTTCTGAAGCTTTTCTTGTGGACTCTGGTATAAGGAGATCATATGGGATTCCCTCTGGGTTTTCTGAAGAAAATACGTATACATGGGATATATTTTCTGAGACAAATGGCATGGCAGAAGTTGCAGGACTGGAGCCTGAAGAATCATCGGATCCAGTATCATGCTTGAAACTGGTCAGTAAACCCTCTTCCTCGCCAATATCGGTTGACACCTCCGGATACTCTGTTACATAAACTGTATGTGAAGACTCTGCTGTTGCAGTCAAGTTCATTTGTGGATACTTGGCAACAGTTTTAGAACCATCATTTAAAGAAGTCAAAGTGCCTTCCACAGTTTGGGGTGGTAGCTTGGTCACAGTCTCAGAAGTCAAGAAAATGTCCTTTTCTAATTCGGTCTCTGAATGGGAGGTCAAGTCTAAAGACGTGTTGGGAATATCGGTCTTTCCAGGTGCTTCACTTCCTCTTGTTGGGGACCGGTTAGTCTTGGCCTCATTGGATTTAGTCCCAATGTAATTGTAGTGGGTTGTGGTTGAAACGTGGGGTTCCTTTTTCCTTATCTGGTTTGTTGCACTATCTCTACCAGGATTCACAATAAATCCTTCTCCATCTTCTTCTTCCTTTGAGAAGCAAATAAGATTTAATGAAACACAAGGAAATAAGAGAAAAGTAGAATCTTAGTAATTCCTGAAACTGTTTTACTGCTAAGCTTCACTCGTGCAAACTTGGGAATTCTTTTCCTCATAAAATGTAGGGAACCAATGCTTCTATCTTATATCCCACACTCTTCATATTCTAGGCAGAGTAATGAAGCTTAAAACAACTTATTTTTGGCTGCCTTTATTTTTAAATCTGTGGAAGGAAGGGAGTTAATAGCACATCCTTTGAAAAGAGACACATTGCAGTTGCATTTATTAGCTGAATGTTATTTAGATTTAATTGTTTTTTTTTCTGCTTCTTTGTTCAATTAATCAGGCAACAAACTAAATAGAAATACTCTTACTCCACAGAGTCCAGCCCCCTGAGCCCTGTTCCCGTTACCTAGAATCAAATCAGTCCCTGGAACCTGGAATTGAACCTGGGCACTCTGTTGCGGGAGGCAGATGTGCCAATCAGTGTTGTATCCACAAGATCGTATGCTTGCTTCTTCTTACAATAGAAATTCTCATAGTTTTGCTAAGGATCCATGTCAAATTTAGCAATACAGATTTTCTGAATTCATCCTCAATCTTGTTAAACCTCAGTATTTGACTAGTTTTCTATTATTTCTCCCCACTCTTTTCCTCTCCAAAAAGAGTTGCTCAACCCTTGGCCATCTTATCCTTGCCCTTGATTCTTAGAATATTTCCTTCCTGCTAACAAAGAGAAGATGGCAGCAGGCAAAAGGCACCTCTTGACACATGTCCTGGATGATCACACTGCATTCAAAATTCACACAACCATCCATTAGTTAAAATTTATCTTAAAAAACACATGAACTTGTCACCCCTACCTGTCTATACCGTTGTAACTGTTATAACTTTTCCTGTTTAAGACTGAATTAGATAGCTGAGTTTTGAATTTATCCCCTAGAGTTAGAACCTAGTTAAGCTTTCTCTATATTTTGTGTTTGTCAAATTCTGAAACATATAATTTCTATCAATTTAAAGGAACTCAGGACACAATGGAAAATGTACAATTTAACTTTCAATGATCAATTTTTTTTCTCTCTTTTCCTTTCCATAGTTCCCAAAAGACATGTCTTGTCTTTTCCCTATGCGATCTAGTATTTTCAGTAAATTCCCACAATATCATTCTTCTTCCTCTTTATATCCCCACATATACTTTACCCTGCCCCACTAGGAGCTCTGTAGGTTCCCTTTCCACTCCACCCTCTAAGGTGTCCTTTGCCTGTACTCCCTGTGTCTCCCCACCCCTTCCTTCCCATGTCTTCATTCTGCTGTGCCAGGAGCTGGACCAGCGTCCTGCATGCATGGTACCCTCCCAAGCAGGTTTCTTGCCCGTCTGGTCATTACAGCACAGCCCTGTTCCACTATCAGGGCCAGTTACTGCTGGGCTAATCTCTGTGTACTTTTTCCCGGCCTTTCAGGATCTAAATATATAACAATAGGTTCCCAACATCTCCAGAAGCCAGGTGTGCAATAGCATCTCTTGTTGCTTTTTCCCACACACACATAAACAGTCCTTTTAAATAAATTAACCTCAACCATTCCACTTGAGTGTGGCATGTTTCCTGTTGGGACTTAAACTGATATATTGAGTTATTTGTTCTCTCTTGCTCAGGAACTTTGCTTTTAAAAAGCAAGTTTATCGCAGTCACTTCTCCAACAACAATCTTCTGTTTCTAATACATAAAACACATTTGCACATTACTTGTAGTTTCCATTCTAAAAGTATCATGACAAAAAGAAGGGCATATCATGTCACCTTTATTCCTTGTTTTTATGAAGAAATATCTGAGTGCAATGCTATAGCTTACGTAGAAATTTACTGAGAGCTAACATCGGAAAATTTTAAATAACTTTTGTAGCTTATAGTCAACACTATCTTATAGTTATTATTCCATGTGAAGAAAAAAAATCCAATTTAATAATTATTGCTCAGTTACAATTATTTTGAAAGTTCTTCAGTATCCTCAAACATTTAATACCTGTTTTCCATTAAACTAATCGTAAGTGAATCACAGTATTGCACAGCAAAAGAGCCCCGAAGCTAGCCTCTCGACGAGTAATGTAACACTCACATTTATTCATGCAACAATCTCTAACACAAGCAATAATTCAGGATAGATTTAAAAATTTTAAAGTCTTTAAATGCAAAAACCAAGAATCATACCTTGATTATCTCTTCGGTTCCAATTAATTCAGGGAAAAGATCAAGTTCTATAAAGTTAAAAACAAAATAATTAAAATTTTCAGTCAATGAGTGAAGTGTTGTGGGATTCTCTTTGGAAGAAAAGAGCAGAAATAACAACAACATCATTGTTAGCTTAAAAAATATAGAATCTTTCAGAGTTAAAACTGTCAATTCCAAATGCAATTTTTCAATATTTCTGAACATTATCACGTACCACTTACACTTACATGGGATTGCACCCCAAATGACTTGGTCTCCAGCTTCTGTCCCAGAGCTCTACCTCACCCTATCCCAGGTCTCATTAAAAGCAAAACAGAGAGGACAGTGAAACTAGAATAACTGAATGCAAAGAAAGGTAAATTTTCATGCATGCAGATGCACTTTTACTCTTAAAGGGGTGAGAAATGTGTGGTTAGGGAAATGCCAGGGACTTCAGCACTGGCAGAATCTGGTCTGCACACTCTTTAATTTACCCTCTGATCAAGTATCATCCTCTGATTTGGGCTCACATTTATTTGCTATGCACCATGCACATTTTTTCCAGTGGTTTCCTGCCAAGGTTGGCATTAAGAACGATGGAAGGAAGTGATTCTTCCATGTTCCCCCTTGAGAAGCTCAGCTAATGCCGACTATGCAAGGATGAGAGGGAACAGATCATCCAAGTTCGTTTTTCACCCAATCAACCACAATTGACATGTTTTTAAATATACAGATGCCTCAATGCTGAAACAAGTGTGGGGAAAGACCAGAAGCTGGTCCTTTGTCTCCAAGTGGGAATCCTGCCTCAATGACAAATCACTGATGGTTCAGAGGAAGGTTTGTGGAAGTCTTCATCAGAACTGGGAAGATGGGAGAGCAATGAATGCTATGAGGACCCAGGCATTAATATGACGTTCCTCTTAGTTCCTTTGTTTCCTAGAATTCACTCCACCTCTCAAATTTACATTCTTAACTACCGCAGTGTTACAGATGTTTTAATGTCCCCAAAGAAAACGCATATTCTATAGAAATTTCAAGACAAAACTGAAGGAACATCAAATTTTTATCATGCTCAAGCCTGTTTTCCAAGACAGAATTTCTTGTGTTTATTCTTTATTGAAAATGTCTAGATGTTAACAAATGTAAAAAAGATACAGTTCTATGTGCGACTTCTATCGAACAATCTTGACAGCTTAGTTGTGTCAAAATCAATTACCTAATGTGTTCTGTCAAAATGAACAGAACACATAATAATAAATTTTAATTCTCAATTTTTGTTGTTAAAGCTTACGGTGGTTTGGAAACCTTTATTTGGATTATTTGTGCTTTTAATCTATTTTTGTCGCTGTGGAATCCTTTTTCCATTCTTGGTTTTCAGGCTGTCTATTCTTTTTATTTGCAGTTTAAAGTGATTTCAATTGTTTCAATCATTTTTAGCTTTGTCACCTCCAGGAAAATCAGTATGTGTGAGTTAAAAACTGGAAAGCAACTAGAATAAACTTTGACATGGTTTGCTAAAAGCTAACACTGGAGAAATTCATACAGATAGAAAAATCATAATTTAAAAAAGACAATATCTAGGCTTCTGAAAATATTTGCAATGGAGCTACTACTTTCCATGAAAGTTTAAAATACATTAATGCTACTAATGATTAGAATCATTAACAAATATTTGTTAGTGATTCATATATAATATGTATATATTTCAAAATTTGCTAAATCAGCAGATTTATACCTTAATTCCAAGTTCTATAAAATTTTTAAAGTACCCAATTATTGCATATTTTTGCTAAAGTACTACAAAAAAATCAATGATATTCTGTTTGAGAAAATATTTTAAAACTTAAAAACACTCTCTAACCTCATCTATGCTTGTATTTTAATAGACAAATGTAATTTTCTTATTTAATTGTCTTGGTTGCATTGGGATATGTGTAATTATCACACTCAGAATTGTTTCTTTTCCTTTCAACATTCTTAATATATATTACACTTCATTTTTTTAAACCAGTGAACAAGTTACTGATTAGGGTTCCTTATAAGCTAACATACAAGATTTCAATCCCATCATGCCCCTACGATAATCCGTGCCTTCTAATGTAATTGGGCTTGTGAATTACCACCATGAGTGAGACATTTGTTTGGGATTTTCTGGCACTCAGAAGGCAAGCCACCAGGACCCCAGCAGCTGTCTGACTTCCCTGGCTTCTTGACATTGCTCTGATTGCAATGCCTTCACACTTCGACCTTCATTTGGTATTCCACCTGGACTCAGCGTTTGAGCTGAATGAAACTGGAGGTTTCCCAAGGAAAGCCCGAGGCTTCCATTTCCCTGAATCCCTGCAGTCTTTGCCCAAACTTGTTCAGAACAACACTGAAATAAAATAATTTTGGAAGGTTTTTTCTTTCTTTCTACAGATTCTGAAGTCACCCTCTGTTATCTGGAGATGGATCTCATATCAGTACCTTTTGGCCCATAATTCCTTCACAAATAATGACTGATGTTTCATGGACAACCAGGCTGGCCCAGGGACTACTGAAATATTAAATAATGAATAAAAATAATGGAGTAAAGATTCATTTCACCAAATATTCTCCAAGGAGGCCAGGAAAACCTCTGCTGGTGACTAATGTGTCTTTTTACCTGTTTTTTTTTTCTTTTTTTTGGAATGGACATTTAAGATTCACATTTGTGTAATCAATAAACAAAAACTGATGATTAATTGTAGCTTTGTTTTGGGGCACATGTAATGTTAGATTTCATCCTAAAGTAGCATATTAGTCCATAATACATTAATAGCCCATTATACAAAAAAGTCCGTAAGACATTAGTCCATAATGCATAAAGAGTCTGTTCATTATACATTATGGATATTAACAGTTCATAATACAAAAAAAGCAACACTGATGTAGGTTGATAAACAAGGCTTATTTAATTGTTGAAAGATGAGCCAAGTTTCATGGTGCAAGGCAGTGTAGACTACAGTTGCTTTAAATATTGTTATAGAATGATACCACCAACACAAATGGGACAAGCAGAGCAGGGACCAATGGATGGTGACTTCCCAAGATAACTGTATACAACTGAAAACCACACTCAGTCAAAGAGAAATGGTGACTTAACTCATTGTGCAGTTAAATTTAACACTTATAATCATTAACGTCCTGAAACATATACTTAAACAGTAGCTTACAACTACAATCATTACCTCTCCATCGCAGAAAAGCAATGAGGACAACTGGCTGCAGTGAAATAAATCTATTTGTGAATGATTTTTAAGAAAGTAGGTTATGAATTATTAATAACTCATTTCATATAGTTTCCAAAATGTCTTTTTAAATGATTTATATAGCTCCTTAACTTTGTTTCAGAATGTGAATTTATGTATTTATTTAAAAATAACATTTAGAAAAATACTGAATGGGAAGTAGCTTAAGAGGACAGTGTGGTTGACAACAATCATAATTTGTTATACAAACAATAGGCCATCTAGTTATCAACTAAATGCATGAATTTATGGCATTTTGCAATTAAAAACATTACTCGCAAGACTGATTTTCCCTCATAGATATTGAACAGTAAATTTGAAATCTACAAAAATTAGGCAATTGTAATTGCCTAATCACCTTCTTCTTTATTTTAAATAAAAGCGATGAGTGATACAGATTTTAAGAAAGCTTCTCCTAAGTAATAACAAAAATAATTCAGCAGGGCATGCTACAATGTTACCAAGGTAATGGAACATGAGGGACAGGATGAAATGGAGCTAATAAAAACCATGCTAATGCCACAAACTCAAAAGTTCCTTACATCCATATAAGATTTATAGTAACAAAATTTACAAATCTTATAGATACTAAATCTGTTTTATAAAACTCCAAGATTGTAATGCTGTCAAAATATTTTTTTTCTGTAGCATATTTATTGTAGAAACAACATATACCGTAATGTGATATGATTTCAATATTGTAAAGATAAGGATTGAAGTGTCATTGCAGTCTCTTCAATCTGAAAAAATAAGCTCCAAAGTGCTAATATTTTGGTTGTAAAAAATGGGAAAATCTGATTTTCAGTAAAGTAACTTTTGATGAAGAAATCTGTGATAGAGAATAGTCCACTTAAGTTTCGTGTTGTCGGATTTAAGAGGCACATGGTACCAACACATCATGCCAAGAGCTATCCTTTATTCTGAAACTTCATTACTGTACAAAATGCCTTAGGGAATAGAGACATCCATGGAGATTAAATGTTTGTCCAAACTAGCATCTCAGTATTACAATGTTCATTAGTGCCCCGATCCTTTAAACAAATAAAAATAAATTTAGTATTTGTCATTCTGTACTAATGTGAAAATCTTACACATTATATAAAAATATTATAGTTGGTGTTATTATGGACTCAGTCTAAACAGATCACCTAGAAATCACTTCTGAATAAAACACACACTTGCTCTAACTTTTCTTATGCATTAAGCAGCTCAAAACCAGAAACCAATAAGCATCGAGAAAGTTTAAAATCTTTGGTAAATAGATTAGGAAAATATAAACAGCAGAAAATAATTTTTTTCAAACTCACAGGAAATTTTGTAAATATCGAGTAGCATCATTAAAGCAAGACAGTAAAAATCAGTGAATATGTTCAACATAACTCGTGCTGTAAGATCACAAATCAAGGCAGAGTACATTTTTTAACATGCCATCTTTCAACCAATTCACACATGGTACTGACTAATATGGTCACTGTCTTGCTCGCAAAAGATGTTGTATGGGAAGATCAATACGGAAAACTTAGAAGAATGTTGAAACTCATAGGAGGTAGCATGATTTGATGTAATGAAAATCAGGTTAAGTTACTGTAAAGGTCAGCTTTCAACAAAAATTAAAATTCACACTCCATCTTAAAATAATCTGATTTGGAAAACAGCACAAGATAAAAGCAGTAGGAAAAATGACTATACCCAGGCCTGAGGTATAACCAATGTTGAAAGAGCCACCATGTTAATTCTTTAGCTGCAACTGGTAAATCCCGAAGCCAATGATTTAGAAGGATACATTTAATAACATTTACTCCTTTGACATGTACACTGACATGGTTAGGACAACTGTGATCAGCCACCATGTACTCTGTATAGTGTGTGCTGGAGTATTTAAAAAAGAAGGACAAAACAGGGCACATCAGTGTTCATTCCATAGGCAAAACTGCCATGCTGAAGTGAATACAAATTCATTCATCTCATGGTAGGAATGAACAAAGAATATTCACACATATGCAAGTATATGGAATATATGCATGCATGATGTGCATGTATATTCAAGTACATTTACACATGCGTAAGTCCATTTTATTATTTTCAAACTGCTTGCATTAAAAAGTGAGCCAATTTAATCATACAAATGATCAAATTATGACTGCTAACGTTGACTCAGCTGTTACACATTCTTTGAGACCAAAGAATTTTCTTACTTAGAGAAGATGCACACACATAAAACACATTAGAAACAGAGGTTTTTTGGTTTATTTTGGAAAAAGAATATTATCAAATCAACCAAGAGAAAAGCATTCCACTGATGAAATTATAACAAATGGATAAAGCACGTGAGATAATCTCCTGAAGTGCTTTGTGTAAGATGCTGTAAACTCCCTCACATGACCTTACGATCATGTTTATACTTACTACAAATTGCTTTGGGAGCTAAAAAAAAAATGAAATAAATACAATTGAAATCAACTCTCAATTTTTCTAAAATCCAAGTCTCAATACTTTAATAGCAATGACCACTGATGACCACTGAAGATTTTATACAAAGATTTTGTCAGTCTTCACAAATCCAAATCTTCAACAGTAACATAAGTTAATTGTCCTGCACCAGATCTACTGAGACAGTCCCCAAACCTCATGAAATCACCTGGTGATACAGACTTGAGAGAAAAATCAGTTGATTTTTATTCAAAATAACAGAAAAAGTAATAAAGAAGTCACTAATGCATTTCATAATTAAACTAGACTCATTTTAAGAAGAACATAAAGTATTATCAGGAGAGAACTTACCAGCGTCGGCAGCAGGCATATCCACAACCAGCTGGTCGCTGTATTTTCCATATAAGCCGTTAGTGCATATGGCTACTATCTGAAGAACGTAACTCATATTGGGAAGTAAATTATTGATAATAGCACCCTAAAATAAAGATAGTAGTAATTATTCAGAGATGGCATTACCAGAAGATGACCCTGGACATTTGTGCTAGAAAAGTTTTTTCCTCATTTGTTAATGGAAATTATTTGTAGTTTATTCATCTAAGAAAAAGCTATGTCATGTTAATTTGAACTGTTTTTGCTTCTTAAAAATCAGATGCACAGGGGCTGGAGTTGAGGAGCTGTAGGATAAGCCACCACCTGTGAGATCAGCATCTCATAGGGGCGCCAATTCGAGTCCTGGCTGCTCCACTTCCAAGCCAGCTCCCTATACATGTGCCTGGTAAACAGCCAAGATGATTCAAGTACTTGGGCTGTGCCATCCATTTAATTCACCCATTTAATTCATAAATAAGAACTACAACCTAAAAACTAATGTTGGACAAAAAACCCATAATTTACCAACAAGGAGCAAAATGTAACAAGCACAGAGATGCAAATATATCTCCATGTAGTACCTGCATATATGCAAGACTAATAGAATTAATGTCTTCATGTACTTATGCAACATATTTAGTCATAAGTCACATGATCTCCCCACATAAGCGCCTCTATACTTTAGACGAATTAAACAAGCCATTAACAATTTTACATGGTGTGCAAATTTTATTAGACATAAGAAACATAAAAATGGGCATTTTAAACAAAAAATTGTTTAAAAAAATATTTAAAAATAAAAGTGGAAATACAGGCTCTCAGGTTTTGCACAACTCCCAGCTGCCTGGTGTCCAGGGTCCTCTTTCTGACAGTGGGGCTTTACTGGAACCATATGCACTTGTGGACTTGTCCACTACAAGCAACGCTTGCTAACTAAACAAAGCCTGGTATTGATACCCAGGCTACAAAAGGAGCCATATTCTATTTCCTTTAATCCAATTGTTTGGGTGGAAGCAGGGAGAAGTGTATCTTTCTTCCTTTTTTTAAAGAAGGAAGAATACATAAAATAAAATTTTATGTTTATAAAAATATAAAAAATAAATAAATAAAATAAAGAGAAATGATCTGTCTTGCAACCCCAGCGTCGGACCTAGCTGTGACTTCACCTTTGTTACCTGGAAATTAGATTCAAACAGAAGGACTTTCAGTTCCCGTCTTGATTCTTCCTCTGCCTGGACACAGCAGGTGGAAAGGGTACTGAGAAGTGTAGTCCAGTTTTCCCTAGTAAGATCTTGACAAGGTACTGGGCTGTTGTCACAGAGAAGCTACACTGCAAGACCTTTAAGTTCATAACCTTTTATCTCTACTCTGCGATGTTGTTGGCAATCTTGGTTTCCTCAAAATCAGGGTAACTTATGATGGAATTTAGTACAGCTACAGCTTTGCTCCACCCTGCCAAAAGCCTTCAGAAACGGTTCAGTGTACCAGAGGTGACAACATACAATTCTTTGTAAATTCTTACCTTGAAAATTAAACTATGGCGTTATCACACATAAAATAATGGATCTTATAGTTACCAAGTCTTGATAGCCATCTGTCAAAACCTCATGCTTGGTCTGATCTCCTTCCAGCGGCTGATAGAGCACTGCAAACTTCTCGATCATGGCGTCGTAAACGACTCGGGGTCGTTCCCAGGTCACAAGAAGGCTGGTGTAGTTCTCCGGGTCAGCCTGCACATTTTCTGGTTCTGAACTGCAAACTTTAGAGAGAAAAAAGCAGCAGTTGGTGACATAAGTCTCAGACTTCAGGACTTTAACACAGTGTACCTCTGAACAAATTTCCTGTATATTATTTCAGTTAAGATTAAAAGACCCATTTGCCCATCATGTAAATTTCGTGTACACATTTCCTTCTGTTTAAAACACTCTTTTCCATCCCGTACCCTACCCTTCTCTCTTTCTCCCTCTCTCCCTCCTCCTCCCCTTCTTGTCTTGGTTCAAGTCCCACTTTGCCATCAGGAAAGATCTTGGACCAGCCACTCATCACTGATACAAAAACTACAGTTGTGGATATGCAGTTCACCTCATGAGCACAGGAGGGCACCCACAACTCAAAGTTAGAAACAAGTGTTACAGTATTTAGTATCAGTAACATTAGCACGTTTATATCTTGGTAACAATAATATATAACTGATTCAGAAAAACATATGCATAATGCACTATTGAAGTAAACTTGCATATATATGTCAATTTATATATGAGAAACAGGATTATTCATGGAAAATCTGGGATGCTACTTTAGAGAGGGAATAGACTGGACTGACTTGATAGAAATAAAAGCGTAATATACCATTACTTAAAAGCATGAATTCAGTAGACGAAAATGTGTCATAGTTAAGGTCTGGATCACCCCGTCTGTGCACGGACACTTTGATGATGCCCACCAGATGGCAGACTACCAACTTGTTTCAAAGTGAGTTGTTCACACCATCACTGGAGTAAGACTGCCTTATTCTTCCCTCCCACAAATCTGACGTCCAGATTTCAAAAGTGAAAAATGATTATGGACAATATCATGTGGAAATTTTTTCCCCAAAAACAAACCTTACTTTTTAAAATTGAAATGATTTTTAACAAACCATGCTCCTTAATGTGAGGCTATCTTAAAATCCATTTGTTTTATGCCATGTTTACAAAAAACTAAAATTTTTTTGAAAAATAAAAAAGCATTAACAGCAAAAAAAAGGTCTGTAATCTAAATGGTCATGTAATTTTGATATGCTAAAAGTTCATTAGTTTTAAGGACAGTAATAATTTTAATGGGTGATCAAGAGAGTTCAAGCAGAGAACTATTCAGCTATTTTTTTCTAAGCCACTGAAAGAAAACAATTTCTTCACAATTTTATTGGGAGACGGATACTGCCTTTAAAAAAAATCAGCATCTGTCTTTTCCTGGAAACACCTTGTTTAAACATGAGCTGTGTGCTGATGCTACTTAGTGTGCTCATCTGAAGGCTTTGCAACTTTTTAATTATTGAAAGGGTGCTTAGCAAAGGGGAAACCGGCTCCAATATGTCTGGAAAACTAAAGCCATTCATTCACTTTGTGCTTACTGCCAATATACACGGCTTTTTCTTAACTCCAATGAATAAATAGTAACGGAGCTTTATTTAATTGTATATTGCTTATCCTGGAGTCAGAAAGATCTTACTACCTTGCATGTACTTTATCAAGTACAACAGGTAATAGGTAAGATCAATCAGACCGAGCAATTAAAGCAAGGTCACAAATATTCCTCCGTCAAAGTAAGAAGAAACGAACCGTTAATGCAAGGAGGAAATCAATCTAACCCAGAAGGAAGAGGATTACTTTCAATCATGCAGAAGACAGACATCCCTATGTTGAATGGTGGCATAGGAATTAACTGATAGGTGACAGCAGCTTGCCTTCAATCAAAATGGTATTTGACTGAATATGTAACTACATCGTTATGACCCATCCAACAGAACCTGAGTTTTCTTACAAGCAGATTTCATTGTGATATGATCACATCCTCTGTTTTACCCCTTGACTGCTGGGCTCACTGGAAGTTTGGGGGGCTGGCACCAAGCTTGTTTCTCTGCCTTGGGAAGGTGTGATGCGTACAGTAGCCGAGCCCTCTCCTCAAGAAACAGACCGAACAAGAGGATCAAAACTCTCCGACAGCCAGGACCAGGGGAGGGACAAGGGAGATTGCACCAGAGAGATGCTCCTGTGTCTATCCTCTTACAAGGAAACCTTTGTATGTGGAAGAGATGCACATTTCAGCTAAACCAGCACTGGCTTTTGAGCACGACTGCTTGTCGTAAGCACATGAAGATATTTCAGAAAGTGCATAAAAAATTGAATTAACATATTTTGATGTTGATGTAGAGTCTTTTTTTTTTCATAATATATACTTCTCATGAACTTTTTGAAGATACGTATGCTGAGTCACTTTTTATTCAGTATATTCATTTTCAATGCCTACTGGGTACCAGGCTGCTCCTCAGGGGCCACCAATGCAGAGATGAGAACATTACACCCCAAGTCACGGCCAGTGACTCAGTTCCAATGTGGCTCTCCCGTGGGGTGTGACTGACCAGCCCAATCAGAGCCGATCTCCCAAGCTTCCATCCCATCACCTTCCTCGCATGGCTGTCATCTCAGGCTGGCACCACAAAGTGAACTTAGTTCGGCTACATACTTGGAAACGTTTTTCTCATCTGAAAAGTGCATTTTTCACCTGGGGAAACATGGATGCTTTCACCGCCATTTTACAGCATGCCCGAAGCTACAAAACTAATGAAAATAATTCTAAAGTTCTAAATCCTGCATTTTTGTCTGTTGTACCAGAAATACCTCCATAACATCAAATCTAAGAGCGTTGCAGAAAACTGTTTTAGCACCTACCTGCTTCATGGATCTCTTCCTTTCCAGTATATGAGGAGAACACCTGCCTGGAAAACTTATACTGCTGCTCTCGGAAATTGTTTTGCAAGTAGTCCATCAACATGACATACCCAGACTGCTGCATTGTAAGAACTTCACAGAACACAGCCAGCTGAAAGGCATCAGCACAAGATTTGAACAAGTATTCTGAAAAACCATTCCTTGTAATAATGTCAAATCACTTCATTCATTCTTGGTTCTCAAATTACCTGGCTTTCTGAGATGCTCACTGTCTCTTTAAAAACAATCCACTCAACAGTGTCTGTGCAGGGAGGTGATGTCAGGGAACCATTGTAGCTGTAATACTTCTCCGTTGAGTTTGGCAGAAGATTCAGCAGTATGAAGGGATCTAAGACAGCCTGCTTTCCTGCAAAATAATAATCCAGGTCTTAGCCAGAAGTCCTACCATGGAACTTGGCTGTTGGATGCTTCGAAGAAACAGATATGCAGATTTTGTTAAGTACTTAATCAGAAATGAATTTTAAAGAACATTTTAAGTATATTTAAAATATGGGAATATCCAGGTTGTCAATAGCCAATGAATGGATAAAGAAGATGGAATACTATTCAGTTACAAACAAAATCCTGTCACTTGCAGCAAAATGGATACAACTGGTGGACACCCAGTTAAATGATGGAAAGTAGGCACAGGAAGGCAAATGCTGCATGTCCTCTCTCCTATATAGCTGCTTAAGAAAATAACCCAGTATCTAAACACAGACTAGGAGAGTTTGGGGATAACTGGTACCAAAATCAGAGTTAGATTTAAAACAAAGTAATTTCTAATGTTGCACAGTATATTGGGGTGACTACCTTCACAATAATTTATTATAGATTTTATAAACAAGCAAAAGATAGGAACTCCATATATTGTAGATTCAAAGGTGATGTAATAATAAGACTTTCAAAGTCAAACAAACTTATTTTTACAGTCTTAAAACAGATTGAGACTTCTGAAATGACAAAAAGTGATACTCCTAAGAGGAAAACTGATGTTTTAGTACACTTCCACAAGAAAAACTGTATTCAATTGTTGCTATTAACAGGGTAAAAAAGAGTGAAAAAACCCATTCTAGGTACAAATTATAGGTAAATTTATGTGAAGGGAATCCATAGTCACTGTATGAAGACAAGTGACCCCTCACAGCAAAGTCTGCTGGCCAGTTATAGGAAACCTCCAATTTATGATCCTGACAAGATCTCGAGACTGAAGTGAGACTGGTTGTTATTCAGGAATTCTGAAATTAGAAATTTTTAGAAGTACATTCTAAATTTTTAGAAGTACTACCAGCAACCAAGAAGATAATCTTGAGTATTATTGCTGAGTCTATTAAAACATTAAATTAATTAACATTCACTTAATTCATTTTATTAAATATTAATATTAAATTAATATTAAAATATTAAATACATAGTGTATGAGTGGATAGCATCAGAAGAGTTGAGTTTTGAGGAGAGGATGTAGGATGCTGGTGTTACAGTAGCTGGGTAGAGAAACAACAGAGAGAGAGACAGAGAGAGAGAGACAGACTAGTGTCTTTCCCCAGGCCAAGGAATAATTACTTCTGCTTCTACATTAATGCCCAGCACAACGGCAGACTACTGGCCCTTTCTTTTTTTTTTTTTTTAAAGATTTATTTCATTTTTATTGGAAAGTCAGATATACAGAGAGGAGGAGAGACAGAGAAGAGAGGAAGATCTTCTCTCTGTGATTCACTCCCCAAGTGGCCACAACGGCTGGAACTGAGCCAATCAGAAGCGAGGAGCCAGGAGCTTTCTCCAGGTCTCCCACATGGATGCAGGGTACCAAGGCCTTGGGCCGGTCTTGACTGCTTTCCCAGGCCACAAGCAGGGAGCTGGATAGGAAGCTGCTGAGATTAGAACTGGCACTCATATGGGATTCTAGCACATGCAAGGCGAGGACTTTAGCCACTAGGCTACCTACCGCGCTGGGCCCAAAATACTAGTTCTTATATGTATAGGATGTCATGTGGAAGCTGTGTGTTCCACGATGGTGTGCAAAGGACACTAGAAAGGAAGCTTTAGTCAAAAGCATGAGCAAATTTGTCCTTAAGCCCATAAGAGTAACCTGGAATCTCCAGAAATAAGTGAAGAAATTTTGAGAGACGATGGCAAGGGTCCTACAGCTTCAGTAGCTTAACAACCCAGTATTCCCATCGCTTCCACTGTCCTTGCAGGCCTGTGCAAGCCTGTGAACAGTCATATCTCTCAGTCTGGATGGAATGCACTCTCTGATCAACAAGGGGCAGATCAAGTGTGGTTTAGGGCAACCAGCGCCCAACGTTTCAATCGGGCAGATGAGGGAGACACCGGTTTCGTCTTGCATCGTCTACTTTTCAGAGAAGCAAATGAAAGGAGCTGTGCGTGAGTTCACATGTTCCTGACTCCTAATAAGCTCGCTCAATTTAGATCTTCACAAGTAACTGGCCGCAAGGAATCAATCAGAGGTCAGGTTTCTGCTTTCAAGCAAAGGATCTGTAAGAATTTCATTTCTGGCTTCAAATTTTGTAGCTTCCCAGAGAGGAATAATCTTCATTTTATTGATGACTCAGGGCTGTATTACTACCTTTTGTGGGGGAGTCTAGTACAAATGAAATAAGAATAATAACGGATTTGCAGGCTCTGTTCAGTGTTGCCAAAAGCATTTGCTGTGATAAATTGCAGGATTCATCCGAGAACAGGTGGAACAGCATCAAACTGCGTGCAAGCACGCACTTTTCGCCAAAAACCTTATATTGTCCTATTGACGAAACAAAGACTTATCAAAGGAAACTGCTAGGGAATGAATTTCCATTTCAGTAGCAGTGCTTTTTCACTTTAACATATGGTTTCTATCAAAATCGACTGCTCGCAGCTTAGGTTTGTACAGCAGAGAAACACGATAGTTAAGTCATCTTATGCGCACGGTGTAATTAGAGATAACTGTCAAATAAATTTAGAAAACTTCAACTTTCTCTTTTTAAGTTACTATTTTAGGATTCTCAGGTTTTCTCTTTTTTTTTTTGAGAAACTGTTCTCAATAGTGTAAAAAGTGAGAGATCGTTTCTCTTTAAATTTTGTGTTCTTTTTCACATTTTAGGACAAGCGATTTTCATCATATTGTATCCAAAAAATAATCTAGAAGAAAAATCTTTCTGTAAGCAGCTTACCAAAGCGACTGACATTCTCGACTCCGTCAATAATCGTCTTGTACTCAAGGTTATCTTCCATTCCAACCTGTTAAGAAGAATGACATTCTAAAAACAGGGTAAAATTCCTGGTTAAGTGCTCAATAAAAATATATACATGTTAAGGAATTCCATTTTAAGTATTCAGACATACCATTGTAGGTAAATAACACAGCAAGGTAAAAACAAAAAAATAGACAAAAATCAGATGACTCTTAGTATTTTCTACCAAGAAAAGTAAACTTTAAAATGCTGTGATTCACAGCCACTACTCCGTAATTATCAAGCTTTGCATATGCAAATATTTAAATCTGTATACTTGCCAAAAATTTGTTCCATTTAGAAGAGACCTACCCAATCCCTCTATACACACCAAAAGGCCATTTTCTAAAAAATACCTTGCAGTGTCATCCCCACTGATGGACTCATTATTTGTTAGAAAGTATACGAAATTTCCTAAAAGTTATGAAAGATGTGTATTATGAAGCCACTATGCATAGATTTGCAAAAATTTTGCTCCTGATTAACATATTAGTTACACCTTCCCAAGAATTTTTGAAGCACCCTCAACTGTCTTGATACTTCACATCAATATTTTATGTGATTAAAACAGAAACTAAGCTATCATCAAATGTATATATAATAATTACCTCAAATAAAATGGACAAAGCTCTTAATTTCCCTCTTCCTTTAACTGCTTCCTCAAAACTGGAAAATCGGCCCGCATCAAAGCAGTAGATCTGCATCTATTAAATGCAAGAATGACAGTTTCAATATACATAAAGGCCTTACAATATTTAGTAAATGAAATAAATATACAAAATGAACACCTAATGAAATAACTGACCAATTAAATACATTCTATTTGAAAAAATCCTATCAAGTGAATACTTCTAAATTCTATATATTTTCATAATATTTCATCCATTTCAGGCATACTTAGCTACACTGAATATAATTTATCATCCGTCAATCAACAAGTCATCACAAAGTTAGACATCTAGGACAGATATCACAGCCGAAATTACTAACAGACATTGCAGTAATAATTTACTAAAGCAGTTATCAAATGCAAGAAGCTAAAAAGATTTTCTGAAGTTTTTTCCTGGAATTCTTTCAAACATGGGATTCACTTTTTCTGTTGGTTTTACATTTAGCATTGTTGTGTATACCAAGTCTATTTTACTCAGATTTGGCTCTCAATCACATTTAATTAGGTTTCACAGTTTACAAATTTGGTTATACTACTGTACATTTTTTTAATTTCATCCACTAGGCTACAACACTGGGTCCATATTTTACATTCTTCTTTTAAGAACGTTAATATATTACAGTGAGCTTTTTAAATATAAATATTTCATTCAAAAACATCAGTTTAATAGGACTTGTAACAATGTATTAGTCATAATGTATTTAATAACTTTTTGACATTTTACTATTGTATATAACCATTGCACATGCATTTCTTAATATACCCATGATTACATTGTAGACTAAATTACCACAAAATAAGATGATGGTTTTTAGAATAAAGTTCTTAATAAAAACAAGCAAACTATTTCTCAGAATGTCTACCTTTAGAATCTCTTCAGACACAGATGAACACTTTTATTTCACTACACACTCATTATTATTTTTTTGTTTTTGCAAATTTTAAGATTGTAAAGCATCCATGTTTCAAAATGTTGTCCATCACATTCCTGAAATCCTTCTCATTTCCCCCTCCTTCATTCCCCCCCTCCTTCATTTACTTTGTTTCAATTAAAAAAATGTGTTTAAGACATATTTACAGAGAAAAGGAGAGATAAAGAGAAAGAGAGATCTTCCATTTGCTGGTTCACTCTGAATGGTTGCAAGGACTGGAGCTGAGCTGATTCATCGCCAGCAGTTAGGAGATTCAGGTTTCCCACGTGAGTGAAGAGGCCCGAGGATCTGAGCCATCCTCCTTTGGGAGGAGCATCCATAGGCTGGGAGCTGGATCAGAAGTGGACAGCTGGACAGAGAACTCACGCCCGTAGGAGGCATGCGCATGCAGCCTCTGCACCGGCTGCCTCACTCACCTTCCAGTCAATATTTATTGATCTCGTGTTATATTACCAGAGAGTGAAAAAATCAGACAGGAGTCTTAAACAATGTTTTACTAATAAGAAAGGCCAATATTAACCAAGTAATTAAAATATGATCTGAAAGATACAAATTTGAACTAAAAGTGGATCATCTTAGAAAATGAATTTGTAATGAGTGGAAGCACTGGCTTACCTCAAGTGGAAATTTCTGTCCTTCTAGACTATGTTCAGATCCATCCGATGACGCGTTGCATTTCCCCCAGTGAAATGTTATCTTACTGGCTTTGAACACTGTGTCAGAAACTCCCCCACTGAGGTGGTAGTCATTTGTGAGATTAACTTCCACTAAAAACCAAACCAAAAATACAAGCTCAAGTAGGCTGCTAAGAAAGTTACAAACTTCAACTCTGTATTCTGTTACTAGGAAAACAGTCCATGCAAAAACATTTAAACTCTTATTGTACTCCCTGCTTGGAAGCTCAGTACAATCTACCTACTGTTTCTTATTGCCACCAACAGGAACTAAGCTAGTGATTGTGTGATCGCACCAGCAGCTGAGAGCCAGTCCAGGAGCTCTGCTTGTCTGGCATTCCTGGACCATTAGTCCTGCCGCCCTAAGCTGTGTGATGGACATGACGGGAGATAAAAGATGGAGAAACAGAAGAATCCAAAGAAAAGACTTCTGAGAAGCTCCACCTTTCTCCTCTGACCCCTTTTTACTCCTCATCTAGCTTCTGTTTTTCTTCTGTTTCCGTATTCCTCAAAGCCTCACCTCAGGTTGTATCAAACTCCAGAATCTGTGTCTTAATCTGTGACAAGGGAGATGTGAAATCCATTCATGCGGTAAGAGTCTTAGCTAATGTTTGAACCCTCCTTGGAAACCATGTGAATCCTCAATGCCCTTAGCTGAGTCTCACAGCAGATGGTGTATAACTATATTTTATGAGTCACCTGAGGAATAATGGCTCTAACGCAAAATGCTGACATCTCTCAATTACATTCTAACAGCTTTTGCTCTAGGATCACACAGACATCTCAGTTGGCATTAGAGACTAAATCCAACAGATTGATCACCCAGATAAGGATATAAACTTCCATTAATCATGAAAAACAATCATGACAATCACAGCAACAATAATGGCAGTAATGACAATCAATAGGTGTTTATTACTTATAATGTACCAATATGTATTTCACACATATTAACCACTTGATCCTTAGGTCCAGCTTTGTAGCTCTTCAACTCTAATAATGAAAATGATAGCTTGCCATATGATGCAGCAGTCCTATCACTGGAGATATATCTAAAATACAAACATGTGTTGTAGCAAAGGGATACCAACTTCACTATGTCTATAGCAGCATTGTTAAAAAGGGGCAAGCTATGGAACCAACCTAGGGGTGCATCATTAGACGAATGGATAAAGAAAATAGAGTGCATATACATAACAGACCACTGTTCAGACAGAGAAAACAAGGAAATCTCAGCTGTAGCAAAGTGAATGGAGCTGCAGGGCATAACGTGAAGTGAAGGATACGATGCTAAGTCAGATGCAACAAGACAAATGCTGTACGTTCTCCTTACAAGGGGGAGATAAAACGATACCTTGATTTGAACATTAGAATTATTCCTAGAGGTTAAATAACAGCTACCAAATCAAAGTCAGGTCAGAGGTGCAGTTCCTAGCATTGCAGATCACAGTTACAAAACTGCGGTTCCCAGGAATCCTCAGGCATTTCTCTGAATAAATGGCAGACAGAAGCTCTAAGCCGCCAATCATACAGTAATATCAAAGCTAGGGAAGTGCTAATTACCCCATTTTGATCCATACGTGTTGTGTGCATGCATTGCAAGTCACATTGAAGACAGCAAATAAATACCATTGTAGTTAATAAGTTCTTAGAGGATTTGAAATGCTGTTCTTTCATTGTTTAATAATATCACATGTAATAACTTTCTTAAGCATGCATCCAACAATACTAACTATGGGCTTATTACAAATCAAGCACTCATAAATTCCTTACTGTCACGGGACTTGAAATTAAAGTCTGAAAAATCAAGAAGAAATTCACTAATAACGAACCACCCCTAAAGGGCTGATATGATCATCTTAAGTATTTTTCTACTCTTTTTCTGTGCTTCCTCATAACTTTGTGGTACACAGCTTTGTTTAAAACATAATATCAAATGGAAAGGTGCCACTCTGAATATTATTCTGTCCAATTTACTGAAAATGATTGTACTATATTTTACACATTATTTTTTTAGTCTCAAGCATTTAAAGGGTCATTTCTGAATTTTCTCTAGAGAAATATCAATGTCTGACTCTTAAATTTCATTGCAGTTGATTGCTTTTTCGATATCCAAATATTGCATATAGCATGGGCTGAGAAGAAAAGATCAAATGGTGATCCCTAAAAAAGGAAATCCTGATTGACCAAGAGAGTGACTAGTGATGGAGTCATTAAATTACAGTATCTTGAACACCTGTTCTTGTGGTGGCATCAGTATTTTCGCAATCCTGAAAAACATGACATACCAACACTGGCCATTTTAGTTTTGGTACAATTTTTCAAAATATTATCCAAATTTCCACTTTTCTTCACTCTTATTTAGAGACCTCTACCTATGGCTTAACCAAAGTCAGACAGTACATTAGGCAAAGGAAAATGAAATTAAATTAAGCATATTCAAGGCACTCTCAAATATCAAAGGTACAGAGAATGCAAATAGATTACCTGTTTTTCCAGTGTTATGAATGAATGTGTTTTCCAAAGACATTTTATCCCAACCCTGAAATTTAAGCTTTTTAAGATTCACATTTACTTGTGTAAGATCTTCATCAATATTGATAGGAGATTGTTTAGGGCTGTTGCACATTGGATATTTCTTTCCCCAATTTTTTTGATTCAGTGCTCCTAGGAAAAAGAAAGAGTAGGAGATTGGTTTCATAAACTGCCATACTCTATATGCTGTACTTACATACTTCACATACACATTACGCTTTACCTACTTAACATGCTGAGTTCTATATCATAATGTAGCTAATACAGTACTTAAAAATAGATACAGTAGAAACAGGATTGGAATATCTGAACTAATTCACCAGATAGCTATGACCAGATTTAGATTCTGAATTTCAACATGAGAGACTATCAGTAGAGGCCTGTGAAACAACCACACCACGCCTAGTGTTCAACAAGGTGTCACATTCTTAGAAATCAGCAAGAACGTCTCATAGTCGTATAAGGTCCAAGGTCAGCATCCTAGCCCAGAGTTCCTACAAAGCTTTATGTTTAACAATAAAAATAAGTAAATCTATAAGTAGATTTACCTACAGTGCACTGAATTTTCACCTGTTTCAAAGAATGAGCAGTCTTCTAAATGAAAACTACCGCAAGTTGCCTTTATTTCAGGCCTGCCTGAAACATAAACCGCCTCTCATAATTATATTAACTTGATGTTTTCTCTCTTACTACCCAAATATAGAATTCTCTTTATTTTTCTCCCTCCCCAGGAGAAAAATAAATTTCTCACAGTTTAAATAAATAGATACAAGCATACTTTCAGAAGTTTTTAGGAAATAGAATTAAATTTATTTTGGTGCAAAAATCAAAATAATGACTTTTAAAAAATCATAATATTTGCATAGAAAGTATCTTCTATGCACTTTATGGAAGGTACTCGAAATTGTGAGAGTACAACTCTTAAACTTTTCTTAAACTTCAGTATTTTCACAGCCACCACTAGCAAGGTCAAAGTGACAGCTTAGTGCCTTGTGTACTTTTGAATATTCATAGGGGTATAGCCAAGATTTTATATGATTAAAACGTAACATACCTCAATCATATATAAATGTCTTTCACTATCACCCCTGTCTATATCTCCTTTTTGTGATAAGAGAGACAATGAGCAGTGAGTTTTTTTTCTCTTTTTCTTATTAAAATGAACAAATTACATACATTTCACAATAGGTTTAGGAGCATAGTGCCACTCCTCCCCTTGCCCTCTCTGCTGCTGGCATTCCCACCCATCAATGATCACTAATTCTATGCAAGCTCAAGCTAATGAGCACTTCTCGTAATGTGAGAAAGCTAACTTTGCATGATTTACCTCTGGAAAGAAAGAATAATTAGTCACATCATCCAACTGCCTAAATAGAGCTTCGTGAAGTGACGTGTGTCATAGTGAGGCTCTTCCAGAACCAACGACTGCTGAAAACATCTTTTAAAGTCTAGCTCTGTCCCTAGAGAGTGAGTATAAAAGACCTTAAATATGCAGTGCTGCACATTTTGGCTTCTAGGAGTAGCTTTAATGCTTTGAGTAATATTTTGTTGGTTTCACTTGGAAGGAACTTTAGCATGGGAACAAGAAAGTACTGCTTATTTTACTAATATCAGTGCAAAGGAAGAAGAGACGGACTGTAGCATGTGTCAACAGACTTACATTTTAAATACAGTGCAGTAAATTCCAAGCACACCTGGGAAGAGTCACAGCATTGTGCACAGACACTTTAAACTTTCAGCCTTTGGTCTCACTGCTTGTGATATATAAGCCTATTTTCCACCACACGGGATGGTCCTTTTCACTTGGGTTCTAATGGCATCTTAGACTGCAGGTTACAGAGGACTAAACTTCTAACTTCTGCTCTGAAATAGAATCTTCCTGCAACCTTTGTCATCCCGTAATCTTAGATGGCATTCGGATGACTCTTTTGGATCTGCCTTCAAAAGATATCCCTAATTGGATCATTTCTCAGCTTTGTCATTAACACTGTAACCCAAGCTGCCATCATTGTCTGTCTACACTTAGCTTTAACAAGCAGCACTGCCATCACCCAGGACATGAGCGTGTCAGGCCTCCACCACCATCTGTTGATGTCAGAGTTTACATCGGGGTCCAACCCCAGGAGATACATATCCACATTTGACTTGGCTTAGACATCTCCAGTGCTATCCAATTGGTCTATAGCTTCAACTTTTGTTCCTTCCATGATGCTGTTCTCCACTTAGGCAGTAAGTGGAATTATGGGATTTGCACCTGCCTTGAATAATTCTTTCTGCTTGAGGGCATGTAGGACTTTAAATGCCAAGGGAGAGTCATTGTTTGATCACATAACATTTGATAGAGAAGGTGATTTCTGAGTCCCTGCTGTGAATCTGTTATGTTTTAAAAGGGTTTATCTTAGTAAACTGGAGAGAAGTACAAATTGGGAGAGATACTCCTGCTGGCTTTGGGAGCAGGTTTGGGAAGGGGTGACATAGCTGTGAAGCACCTCCAGGAGCTATGAGTGTCTCCAGGGTTATAGCCAAAGCAAACAGAAACCCCATGACCTCAGTTCTTCAGCCCCCAGGAACTGAATCATGCTAGAAATCTGAAATGAAGTTAGAGCAAGACATGTTTTAACTGACACATTCTGATATGTGAGACCCTGAATCTGATTGGAGAAGCCAGCTCAAGTGTCCCTTCTCTCCAATTTGCATCCCATGGAAGGTATGAGATTGCAGATTTATTGCTTTAAGCCATGAGCTTTATGTTAATTTGTCAAAGAATAAAAGGCAATTCAGTAACTAAATTAGTTTTTTAAGATACTGTTTGGCTCACATCTCAATAACTTTCCAGCTTGTTAAAAATAAATGCATCTTTTCACCACAGCTGACAGGTCCTGTGCAATGTAACTGCTCACACTCATTTGCTACCACTCCGTGTTGGGTCCTAATGTAGCCACACTAGCTTCAGTTCCATTACTGTAGCAGTGGGAGGTGTGGTGCCTGCTGCCATCTCTTCCTGGAGATGTGGTTCCTGTGGTTCCTGCTGCTTCCCCTGAGCTTAACCAGGCTCTAAAGGCTCCTTTTGCCACTTCAGTAGTTGAGGTCTTTGCTCAAATATACCTCCCTTGACAGTCTCTCTCTGAGTACCCTGTTCATAGCAGACTTCTTGCACTGCTTTCTTTCAATGGCCATCCTTATTTTATATTTCTTTATTAACGTATTAGTGAAATCTGTTTTATTGTTTCCATATCCTGGTGCTTTTTTATAAAGATTAGCTCTTAGTAGATGCTCAATAAACATGGACTGAATACTTGAATCAAACAAACAAAAAATGAACATAGCTTGTTTTATGAGCTTAAGCAATGGAATTATATGTGAAATCACAAAGACAAAAAATTAGGAAAATGAATTGGTGAATGAGAAATATTTCTAAATTCAACTATGGATCTCATTTGACTGTTATTAGGTAACGACAATGAGATGAGCAGTTCCTACTAAACTGCTCAAAGATGTTAAGGCCTCATGTCTGAATTCTGTGTGCATTGTAATCTTACAGGATATTAATTTTGTGTAATTGGTTACCTTGCAAGTCCATGGGATTACAATGATTGTGGACTCAAAATAAAACAGTTACTACTATAACACAGGCTCAAGATTCCTCCTTAGCTTTTAATAATTAAATGATAAAAGTGATTAGAATAAGCAAAATACATTTTTCATGGCAACATTAACAAACAGAAAGCATCCTATAACAATTAGAATTTGATATATTCCAAAAGACTCTGAGAGGCGGTTTCAGATCTCCAGGAGTGGATGTGCATATAAATAAAACATAGATAACAGATACATTGATTAGTATTATGCTTAAATGGCATTTAAATTACCAAATTCAAGGTTTTAGCATGGCAATTAGAGAGCAAAGTTCACATAGTAGCTAAAGCCCAGGATGACGCATCTGACACAACGTGTGGACCTACTTCAATAGAACTGTTCTGTATCCATCTTGGTGCCATTAAGCAAAATTAGGAAGGAAGCAATTAGGACACTGACTGGCTTAGGCTGATGCCTATCAGGTGATTTTTCCATATGGAAGACTTCAGAGTATGAAAAAGGAGAGCCAGAGAACTTTCATAAATTATTCATTCATCATTCATCGACTCTCCCAAATTAGTATCACTCCTGTGATATTATTCCCAATGCTTGCCTGCACAAGAGTACTTACTGGAATGTACATATTTTGTCTATTAACTTGTCTATTTCATCTATGCTGTTATCAGACTCTGGCACACAGCAGAAACAAATTGAGAAATAGTCTTTGTGCACCGAATTAGGGCACTCAGTATTTGTATACTATATACCTCCTCCTATTTGAAGTGAGATGGAGAGCAGTCCTAGCCTTTGTAGGGGATATACATGAGTCTAAGTTTGCCTGTTGCTTGCTAGTTTATTGTTACATTATATAAAAGATTAGGGTTTGATAAATAAGTATGTAAATGCCTCAAGGAGGACATGAATTGAATGAAAGCCCAGATGGGTAGGAAAAGCACAGTCATTCAGGCATTAAAGGAACATCCGATTTTGACACAGAAGAAACTGAGTGCAAGCCTGTTGAGTGATCTTTGTGTGAGCAAACTCAACGTGCAGTTAGTGTAGGAAATGTTAAGACAACATGGACAGGCCAATAACATCTAAAAAGAAAAACTATACAGAGGAAGATGGAAAGGGTGACAAAGAATAAATACATTGCCCAGGCTGGTGTGGGGGTGGTGGTGGTGCCTACTGAAGCTTTGAAGAGTAAGAGGCTCAGAGGCAGGCATCTCAGCATTAAGGAAGTGCTGAATGAGGAAGAACTCTAATGTAAGGTATCCATAGGAACCATCCTCAAAAGTCCTGGATGGGAACGTAATTTTAAAAGCATTGTATTGTGAAATGTCACTCCATTTGGACCAACGCAAAGATATGGATTGTGAAAAACCAAGATGGAAAGTAAAGAGAGGATGAATAAAAATATACTAACAGGATTTTTAATATTTGGAGTGAAAGTGGCTAAATTACACAAATGAAGGACAGTCAAAGTAAAAAATTGCTATTGCCTCTTTTTGTCTTTGTTATTGTGCATGGGTTTAAATTTATTTAAAGATTTATTT